GATTTAGCAGTGTCCACTACGGCATCCTTAGCAGAAGCCAACTTCTCCTTGGACTGATCCTTTGCGGATTTAGTAGCATCGACTACAGCCTGGACATCTTCGGACACTTCCTTGCTGACTTTATCCTTTGTATCCTTCAAGTCCTTCGCAGCTTTCTCAGCAGCCCGTCTAGCACGCTCCTCCTCTTCGGTCGCTTCCTGCTTCGTTTCGTCCCAGAATTCCTTGGCTTCATCAGTTACTTCCTCAACTGCGTGTTTAGCTCCCTTAAAGATGCCAGACAGAAATCCACCTGTCTTTTCCTTGGCTTTCTTAGCTTCCTTGGCTGCTTTCTCTTTTGTAGCTTCCGTAGCTTCAGCCACAGATTCTGCACCAGCCTTAACTTTCTCTTTCACGATCTTGGTATCCTCCTTAACTTCTTTACTACCAACATCCTTAGCTCCTTTGACACCTTCAACCAATTTATGACTGGTATCCTTAACACCTTCAACAGCCACAGCAGCACCTTTTCCTACCTGTTCGCCAACGGTCTTAGCAGCATCAGAAACAGCATCTTTTCCAGCAATTACCTTATCCACGGTCTTATCTTTAGCTACTTTCGAAGCATCAGCGACCTTTTGTAGATCATCCGATACCACCTTGGAAATCTTATCGCTGGCCTCCTGAATTCCAACTGATGCTTTGTCCTTTGCGACCTTCGCTTCCTTGGCAGCTTCTTCAGCAGCACGTTTGGCGCGCTCCTCCTCCTCGGCAGCTTCGTGTTTGGTGTCATCCAAAAATTCCTTCACGTCCTCCGTAACCTCGTCTACGGCGTGCTTGGCACCTTTGAAAATACCAGATAAAAATCCACCACTCTTCTCTTTACCTTTCTTTGATTCTTTTCCTGATTTATCCTTGGTAGACTCTGGCGATGCTGCACGGCTCGATATTCTTGAGTCACTCTTAGAGTCCTTGCCATTTTTATCCTGATCCTTACTACTCTTTCGTGGATCCTCCAGTACTTCTGTAGTAGCATACTTCAATTCCTGAATGACATTGCCCTGGGATGATTGGCGATCGACCTGGAATGGAGATTTGTACACGTCTTCAACGTTCGCCGTATTTCGGGTATCTTCCAAGAATTTGGCAGTTGATGCACGAACATCCTCGTCTCCGCTATCAAAAGAAATTTCCCTGGATGAACTCTTCTCCTTGGACTTACTTCTCCTCTTGTTCCCAGACTTGGGACTCTTGAAGATACCAAAGAAACCGCTACTCTTCTCTTTAACGTCACTGGCCAGATCTTTCACCTCGTCGGCCGTTGCTTTCCCAGCAGCGGATACATCCTCAGTAACATTCTCAGCCAGCTTCTTCGCATCTTGGGATACTTCGCTCTTGACGGTTTCTGCTTTACCGGCTACGTAATCACCGCCATGTTTAATGTCCTTTGAAACTTGCTCAGCAGTTTTCTTTATGTTATCCTTGGCAGCACCTAAAGTGCGTTGACCCTCAGCAGCCACCTTCTTCTCAAGTTCCTCAGCCTCCTTTGATGTATTATCCTTTATGGTAGCTACACTGTGACTTACAGTAGTTACATTTTCACTGACCTTGTCCTTTGCAGATTTTACATCGTCCTTGATATCCTGGACAATTCTGTCCTTAACACTGATATCTGGTACACCAACCTGAGCCTCGACTTTGAGTCCATCCTTTGTCGTACTCTTGAGATCAGCAACAGCTTTTCCTACATCAGAGTGTGGTAAGGATTCAGCAACTTTTTTGGTGTCATCAAAGAATTTGGTTGTGGAAATTCGCAGCTCCTCGTCACCGCTCTCAAAGGACGTATCCTTCGACGAACTCTTATCCTTGGATTTGTTTCTCTTCTTACTCTTTAATTTGGGACTCTTGAACATTCCAAAGAACCCACTGCTCTTCTCCTTGACGTCGTCGGCCAATTCTTTGGCCTCTTCCGCGACTTTGTCTTTTGCAGAATCAGCCGCCTTCGCAGCATCCCTTCCAGCTGCTGCAGCTGTATCTTCAATTGTCCTGACATCACGCTTGACATCCTTGGCAACAACTTCCGCAGTAGCCTGGATACCATCCGCAATGTCCCTAGAATATTCCTTTGCTTTCCTTCCTTCAATTGCAGCGCCATTAGCTGCAGCATCAGCACCCCGTCTCGTCTTGTCTTCTACCGCCACGACGTCTTCCTTAATTTTATCCTTGAGAGTCCTGACCTCGTCCTTTCCAGTTTTAGCGAGGTCCTTGACAGCTACTTGTGCGTCGTCAGCCAATAGTTTTCCATCGTTCTTAACTTTTTCAACAGCTGTCGCAACGTCGTAAGAAACTCCCCTGATTTTCTCGTTCGGCGTCTCGAAACCCGTCGATACATTTGTGATGAACTTTCCCTTGGTATCCGCAACAGCAGCACCTGCGGCAGCTCTTGAGTCTAGTATTATAGAGTCCACAGCAGTTTCAGCAGCTTTTCTGGTGTCGTCCAGGAACTTTGCCGTAGCTATTTTTAATTCTTCGTCTCCACTGTCAAATGAAGTTTCCTTCGAAGAAGTCTTGTCCTTCGACTTGCTTCTTTTCTTGTTCTTGCTCTTGGGACTCTTGAAGATACCAAAGAATCCGCTACTCTTTTCCTTTATGTCATCCGCCACTTCCTTAGCCTCCTCCGCTGCCTTGTCCTTGGCTGCTTCTGCTGCCTGACTCACTTCCTTGCCACCAGCTGTCACTGTTTCACTAACAATTTTTCCACCTTTCTTCATTTCAGCAGCAGCTTTGTCCTTCGCATCCTTAATACCAGCGGACGCAGACTGTATTCCGGATTTCACTGATTTTTCAACTGCAATAGCAGAATCCTTGGCAGCATCGCCAGCTGCCCTGGTACCATCAGCAACGCGATCAGCACCAGCTTCCAGGTTTTCCTTGGTCCTGTCAATACCCTTTTCCACAGTTTGTTTAGTTGCTTTAGCACCGTCTTTAATAGCTTTTCCAGCATCCGCTGTTTTATCTGCTATTACTTGCCCAGCAGCAACTGTTTTCTCCTTAACAATTTGTACATCATCTTTGACCTCCTTGACGAGTGCATCCTTGGCAGCTTTTGTACCGTTCGCTGTCATCTTTGCCACTTCCTTAGTTTTATCTGCCACAGCCTGTCCAGCATCCTTAGTTTTATCTGCCACGGCCTGCCCAGCATCCTTTGCTTTATCTGACACATATTCAGCTCCACTGACCAAACCATCCTTGGCAACCTTAGCGTCACGTTTGATCTCTTCAGCTGCTCTCTTTCCAGCATCCTCAACAGTATCCACAGTTTTCTCAACTTTCTTAGCTGTGTCATCAGCAATTTTCTTAGAGCCATCCTCAACGGATTCAGCCAAAGATTTAGCAACGTCTACGGTCTGATCTTTTACATCCTTTATATGTTCCACGGCTTTCTTGGCATCCTTCCTCGTCTTCTCTTCTACCACTTCCGCTGCTTTCTTCACCTCTTCAGCCGTTCGGTCTGTGTCCTCCAGGAGTTTATCCTTCTTACTCTTGGCTCCCTTAAAGAACCCAAAGAAGCCACCCTTGTCCTTGGATTCTTCAGCAGAATCTTCATTGGACGTAGCAGACTTCTCTTCTGTGGTCTCCACTGTCTGCTTACTGATCTCCACTGGTTTCATAACAGAACCCGTGGTAGCAATAGTCACGTGTGCAGTATCCTTAGGCGTTCCATGTAAAATTTCAGCCATTCTTCTGGAGTCATCCAAAAATTCAAGTGTCGCAGCCTTAGTGTCATAAACTGGTGCATGGGAATCCACAAACGAAGGTACACTAGGACTTGATACATCACTGGAGTGATACTCCGGTTGATGACTATAATCAGCAACCTTCCTCGTATCCTCCAGGAACATCAAAGTAGCATTCTTAGTGTCCTCGTCGCCGCTGTCAAAGGAAACGTCCTTCGAGTCTTTGGATTTGCTCTTCTTAAGTTTTGGTCCCTTGAAAATTCCAGAGAATATCCCTCCGGACTTGTCCTTCCCTTTCTTCCCATCTGCCTTATCCTTTCCATCGTCCTGAGGATGCTGTGCATTATAGACAACCTCATAAGCAGACACACGTTTGTCATCCTTGGAAGGCGATTCAATTTCAGTCGATTTGGAGTCTATTTTCTTAGATTCGTTCTTGAGGATCCCCTTGATCTCCTTGGGCTTCTGTCTCGTGTTGTCGAGCACAGCACTCACATCCTTAAGGATCTTCTCATCAACTTCTTTACCTTCCTTGGACAATCTCTCCTTCTCGCTGGCAACATCATTCTTAAGGTCAGAGAACATAGAGTCCGCGTCAGGATACACCTTGGCGATGCTCTTAGTGACGCCATCATTAGGTATCTCAGTATCCATTTTCGTGTCGAAGAAAACAGTCTGAGTCCTGACAACATCAGCCGAGTCCTTGTCTCCCTTGGCGTCCTTACCAGGCTTAACGTCAATCTCCTTCACGACACCCGATACAATGATCTTACCTTTCTGAACACCACTATCTATATCCTTACCAAAGTTGGAATCACCTGAGGTAACGATTTCCGTTTTGGTCCTCCTGATGGTAACGGTATCCTTCTTACTATCAGAGGGTTTAACCTCGTCACTAGTCTTACCTAAACCAATGACAGGATCATCCTGCCCAAAGTAATGAGTCTGCCTAGCAGGTCCTACGTCTACGATAGTCTTACTCAAAACAGGCTCGAACTCACGAACCGTGGTTGTCTTGGTAACAACAGTCTGACCGGTGGTAGGATCACCCTGGGTGGTAACCACTGTCTTCGTAGTAGTAGTAACACCGGAACCCTTGGTACCACCGTCCTTACCACCAATAACGCGATGTTCCTTTATCATCGGTGGCTCAATATCCGGCTCCTTATCCTTTCTCTGGCCTAATATCGGGTCAGCGCCTCTGATCGGTATAATAGACTGTTCTAATATAGAAAATTGTGGCCCTACAGCACCTTCTGCCTCTTTAGACTCTCGCACATCGTCATCGTAAACCACCGACCACCCTTCCTTCGCTAACCTCCCCTTCTTTCTCTCAGCGTCTTGTATAACACCTGTTAATTAAGTATTACACATTTTAGCCATCTAAAAACTAGTCATCAACAAGATATCATCACAATTTTTATATCTTATTCCATCATCATTAGTGTAAGCTGGCTTGGCTTGATATTTTACTCGCTGTTCGAGCTGCTGTTAGGCTTCCTTAGAAGTTTCTCTCTTTTTGATTTTTTTTTTCCAATTTTTTATCTTTTGTGCATAGTGTACGTGCTGTGGAGCAGCCATCGTGATTAGATGTTATCTAGAGGCGACTACTCTGTTGGAACTAAGTTTCCTCATTGGAAAATAAGATATGTGGAGCATTGGAGAAAAATATTCTTCATTGATCAAACACGTCTAGTGAAGTGACTTAAGGATGCATAATGCAAACGTTAATTGGACTCTGTATAATAGAAAACTGTACTGTACGAATAGAGTGGATTCTATTGATATTCATTTAAGAGCAAGAACAACGACAACGATGAACGAGAAAGTTCGGTTTGCGAAATTAGTTAAAATTAGTCTGCTCTCGTTTAGTAGTTTTAATGAAATGTCAGAAAACGAATTAGTGTATCTCATAGAAAAATGTCTATCTATTGTAAGAGTACTGAGAGCAAAGAAAAAAAAATGTATATATACTATACAATAAAAATCTGTATCGATTGTGAAATTAGTTCAAACAGCAGAGTAGCGAAAAACTCGTCTTGATTGTGACAGCTGCTCCGTGCGCCCACACAGAAAAGGCTTATTTTCATGCAACGGCAAAATAATTGCAGCGTGAACCTTGCTGGAAAAAAAAAAGTTAAACGAGAGAAAAGAGCAATATATAGCATTAGGAGGTACGAGGGAGGAAAAGAGATTAATCAGTGAAAAGATAATTTACAAAGGATACAACGGATATAGGGAACGGGCTGTGTATCGTTACTGCAAAATTCAAGGAAATAAGTTAAAACTGAAAAAAAATCAGTTCGAAGCAAGCCTTAAAGTTTCGAAGATCTCTCCACCGGGCTCCAGAATCCTGCTTCAGTGAAAATAATAAACGACGATTGACAAATGGTTAAGGATCGTCGTAGCAAGCACTCTAGAGAAGTTCAGCGCACCTTAATTTCTTTTTTCTCAGGATAAATGCTGCACAAGCGACACGTTCCTTACGTCAACTGCCCGCGAATCGTGTTCACGGTAATTGGTGCTTTTCTAATATATACATATATAGACACAGTAAAAACTGCTGAAAAATATTGGCAATCAATTCGAATACCAGTCATCGACGAAACTGGTGAAATAAAGAAAATATAATCAATAGAAAGAACTGTGAACGCGACACCAAGGAAGCTAAAGTGCCATTGTTGGAGTCGTTAAGAGTAATTATTACCTTGACGATACACATTGATTATCGATCATGCCATAGGAAATGTCATAATAAGGAAAAAAGAGAACAGGAACGATTCTCCTGGACGGATGATCATTATTTCTTGTCCTTTTTTCTTCTTTTCATAGACAGTTACGACGTTCGGATCTTTTGTTTAGATATTAGAGGAAAGAAGAGACGAAGACAAAAAAAAAGAAGAAAAAAATTTGCTGCTAGGCAAAGCCAGGCTCCTCAACCCCGTTAATCATTAATTAAAACACATGCGCCCAACTTACCCGATACTATTTTGTTCGCGTCTGCCATCACCCTCTGGCGTTTTTTGTTATCGTCGTCAGGATCGTCGATTAATTTTTTCGTCATCGAATCGCTCGCGTTACACTTCTGCTCGATGAAATCGGCCATCACGTCACCGAGTTCTTTCTCGTCGCTGGCATATTTGTCTTTGATGGGGGTCGAGGTACCATTGAATACAGTGCCGTTTGTAATAGTGACGTGCTGATCGGCTGTGGGTGCAAAAACAAACAGAAAACGTGTCTTTGGTACAATAGTGAAATACACAACAGAAAACATATAAAGCGCGCATCTCGACAAGCCGGATATACAAAAATTTTTTACAAAATTTTCTATTGTCTTCTACTATGTACAACACCGGATGACAATATAATCAGTATCTCTCAGAACACTAGCAGGTGAGTTTTGAGCATTTTGTTGTACAAAATAAAATTGATAATGAGAAAAAATGGTTAAGTTTGAAATGTCACTATCAGTGTATCAAAGAAAAACAGATTTCGTTTACCGTTTTTGGAAAACAGACTCCCCATGGCTAATTGTCATTTGCACAAACGTTAGACGCTTTACCGAAGTCTCTTCTCGACGACAAACGCGAGCACAAGAATAATAAATGGTCGAGTAGAGGAATGCCAGAAAAAAAGCAGTATAATAATTATCGTTATCCGGCCAGAACTATTTTACGTGCTACCAACTTGTCGCGACACTGAACGAGCAATGAGTAAAGCTGGGTGTCTGCTGTGATTCGGTGTGTCATACTTAGCGAATGGTACGAATTAGCGCATAGTATATAAGATCACTGACGCAAAGTGAACAGTGACATCATGCCATTTGCTATCGCTTCTAACAGTTCACAGGATGCGTCGCCATAGCCAATTATTAGAAATAGTGCAAGATAAATTATGCCTGCCCAAAATTCATGAGATAATAGCTTTCCGTGACTGGCAATATCCACCCAGTTAAAAATAGAGATACAACTGGGTCCTTGGTAAACTGTATTTCTCATGGTTATCTCTAGAGATTCGATCTCTATATCTTTGTATCGATCAAGGACGTATCGTGCATTTATGGAATTCCTATAAACTTAACTCATCGATATTTACATTTGGAATTATGTTAATTCGAAACTTTATGTCCTCCGGATACTCGCGACTGATCGTTTAACGAGTATCTTTGAAAATCTCTTAAAGATTTAAGATAAATATTTATTCTCTCTCTCTCTGTTTTTTTTTCACCCAACACTCACTCTGTTTGTGGGATATCGTGCCGGCAGCGCTAAGATCCTCCACGGACTCGGAATCCTGTAACGAGAATATTACTTATCAGTGATCTTGGCTATTATTAAAATTCCTGACAGATGAAGCAACGAGCTGGATTGACTAACTGGTCTGATATCTCCTGGACTGTTGTCATTATTCGTGTAATTTTGATGACTTCTCAGAAGACAATTTAAGCTTATCTATTCTTCTTAATGATTTGGGATATACGTTTCTAATGGAGATAATTAATATTGCTATATAATTACTAGGGCGACCCCATTCGAAAATGATACATTGTTCGTGGCAATCGTGACACAGTTTCAGGCTTCTCGTGAAATTAAAGGAAGTTACTCAACCGTCGTCATTCAATGTTCAAGGTTTTATAAATGTGAGAAAACTAGTTAATGAATCATTCCACGTAATTTCTTGTGAAGTCAACAAGACAATTGCTCGGTACTATGAATACTATATCGGCGAATTATTTTAATTAACAATCACCTTCATTCTGTCAGGTTCTTCATAATCTGGGTCCATTTTTGGGTCCATTGTCGCGTCTCGTCGTAACGACGTGTCTCTGGACGGACCCAATTCTTCCTTCAGAGAATCAAAACCAGGCTGATCGAGCCTGACTCTTGCAACTGCCTTCTCGACATCGTCAGTCACTAGTTCCACGTTGAATATACACTTTTTCACAATATCCTCACGGCCTATTTTGTTGAGAGCTTTCTCCAAAGTGTTTCCTGAAGAGAAGCAAAATATTCACTAGTTATTAAAAATCAAAGAAGTACTACGACACAGTCGATCACAGAAACGACATCAGATACAGATATTAAATCGACAGCATAATTTCCTGTCAAAGTTAAACAAACCTCGAGCAACCTTAACTTCCTGTTTGGGAGACTGTGTCTTTCGAAAAATTAACAAAAGCTCACTAACGTGAGAATTGGTAGCAGTGTTCTCATACTCTTGATACAGTGATATAAACATTTTCGGTCGGCTTGAAAAATTCAATTAAAAAACAATTCCTCCCAATGCTCCTGCTTTTATGTCACGTGTCCTGTTTTAGATGTAGAAAATTGTTGTTTTTTTTTCCTTTTTTTGAAACAAATCTACATTTATACATCAGTCATGATCCTCTGTTCGGTATACACTGCAGTCAAGGACTTATGAGCTTATCGATAAGCTTCCTTCGCACACACTATAAATAGTAACACTTTTACATAACGGACTGTATTATTTAAAGGGTATCGCGATTACGTGATTTAGAAGAATTTGTATTCAACGTGCGTATAACGAGCCAGCACACCACTGCAACTTCAGCAATGGCCTGCCGCGAAATGTTCGAGCAATGTTGTTATTTCTTCTGATTATAGTAATGATGCAGCGGGACGCTGTAGTGGGGCAACGGCGATAGCGATTAACGTGATCGTGAAAGAGAAAGAGAGAGGGAGAAGACAGAGAGAGGAGTTTATGTCAGGCATAGTAATGCGTGATGAGATCATCAACTACGTTTCTGCACAGATTCCACACGTGTGACTCAATGGCCCTACTGCGTTCTTCTTTATTTCACCTTGCTGTCAAACTGGTTTCGATTCACGTCGACGCCAGGGTGTTCATTATTTTTTTTTTCCTCACACCTCCAGGCAGTAGACACGAAATCGATGACGTACCTAGTGCCAGGAACTAGCGTGACGACTCTTACAAAATTGATTTATCAAAATGCAGGGACTGACGTCATTTGGAAGACAGAACAAAAATTATGCGATGACAAAATTCACGACTATGTTACATTGGCAAGAGCAAATAGCTGCGATTACCATTTTTGAGAGTCGTCGTTTATCAACAACGTCTGATGCTAATAAAGTGTCTCAAGAAATTATCACAGACGGATCTAATGAGCACGCATCGTGTATATTTGATTTGTTAGGCTTAGGATACGTAATTGGTAACTTCCCGCACTCGAGCGACGTTCTAACTTTAGACTGTAGTATTTAAATGATAAACATCTGCGACCCTGGAACTCAATGTGAATAATGGAATCGATTGCACGTGTCTTTGCCAGCAACGTAATCCAAAGTATTAGCGAACAGGTTGATTATCGTAGAGTGACATAATAATTTGACTCACCTGTGGCTTTGTTACCATTATCCTGCCAGAGCTTAAACATGGCGGCGGCCTGCTGTGCCGGCTTTCCAGGATGCTCCTTCTTGATCGCGTCAACGTCATTGGGAGGAATATTTAATTCCTCTGCTAATTTCACCCAGTCAGTGTCCAATAAGTTAGCGATGTCGGTCAGTCGGATGGTTGCCCTATGTATGGCATCCGGCCTACCTATAGACCATAGCCACAGAATAATAAGTACATAGTACATGCCTTTAATAACATATAGACATATTGACATACTGAGTCCGCCGTCTCGCAGAAAACTGTAATTCTTCGACAACTCCAGAAGGTCGAGCTCGGAAACCGCAGTGTCCGGAGATATTTTCTCCGGAAGCAGGATGTTCAGCGTGCAGATAGGCGTCTGCGAAGGTTCTCCCTTGGGAACCTTTGGTTCGCTCATGAACATAATGCGACCCATCATATCCGCTGCGTCAGGATCCTTGACCCTGGTAGTGAAGGGCACTCTGTTCTCCTTGAAAGCTCTGAAGGGTAGCTGAAGTTGTTCACCGCTCTTCAATACAGGCACTAGGTTACCAGCGAATTCCATGTACTGCGTTTTACCCTCCAGTACCTGGACAAATGATAAAATGGACAAAGCGGTTTGCCATGTAAGTTTTCATCCGGTTGAAAATTATATAAGCATTAATTCTCCATATGATCTCACCTCGACATCTCGACTCTTGGCTACTTCTGTGAAGTGTTCCTGGTGCTCTAACGTTTTGTCCTCCTTGTCATCTGTCATGCAGAAGACACGTAGTCTGGCCTCGAGCGGATCAACGCGTTTTGCAAATACCACGAATCTAAGGAGTACCACAGACATTCGAAATGAGAATTGCCATTGTTTATTAATCAAATTGTAATTACCAAACGGAACTTACTTCGCCATAAATGGCACGTGGGTTGCGTGGGTGTAGAGTTCCGTAGCCATTTTGGTAGCTTCAGATATATTCCGGCAATCCATTAACCAGAAGCGGGCTGATACGGTCGTTGTGAACGAAACGCAATCTTTGACGAAGGTCAGTGGCGTTGACCCGGTGACGTCCTCCCAGACCGCCCGAGACTGACCCCCTGAACGACATACATGTCAAGTCCAATAACATTATTAAAATATGTCCGTGCTGTTAGTACGCTGATGGCAGGAGTGTGATATTATGTGTACAATATGTGGATAAGTCATTGTTGTGTTAAAGACATTAAATGCAGTTCAATGATATAATATCTGATCCCTGCAGATCATTGACACAGGCTTAGAGAATCAAGAACAGTTTTATAAATTAATTTATATCACGATTAACTGCTATAATTCATTAATATCGGTATCATCATCTTTGAACTGTACTTAGATATCGGTGATCGCGTTTTTGTGCCTTGTCGAATTTTTACGTGCTTCATGTCACGTGACAACAATGGTAGAAGATCACACGTGTCCTTCGAATGATAATGCTTGCGAAAATATAGGAAATCAACATCCACATCCCATAATAATCGTGTAAAAAGCAACGTGTGTTAATGAAGGCAATTTAAGCGTTAAATTATAAGTCAATTAACTAGTGTAATTATTCGGTAACGAAGCTCTGTAAATATATATCTTATGTGGTATACATGTTATCGTTTAGCCATCTTTCATTTGTACCATACAGTAAAAAATTGTATATTTGCTACAATCGGCGTACAGCAATTGAATTTTTTTTAAATTTGTATTATTCATCTTGATCGATCATGATTTTTAATTGACTGTCAAGTCTTACGATAATCATCATTGCAATGTACCGACGCTGAGCATACGGATGTAAAAGTTTGGAGAAATTGTTATCAATGTTATCATCATGTACAAAGTCATATGTCTATTCATCTATAATCGAAGCAGTTTACCAGTCAAACGAATGTGCTGAAACATAAACTATCAGGTTGAGTACAATGAGCTAGAATTAGTAAAAAGTTTATCTACGTTAATTAATGATCCATACCTAACTGACTCAATCCTAACAATACGCAAGCATTAACAATGAATCACAACAAGATATGTATACAACAATGGTACTCAACAACATTTTCTTTTCTATGAAACATGCAGCTACCAACTGCCTTTCGAATCTCTGTCCGAGAATAAATGATAAAAAATTTGGTATTCCTCGTAATCACGTTTATAGACAGGAGCATCCGTATTTCTATCAGTTAATAATATCGCCAAGGCAATTAAACTAAATCTTCATTGATAAAATTGCAAGATAACAGTATCAAGAGACTCGTATACTCCAGAACGAAGAGATCTACAAGAACTATTTTCATAACAGGACTCTCAGATACTCAAGGATCGTCTAATATTACAAAAACAAAAATTTCTAGCTAAACCCAACTTGTTCAACTTATAGTAGATGATCAGCAACAAGGAATTTCTTTTTTTAAGGATTTCAAAATGCTTCTTATTTTATCCTATGAGAGCTCCATATTAAGACCAACTATTGTCATGCCTGCTATGCGTATTAGAGAATACAGAAACTAAATGACTAAAAACAGTGAATCTCTATTACGTCTATAATCGGTTAATTTCGTCACGGTAGTCTCGGACTTTTCGGCAAGAGATTGTCCAGTAAGATGGCCTGCTGCTCTACAATGTTACGCGCAAGCATATATTACCAGTTATGCTGCACAGGAGCCTAAGTGTCGGCGCGTCTCCTGAATATTGATTGATCATGCCTTTGTTGGCAGCTTGAGGCACAGGTATCGTCAAAGTGATAGGTTTGTGGAATTTTCTGCGACGTGGTTCCACCGTTACGATTGGTGACACGGCGACACGGTTCCCTAGGAGTTTTGCTACGAGTTCAGCAGGTATAGGATGTGCCTAAAGAGGGAGAGAGAGGAAAACTGTATATAAGACTATAAAGGAAAAAAAGGTTCAACATGATTCAGAATAAAATACGAATGCATACCTGCAGACCAACTCTGATCTTCTTAGTGAGTGCAGCTGGTGGAAATACAGCCTGCACCTGGGGAACTGCCGATGAGGATACAGTACCACCTTCGGGACCAACAGGATGAACTTCCTGTCTGATACGCGAGACTACAGCAAAGTAATGGGGAAAGTCTACGGTGAGGATTCTGACAATTCGTGACGTTTGGAGATCCTCCAGCTGGCTCAACTCTGTAATGAAGAAGGAGCGAATTAACGGTGAATAATAAATTCTATATTGAAAAGAGAAAAATTATCAAATTTTAATGACCTTCGCCCTCGAAGCTCTCGTTAAGCACATCCTGGACAGCCTCCTCGCTGGCTTCCAGGGTGTGCTCGCGCCAAGTTTCTCCATTGTCTGAACGTAGGATCACGATTTCTCGTTCCTTTCCACGCAGGGAAGCGAAGTGTGGCACCTCGATAATTACAGGCCTGTAAAAAAAAATTATTTTTTTTTTACTAAAACTAGAACCCTACTGTGAGCACCAAAATTACGAACCAACTGTTTTAATAATCATCCAATCGCGTTAAATCTGTATGGAAACTCCACGACTCACCCTAAGAATTTGGCACCGACTGGTCCAAGCTCGAGAATCCTGCTTGCCAACGCCTCGCCCTCCATCAACGGTGGAGGGTTGGTGAGTTTGTCCCTCTTGAGATACCTGCAGGTCACCCTCATAGGCATCGCTGCCTTACGTGGTGGCACTATCACTCGGACTCCGCTGTGACGGCAGCCCCGCATCGCACCACCCCTTGCATCCACCAGGAACGACACAAGGAAACTGTTCGTACAGAAAGATTCGTTAAAATCCATATTTGACTAGAATAAATACACGAGTTCTGTAACTTGCCCCAGATATATCAGTAATTTTGTCCAAGATAACAAATTTTCCAAAAAGCAAATCTATTTTTAGCCTTGAAAAGTTTTTTTTTCAATTTTCTACACATTTAACGAATGGACTCCAAACGTCAACGGAGACAAGTCACAGAAATATCTGACACAAGGGAGACGTCTGTAACTTTTCAATCTGTAATTTTCCACAGCTCGTGTATCTTGTACTTCTAATTAATTAGCAACAATCATCCCTAATTAGCCAAACAGCGCCGCTTCCACAAAGAGATAATTCATGTTGAAAGCAGTCTTTAGCGCATGTCCTGAAAAGTTACAGTTACGCAAAAAGCTTAAACAAGAGTATATAAGTGACGAGTATACAAAGAGACAATAAAAATAATATATATATACATATATAATATGTACATATTTACAAAAGGCCAATTCATATTAAGTCGTCGTATATGCCTACGTTCAGCTCGATCTAACGCGGCAAATATTTCTGTACGTACAAACGGCATTAAAAAATAATTAAAAAAAAATTACCGCGTACCGTATCTTAAGCTAATTTTTAATGACTAAATTTTTAGTGACTAAATTTTTTATTCAATTATATACTGTGCTTGGATCTCAGTGCTTCAGCGTCTCGTTGGTAGTACGTTAGCACAATATCGCCCCTTTCGGAAAATTACTGCACTAATCTCGTTAAGCAATCACGACAGCAGCGAGATCATTGCGACTAACGTCAAGCCAGACCGAGAGAAAGAGAGAGAATAAAAATAGAGAAAGATTTACATATATATATATATAGAGAGAAAGAGGCTCGAACTATGAAAAAGCTTGAATCATTAAAGTAGTGTCATTTTTCCTGTGTAAGAGCAATGATTTGTCATTGACGTGAGTAGTGAATATCGATAGATGACGATTTGGCCGTTAATTATTATATCATTGAGTGAAAATTGTGTATTCGGTCGGTACAATGTTAAATCGTAGGTGCTGATATATGTACGACTGATGATGGTAAAATGATACGATGACGTGGGTGGTGGTAACTGCACTAGAAATAAAAGTCAGAGCGATGCCATAATTAAATTAAATAACAAAGGGTGTATATGTACGCATAGCTCTAGCACACACGAAATATACAATATGACAATATCTAATTAAATGACTTGCTGTCTACGGCAACGAAAGTGAAAAATAATATAATCATTGGATCACGTAGTGAATACATAATACGTTGTGTACGTGATGACTGAAAACTTCATTACGTATTTTACGTAGAAGATGCAAAATTTTTATTTCCACGTTATTACTCATTGTGTTTATGTTTTTTCGCTTACTCTCGTGTACTTATTTATAGGTTAACTTGACGCTCGGGTAATCTAATTTCTGTCAATGACGCGGCGGCGGAGACTTTTATAAGACGCAACAAAGTCTCTACGGGCGCATTTCTAATTTACCGACAGGTAATAACGTGGAGATCAGTGACCGACTGATGAAATGCTCGATGATTGACACACGGATGTAAATAAATTAGCCAATCTATAAGCGGCCATTTCATTCGAATCTAATTCTAGATTAAAGACTAAAGAAAGCCGTTTTGACACATAATAATACCAAGATGAGATGGTTGCCAATTCGCCATATGTATTCACTGTGCGGCTACTGATGCTGATTATTAAATAAACGATGATCTCTCACAAGTGAAGGCTGGGAACGAGAGGCGGTACAAAAAAAAAAGTAATAATTGAGCAGCTACGTTGTATGGGTACGACGAGGAAGTGCAGCGAGAGTGAGAGAGAGAATAGAGACAGAGAGATCAACGGAAAAAAGATAAATAGCAAATAGATAAGGCAGGGTATACGCAAATTAACACATAGAAGTATCTGTGAGCAGAATGAATAACGAAAAGAAAGCCGGAGGCTAAGATTTCAAGAGAAGTTCACTTACTTTCTCCATTGTGGAATTCTGCGAGTAGCGCAAATAAAATAACAGAAAGGATCGGAAACAAAATAAAAACACGCGTTAGTATTCATTCGTCAATAAACATGAAAAGTGAGAGATGGCACAGATGATATCGTGGCGCTACTTATTTTTCTTTTCTACGTATCGATGAGAATCGAACGATTCTCGAAGCGGAACGTCGTCATTGAAATTTAAGTTTTTTCCTGCAAATAATATTTCATTTACTTTTAATATCCCGATTCGCGAAAGTCAAACGTCAACTAAATTCTTGCACTTCGAGAATCTTCGTTTTCGTCTCCTTTCTTGTTTTTCCTTACTTTTAATTCCAAACACGTACACAGCCTATCCTTCTGTATAATGTATGTACAATGTAGGTATACAACAGTTATTAATTATGTATTATAGTGGAAATCGGTGGTGCGGTAATTCATTCACACTGGTGCACTATAGGCGTAATGTATAATTAACTTAAATAATAATAATGACAATAATACATTATAAACCTCGGGGCATAATGAAAACAGTCTACGTAAAACGTCACGTTATTATTGTAAAATGTAAATCTGGTAACAGCCACTAGAAGCAACAATATTCTATAATCAGATGAATTAGTAATTTAAAAAATTAATTAAATACTGTTTGTAAATTACGAAGAATGGTAGTTACTATTAAATGCTGCGACTGGGAGGTGGGATTAATTTGCAATAAGCATAATTAATATTTTTTTTTAATTCCAACAAACCGATCGCTGGCGATCTTCAATCGTTACCTTCTTGCGGATCTATAGTTATACTTTCAATGAAAAAAAAAAAAAAACAAAGTTCTTTGGAATTACGTGTATTTCAATGAAAAAAATTATCGATCGCGAGACGTCATTTTCGTGATTGGTATTCGTGTTATTGCACGAGGTCACAAGGTGACGGATAATAAATAAAATTAAGTATTTCTCTCTGCGCCGAGGTTCTTGTATGCGATGACGCGAGCTTCCGCAATGGAAATTAACGAGATGCGTTATTGTATAAATATTTATAGTGATATATTTCGATAGATATAATACAACGAGTCAATTGGTGGATATAAGAAAGAGGACGGAAGAAAAAAGAGAAGGGAGAAAGTTCAAGGGCAATAATGACGAAGAAAAAGAAGAAACAGATCAATAATCGAGAGCGATAGATTTTCATTCTTGGTTTTTTTTTTTATTGCATTTATTTTCTTGGCACTCCTGCCATCGCTTTGGGAACAATTAGCTTTGCCAGAGGTAAAATTAAGAATGAAGGTAATTTAAAGAGAAAAAAAAAGAATGGGTATAGTGTACCTGTCCCTCCACATTCCTTGTCCTTTTGGCACGATACCAAGGGCTGCCAGCGACGTATTTAAGGACTCTAGTGACGCGCTATTCTCAGAACAAAACTGCTTGTGATTATCCGGAGCCAGCCGTCCCTATAATCGTGCTCATGCTCTTCCTTGCCTCGTGCATTGTGAAAAGAAAGTCTTTCGTGTTCGTTTTGCGTGTTATTAATTTTCAAATTCTTTTCAAATCAATATCATACATAAGTAGCAAACGCTAAAATAAATTCTTGTACTACCAAAGTGCTACGGCTGATGCCATTGGTGGTGAAGATGAATGAGATAAATGACATATAGACAGATGAATGAAATTCTGTGTTAATGGTCTCGTGTGAAAGATACAAGATTTTCAAAGAGAAAAATCTAAAGGGGCACTAAGTACCTATCTCCCATCCGTCAGTGATCCAATTTCGAAATTACCTTTGACATGTTTGGTTTTTAGTTTGTAAAGAGATAGAACAAAAAAGTTGATCATTTCTTTACGTACGCTCCATATTCACGTTCACGACGACACGGACGCGATGCGTTATTTATGGTGTTTCCGTTAACAAAAGACATTGTAGTAGATTGAAAAAATTCCGCGTTAATTATATTTCACGAAATACAATGGCTGAGATGCGCAGAACACGAGTCGTCTGCGTCGACTGCACCTCAGTCCGGAGGTTAATCGAACGAACGAATGTATCGTGGGTGCATTGATTAGAATCAGTGGTAAAATGTGACTTACTGTATTACCAATTGATATTCGTAACGCGATGCTCTTGGTTGGGAATGTTCATTCAATATTCATTCGTTAATTCATGACTTCTACAAGCTCCGATATTACAGTTATGCAAGATGCCAGTATGAAGTCTTTCAGACATAACAATGTCTTTGAGGTTAATTCTTAAGAATTGTCACTTATTATTAATTAATCTGCAGCTTTGACAGCTCTGTACATTTATTTTTTTTTTACGAGAAAGAAAAAACGTCAGTTTCAACCCTTTCACTGAATTACTCAAGGCCGGGTTGATCAGCGATGTTTCAAGTAAACATAATACGTTATTTCAGTATGGAATGACTCGTTGCGTAGTGATACCTCTCAAGTTAATTCTCTCCACTCGTTTACGCCTTATCTATCTATTACCGGACTGGTTTTGTAGGATTCAATAGGAAATAATGATGAATCATTCGCGAGAAGTGGTACGTATTAAGATTCATGAAAGAAAGACTCAAAATTCATGCCAAATAGTAGTCACACAGCATATGCTCTCACAGAGAAAGAAACCAAGGTAACGTTGTCATATGTGGTCTACCATTTTTCTTATACTAGAAATGCGTGCAATTTTAGTTTTTTTAAACTAGGGTTTTTAAAACACGTTTTTAAAAAACTATAACAATATAGTACATTAAATTTTAGACTGATTGACCTTTGGTGGACTCCAGCTTATTGGAGGTATGGAAAACCAAGAAATTCGAAGTAGACCGCACATGATATGCTGGGAAAAAGCAGGCAGGCCGCATACAACAATGTTACCGTAAAACCATTTCTTTGTCCTGAGTTAAAAAAAATTCTGGAGAAGTGTAGTGAAAAAAATTAGGCAAAGTACTCATCACTCAAAGAACTCAATCCTTGAAGAACTATCTCATGACGTAAAGTCAAGAAAATTTTGCAGTGCAATGCAATTTTAAGGGTACAAAGGTGCTTCATTTTCAGTGAATGACTTTTTTGTCTCAAGGCAGAGAAAAACACAATGAAGAAGAAGAATAAGTGAGATAAAATAAAACTAATTATATTTCAAAATTTCTCTGGTTGGCCTGTTGTGTTCGACCAGGTGACTGTACCTGATCATTCCAAAGAATCCAAGAAGAACTAATGAAAACTATTACTGTTAGAGAATAGAGCAAGCAGTCTTTCACCAGCACACACCAAATCACACTATAATACACAATAAAGTATCGTTTTACTGTAAAGCTATAGTTGTGATATTTACAAAAATAGTTCAATGAATTATTGTCACCCGTACAGTCTCTCTTGAAACTTCTTTAGTAAGTATTTAGAGACTCCTTCGTTACACCGTATATTCATGGAATGAATTTACAAGACAAAGAATGATTGAATAATTATTATCGTACGAAAGAGACTCATTATTTAACATAGTCAACAAGAATGGGTTCAACATTGACATAAAAGCAATTACAATAATTAACTTATCTCATAGTTCATTCAATGAATAACATGACTGTACTTAATGATCGTGTGTGTACAAAAAGTATTTATCAATTCTTCATACGCAATAATAAATTCCTAACTTCACACAAGTCACTGTCAATATATATCATAACAACAATTACCCAAAAGAGATTATTATGAGATAAACTGAATATATCAGCTTGCACCGCAAATGGATAACCAAATTCCAAATATTTTTTTTGACTCAAGCTCAAATATTATCTCACAGCGTTATCAATCTTTAAAATACTCAACGAATCTATGTATTTGTTAATCACAATAGTCAATATCAAAAAAGTAAATTGTCCATAGAGTAATAAAAGTCCTACAAGAACCGTCCAAATTATTAATACAACTACCGTCGCTAAGTCTGGCTATAATAAATAATTAAAGCAAAAGATACATACCCAACGTGTACCGGATGCCTATTGATGTCAACATTATCCGGTTTGAGATTCGCAGCATTCGATCGATGGTAACTCTCCTTGGTAATCATTTCTGTAATGGTGGGTGCTGAAATAAAAAGTACAAAATTAAAATTAACTCGCCAATCTAAATTTCTGATATATCATAGATTATACAGAGTATTAACAAAGCCATGAATAAACAATTGACTTACTAGAGGAGAATGATTGATAAAAATGTATAATTAACAAATAAGAAGACAGTATGTAAATAATGATGAATTATTGAGAGTCCAGTCTTAAGGTTGCATAAAGTATCTAGATCATAGTCACAAATACTTCTTATATGAGAAAACTGTCACCAATGACACTGACTCTATAAATAGGAATGCTCTATGGGTCATTAGGTTGAATCTATAGTGACTTTCAATACCAACTGGATGAACTCACCGTTAGAATGTCGATTGTCTCTCTCATCGTCGGTGACGTTGACGCGCATGGAATCATCACCCATTGACTTCATGTCATCAACTGTCATGTAGCGGTATTGTTGCTGATCGCTGAGCATCGGATCCTCGCCTGGAACAGGTCGCTTCGTAAGTACACAAGAAGAAAAACAGACAATCTTAACGCCATTAGTAAAGCGTCAGAAATATCTGACACGACACCTTGACAAATATTTTTGTGTCCATTCGACCATTCGGATAAAGATACAAGTCTAGGAATATATTAAACAAAAATAAATATGATAGAGAGGAAACATAGATAATCTAAGTATAATGAGCTGTGTAAAATGGTGTGCATGAGCATGAAAATGGCAAAAACGATAATAAAACAATAATTATGAGCGAGGCAAAAAGAAATTTCAATAGTCGCCACCAATGTTAATATGATTGGTAAATAGTTAAGCCGAAGAAGCAGTATATATATAATCTATATATATATATATATAATGGTTATTAAGTTTCCAGCCAGTCCTTTTTTATCTGGTATCGACACCGTTCCAAAGCGGGATTCGATTGCCTCGTGTTCCTAAGATTTTTTAACACAAAGCAGAGACGCGTCCATCAGCCGATAGGCAGAAAATATTTTGAGACTTCGTTTTTCACGGTTATTCTCGGCCCTCCTGAGAGCTTTCTCGTTCCGTCAGTCCTACTCAACTAACTAGCCTGAGATTAAACAAGCGCCGACTCCTTGTATCCATTTATATAAAATCGAGCCGTTGGTCAACAATATTGTACAGCTGTAAGATCAGATATTAGCTTGAGAAGAATTTTTGTTTGACCATCAAACACACGTTTTGTTTCTACTCTTGCTTTAAACGATAAAATCAACAATTTTATGAGCAATCAGTATCTCGTGCTTGCTATCGCTGAATTAACTTCTTATCAACTAACGTATTACGCACGACGGATTTTCAAATGTTGAATAACAAAGTCGACTGGATTTATGAATTATTTCATATTTTTTTCGTAATTGTCAAATTTGCAGAAAACGGCAAGATACTCGATGTGAGCTAAGAGATATTTCAGGAAAGTGCTTTACAAATTATCCAATTGATGATCAGCCCACAAAATGAACCCACGCTCAATGACGTCACGGCCATTAAATATCATACAATTAGAATTATCAAATATTCTAATCGTTAGCACGCTTTCGAAAGACTTTAACAAGTGCAATTTATGCTTTACCCAGTTCGTACAATTAATATTGTGCTAATTAGTAAGACGATAGAGGTCGAAAATTAAATTGACGATTTCCAATACTGCACGGATGCGTCTGACCGGCTAATTCTAAATTCTAAAACGCTAATGGTCGCTGCTCAAGGGTAGACCGCTCTGAAAGCGTCTCTGTTTATTCCAACTTCAGACTATCTATACGGTTGACCTCACCGGCGAGTCCGACCTACATTTTTCAGTGCGCGTAAACGTCTATGAAAACTAATTAATCGAATCAAATCAAATCAAGCTTGATAACATTAACCCGAAGCTGTCACGGACCAAAATAGTTCAGATCTATGGTGGTTTGAAATTTATGTAACTTCGTTCCGCTCGACCCATTTAAAACACACCGACTAAATTACCATCCGTCCAGCGACGGCCTAGAAGCCGATTCCCAGTAAATACAGAGCTCCGGCTTACGCGAAGCTGGCCACAATTTTTTGAAAATACCGCGCAAACAAACCACCCTCAAGTACCGCGAAAACGCGAGAATAGACATGGCCGCAGCGCCTCTAGCTCCTACTTACTCTTTGTCTTCCTTTTGAATTTCCCGCCAAGCTTAGACAATTTCTTCAGTATGTAATGCATCTCTACCAAGTATAATCCCAGACAAAACCAGATAGCAAATTCCAAACGATCCTCCTTGCCGTGGTGGAAGCGTCGATATCGAAAAACTTAGTGAAACAACGGGAATGCGCTTCGGACAGTTAACCCAATGCGTTACTTACGTTATCGACAATAGTGTAATAACGATAAGAAGATAGCAGCTATCCATTGACGTACAAAAGTACTGATTAAAATCTCAGACGTAATGGTCTGACAAGAAAAAGATCAATTATTACGATCGTCCTTGAATTTAAATTTGGCATTGTCGCCTAGCCGCAGAATACACGAATTAAAAAATTTTCCAAAATTCCTTATCACTTCCTATCTAAACACCCGCAGGCACGTATGCAGTAACAGTCGCTCCTACGGGTTCAACCATCTTGGTCGTACAGGCTATTAAACAGTTAAGTGACTTAATGACTGATTCTTGCTCCCCCAACGTCCTCCCACCTTTTGACAATTCCATTCAATCCAAAACTCTCTACCTGACCCAATTTAACCATATGAATACCAATAGCTTTCTCGATTCGTTAAAACGGTCCTGGCGGTTCCATGCGTGGGACGTGGCGCAACGTGTTTACAAAGCTAGCATTGTTCCCACTCATAAGGATAACGAGGATACAAAGTGATCGTGACGCTACGGCGCGAGATTTTGAATACAAATTGAATTGACTTCGCAAGACACAAACTGCAATAACAAGGTAATACTTGTCGAATAGATTCGCCATATGATCTTATTGTAAAGGATTATTCTAAATTGCGCCGCCGTAACGATGTTAAAGAGTTTCGCAACGCGTTACGTCATGAGAGACAGTAACTTTAACGTGTCATTGATGTATTTACATATTACGTCGCTGTTCCTGTTGCGAGCGCATCCGCAGCAGGCCATCTTCTTGGACTTCTTCCTTCCTTTGACTTCCTTGGTCTCCTCCTTTGGCATCGCGGTATCACTATGTCTCTTTACAATTGCTCGATTCGCCAGCCAATTACATTCACCGGTTACTGCTGTTTTGTGCACGGTAACATTAATTACGTCACTTCACTAATTACAAACAGCTGCTATATGCTTACAATGTTTCTTCGTCGCAATTAACAATCGCAGAGCGCACAATGTACAATAGCATGGGCACAATTACAAAAGCTTTCGCTTTGATTATATATTAATTTTTTCTCTTGAGAATACTTCACGGGTCACCGATCTTCTTCTTCGAGGTTAAACTCAAGAGTCAACTTCCTGGCACTCCTGAGCTCCCTCGAGCCCCAGTACTATCTGAAGGTACTTGAACCGTGATTGGTATTTTCTTATCATCCACCAAGAACACCTTTCCCCGTTGATTAGGCTCACAAGCGTTCAAAGGTCTGCGTATGGTTTTACGTTTCTTCTCTATTTGCCCTGCAGGAAGGCGTCTTCTGATCTTCAGGGTGGCTCCAGTATCGGCTGCGGGATTCAGGAACAGCGACTGACTTGAGGATTAATACATGTTCGGCGCAAGCCTAGAGATGTGACCTCGTTCCGTGAATCACCAATTTTATAATAAGATCTGCCCTCACGGCTATTTCGCAACTTTATTTACACTGGCTTGTATTTTCACTAACTTCTTGAACGGCAGTCGTATCGCCGATAACCCCTTCAGCCGACCGCGAGACAGAAGAAAATAATCCAGAGAAGCAGGAAGGGAACTGGCGAGCTTACGATCTTTGATAATCCGAGACACTTCTGACCTCGTTAATTGTCATTTATTGGAAGTGTCAATCCGCTTGTTACTTTACGTTTTATCCAAGGTTGAGGTTAGACCTGAACCTTTGGGACGTTTTCATGAAGATTCTTCATCCTCTACGGTTTTCGTGTAAACGCTGTACAAGGTCAATGTCGTAATCACGTAAACTAGCTTGGGATTAAAAATTCACAAAAAAATTGAATTTTTTCGTACGGTTCGACGTTGTCGTTTACGAGTTATCACAGTCACGTTTACAATCCGCGACAGTCGCCACGAAACAGACGAACGTTTAAACAGTTCTCACAGATATCTAACATCTTTCGGATTGGTTCTCCCTGCCAGTCGATTTTCACAATTTTCTTTCCTCATCCAACAGTATTATATTTCGGATCAGAAGCGAGAACAATAAATAAAAAAAAATCGGTTTTGAACGTACAAAGAGTGTTTCATAAAAAATCTTTCTATATCGCGACAAAAATTATTACGCGATACCATAAAGTTGTACGACTCGAATGAGCGTCCCGGCGCCCGTTACAACAATCACCGGTCGCGGGTGTGAAAACGCGAGTGTTGTAATCGACAGGCAAAGGAAGAAAAAGAAAAAGCAAAATAGTAGCTCGCAAGCACCGTTATATAAATTAGTATATTTCGGTCGACAGTTCGACTTTTGGCTTGCAGCCAGGCGCAAGCTGAACTGACTCCGCGAGAAAACAAGAGTCATGAAACAAGGCCCGTGCACGGCGCCCGTTGCGTAACAGGTAGCAGTGGGAGAATAAATCGAGAGGGAGAAGAGAACGCGAGAAAACGAAGGAGATCCCAAAGAGCGAAACCGCCAATGGCTACGTCAAATTGAACAATAAAACGAGCAGCTGCGTTACGCGTGCAGTTGCAGTCGCAGCTGCTAGGTCGACCGTGCTCCTAGAGCAACTATGGGTACCATCATCATCATAGTCATCGTACGTGTCCCATTGCCATGCAAATTCCATTAACAATTGCACGCCCTATTTCTTCGTAGCTAACGTCACGTCGACGCCGTCGCACTAGACTTCATAAGTGGGCGCGGGATCCTGACCCCCCCGTGGATCCTTCTGTGCGAACAGACTCTGATGATCGAAGGCGCGCGGGATCAGCCTACGGCTGAGCTCCTTGACAAATGTTCGAACGAGTCTCCTGCCGTTTCGGTACTTAACGCACGGACGCTCGGGAGACGATTCTCTCCTTTACTTAGATCTAAACGTTTATACATAGTGCCTGACCTCTATCACTGCTAATTATAGATTTCCACCCGCAGTGCATACCGACGCTACTCGCTCTAACCTACTGGCACATTTAAGAAAGCTTCGTATCCTCCTTCGTACTGCAATAACAAACTGGTCTTGTATTCTATGAACGCTTTTAACTCTAAATCCTTGCGGGATGCACTTCGTGAACAGTATCTTCTTTCATTGAATTGGCTGGACTCCGGTAGTGATGGCGTGTGGTAAAACAATGCTCGAGCTGTGCTGTCCAGGATGGTGATTATCATGAGAGAAGAATTAAAAGTCATTACTGGTATTACAATGGTGTGTCTTACGTGATGGAATATTATGTATTACATACAGAGGATTGAGTGTCCGGAAATAAAACATGGTCGCTAATAAATGCACTGTTGGTCTGTCATTTACTTCAGCCAAACATGTACGTTCCACATGACGTGTGACCAAATGGATCTGGGGTCCTCCTGTTTCCTCTTCCTTGAGAAAGCTTGATAGCGTTCAGATAGACTCCTGCGGGAAAGCTTCGAAATTTGATAAATAGTATTAATCGGGTATAGATGTAAATTTCAATAAGACATCTTACCAAGCGCTATCAGTATTTCGCAAAGATTTCTTTTAATCAGTCACGACGCCAGGGGTGGTGAAGGATTTCAACGTGGGATACGTAGCTATGGTGTGTATGATTAATATGTATGTTTTGAGATAGAGGTAGAACGAGAAAATTAAAGAGAGAGAGAGAGAGAGAGAGAGAGACAGTGATAGAGAGAACTTACGAGTGTAGGTCATTTGGCCCTGGTAGTAGGAAGGGAGGTACACGTGTTGCGCGTGTGGCGGCTGCCCGTACACATTCATGGCCGCCATGCCGATTTCATCGCCACCTACATCGCACGCCATCGAATAAGCTCGTTCGTGGTAAAATTCCCATAATTTTTTTTGTCTTCGATAATTTCTGCTTCTAAATTTAGACTTATTCACTGGGTTGTTTCACTAATTGGCAGAAATCTGGCGTATGCTCGTGTATAATGGAAATTTTTATTGAATTTTTTTTTCTTTTTTAATACCGATTCAAACGCACAGAGGGACACATTACTTGTGGACTGGCATTCACTGAACTTGGAGAATATGTCGTTGGAATTCTAGGTTAGAAATTGTCATTCTGATTTCGCACTCAACTATTGTTCTACCGTAACGATGCACGTTCCTTGGCGTTGCAGATTAATCTTGCCGGGATAACTTAGCTACTCGATTGTATTTTTATGCATTTTGACACTTTTAGGATTACCCGTGAAAGGATGCATTTTGAGGATTTTTGAAATTTTTTTTTTCCTCATACGTGCGCATGAGAATTTCAATGCGCTTGAAGGGTTAGTGAAAAGTTACGTGGATTTTTATCGAGAAAATTGTAATTTTTATCTATATTGCATAAAAAGTGGTCGTTCAGTTTTTTCTTTTTTTTTTTTTTTTTTTTTTTTTTTTTTTTTTTTTTTTTTTTTTTTTTTTTTCGAATTTGGATAACAACCCAGCGAACTTTTGTGCTAAGATACATGCTCTTGCGAAACGAATGCAAATTCGAACGTAATAGAAGAAGCAAATAAAATTTTAAAAATTAATATATCGATCGAAACAATAGTTTGGTGGAATTTTGAAAAAAGTTCAAAAAGTCATTTTTGCGAGAGACAAAGAAATTCTTGGGTTTCTTTTTTTTTTTTAATACCAGATCCCACCCCTGTGCTAATTATACTCTCAATGAAACTGACCTACGCCAATCGATAAACTTTAACTTCGTTAACCATGCTATTGCACTTATTCTCGAATTCTAACTAATTCTTCGGCGTTCCTAAATACTTTCAGTCTTCGCGCTTTCGAAAATTCCCGCAACTATTCATCTCTTCGGCGGAAGATAGAAGATGAAACTTCAAATCGGGTAACTCAAATGCATAAGCAACCACACGGGAAACACCATGCGAGAGAATAAAGTTCGACACGTGCTTTAATCCACATGCAATTTCCTCCATATCCTTTTTGCCATGCAAAACTTAATATTGCAAATTCACTTGAAACACAAAATTACTTAACTATATACATAATAAGTATACATAATCAGAACAGTATTTCCTTCATTTTTTTTTTTAATACTAAAAAAGGCAAAAACTAACCCCGTTCCTATTCGTTTGTCATGCAAATGTGTCTTCGTTACAAGACGTAACAATAAATAGTGGAAATCCTCCGTATTATTTTCAAAAAAAATCCCAAAAAGAAGAAACTGCTAGCGCAGTTGCGTCCCGTCGACGTCGACGCTCGTCTCGGCAGATACTATCGTGACGCAATGTTCTTTTGCAAAATTTAATCATAAATTTTGAGTAAAACAACAAGAAAAAAGTAACTAAAAGAACATCCACTGCCAATTAACTTCACGACACGTAAAATAATTTTGAAAAATTCGTAGCTTCTCGCAGTCTCCAATCTCCTTGGACATGCTGAAGAACTTACCACCTTCGTCCTCGCTGTCGCTCATGAATGTCTCCTGCATAGATTCCGGTGCCTGCACCTTGTACTTCTCCTCGACGGTGACGGTGTGAGTCGTCGTGATGATGGTCTCGGTGACGACTTTAAGAGTCTCCACGACGCTGATGTATCCAAGCTTTTGGGCAATGTCCAAAGCCGTTTGTCCATTCTGATCAAAGATAATTTGGACAAGTTAAAAATCAGGTACAAGAAACATAAGATATGAAGATTTACTGGAGTTAACCTTGGATCAACTTACGTTCGTAACAGCGTTAGGCTTGGCTTTGCTTCCCAGCAACAAGTTTATGACCACCGTATGTCCTTGCTGAGCAGCTTGATGTAACGGAGTATAACCAGCACCTGTGCTGCTGTCGACTGCGGCACCAGATCTCAACAAAAACCGTACCATGGCTGTTTGTCCGAAATGAGCTGCCACGTGTAAGGGCGTGTAGCCAGCCTGATTAGGAAAAATTAAAAATCTAATTAAAAAAGATATAAAAGAGAAGACTGGAAACCTGGTATCAACGAGCACGGTTCACGTTGTCCGTTGAACTGGACAGTGAATATTGAAGGAAAATAAGGACTATGGAAAAAAATAGAGCGAACCAAGGACAATTAAGACTCTCGTTATGAGTTCAGTGGCAACTGAACCAACGACGTCATGATTATCAGACTTGATCTAATACGTTTCAATCACCGGCAGCTGATTGATTACCTTAGTCTTTGCGTCGATCTCAGCACCGTTTTTCACGAGGATCGAAGCCACGTTGACCTTATCCTCTTGTGCGCATAAATGTAGTGGCGTAAGACCATTCTGTAGGAAAAAGGAATCAGGCTGATGAAGTATATATATATATTTTTCAAAGATCATATATAATGACAATAACTATTATTGACTGACCTTAGCTTTGTGATTGGTGTCTGCCTTGTGTTCAATGAGCAACGTTGACATATCGGTGTGTCCCTCCTGTGCGCTCAAATGAAGCGGTGTGAAGCCCGCCTTTGATTCAGCATTTGCTTTGGCTCCGTATTCCAATAACGTAGTCGCAATGTCCATCTGACGTGAGAATGCATACATCAGACACGAGTACCGAGCCAGGTGAAACGGAAGTAGAGATTCTCATTCGAGACAAATAAGTTAAATTGTTTAAACATTAGCACTGAAGAAACCAGCTTGAAGGTGAACTTACCTGATTCTTACGAGCAGCAATATGCAGAGGCGTGTGACCGTTCTTAGCCATGGCGTGCGGCGAGGCACCCTTGTCCAGTAAAAGTAAAGCCACGTTCTGATGATCGTAATGCGACGCCACATGAAGCGGAGTAACTCCATTCTGTGTGTTAGTCAGGCAAGCAAGGACGCGACGAAATGAAAAAAAAGAACGTACACGTTTGTTAAGAACATACGTTTCTGAATCCTCGTAAAAGGGTTATAAAGATAAAAGTAATTCTGAGCTTGTTTATGATATCCAGTAACGTACACATAAAAACTTCAAACAAATGTGAATTATTACACAAAGCCAATCCTCTACCTTTCCTTGGGCGTCTACCGGTGCGTTCTTCTGCAGCAGAAGTCTGGCCACGTTCATGTTGCCGTATTTGGCAGCCAGGTGAAGTGGGGTGAAGCCCTTCTTCGTGGTGGCTGTTAAGGAGGCGCCATTTTCCAGCAACACGGATGCGACCTATCAAGCGTCAAATTGATATAAGGATTAGTCACGAGTTGAGAAGTGATTCAAATTAAATAAAACAGTCACCTCTTCCTGTCCTTCCTTAGCTGCAATATGAAGTGGAGTATACAGGTCCTTCGTAGTGGCATCCACGTCGGCACCGTGCTGCAATAGCAACATGACGATATCCACGTTCCCTAAGCGAGAAGCAACGTGAAGCGGCGTCTGTTCCTCCTGCGAGAAGTTCCTCCGTCAATAAACATCCCCACGAGGGCAATAAAAGAATGAAATCCAAAGAAAATAATCTGAATCTCACCCTCGCCCTGGCGTCGACCTGTGCACCGTTCCTCAGGAGTATCCTAATGATGTCAGTCTGATTAGCCCTGGCAGCCAGATGCAATGGCGTTTCACCCCGAACAGTAGGAATGTCTGGACTAGCTTCGTGTTGTAACAAGTAGATGACGATGTTCATGCAGCCCATGAAGCTCGCCACGTGAAGAGGCGTTAGCCCGGACTAAATAGATATTAAAATTAGAAAAATATAATCGACTGCGAACCCACGTTAATTATCACATCAATACAAAGTATATATAATAACCTCGGTAGTAGCTTCGATGCTAGCTTTATGCTTGAGAAGCAGCTCGACGACCTTTATCCTATTTTTCTTGCATGCGATGTGAAGGGGCGTGAAGCCGTTAAGCGCCCTGGCGTTAGGATCGGCATTTCTGTCAAGAAGAAGTTTCGCCACGCGAACGTGACCGCAATGAGCAGCTACGTGCAGAGCGGTTAAGTAATCAACGGTCACTTCGTCAACGGGTGCCCGATGATAAAGAAGAATCCTGGCAGCATCTACGTGATCCCCTTGGGACGCCATGTGTAAAGGCGCGAGACCATTCTGCGTGAGAAGAAAATAAGATTGTCAAAGAAGATGGCTCCATTATGATCTTCCGTGGACCAGCAGGGATCCAGCATGGGCATACCTTCGTTTTCGAGCCAATCGGTGCTCCTTTTTCTATGAGAATGTCAACCACCTCGTGATGTCCTGATCTTGCAGCACAGTGAAGCGGCGTCAATCCGTCTCTCGTTTTCGCTTCGATATTCGCACCCTTGCTCATTAAGAGATTAACCATCTTGATTTTACCCCACTTAGCTGCCACGTGCATGGGTGTGATGTTGTGCTAATTGACAGTCGAATCAGTTAATTAACTAGACCATAGTCCCTATACAGGGATCTTAATAATCAATAAGATCCACTGACAGCCATCTCGTAAGCATCTATTTGTATCTTTACCTTGGCAGCAAAATTAACATCAGCTCCTTTATCATAGAGCAATGAAGCGATTCGGTCGTTGCCATAATGTGCGGCTATGTGAAGTGGCGTGAATCCACTTTTCGACGTTACGTCAGGATTGTGATCGTTCTATTAACAATAGAAAAAAATTATCAAAAAACAAATTTCAACAAAACAGTTTCCTCGCGTATCCAAATTCAGACCCACTTGTAAAAGCAGTGCAGCAGCCTTGCAGTCGTCCTTCTTAGCGGCAATGTGAAGTGCAGGAAGTCGTACCTTGCCGCGGGTATCGCTTTCCAATAAAACAGCAACAACCTTATCGTGTCCCTGTTGCATGGCAACAGCCAATGGCGTGAATCCGTCCTGCAAGTAATAAAATAAATAAAATTACGAGTGCGAATAAAATATGGATTTAAAGGAAGGGCCTGAGGCTTTCATACAAAATGAAATCTACCTCGGTAGCGAGTGTCTGGTTGGCGCCTTTGCTGAGCAGGAACTTGACGACGGAGTCATGGTTCTCCTGGGCGGCCATGTAAAGAGGTGTGAAGCCATTTTGCGACTGTGCATTAACCGATGCGCCACGTTGCACCAGTAACTGCACAACCTCCTCTTGTCCGGCTGCGATAAAATCGAGTACTCCTTAACACGGCTAATGCCTTACTGGGTTGGGATCCACTATTACTTTTACTATCACCAGCACAATTCCTATCTCCCCATTACCCACTACCGTACACGCTGTACCGATCTTAGCGACCATAACAAAACGTACAAGAACATCAGACAAAACAGGTTTGCCACAGGGTACGACCCTCACGAACCATACAATCGCATCTTACGCATTCGCCATAACAGACGGAAATCGAATTTTCCTCGAGAATAACTTTAACACCGGAAGTGTGGGACGTATTCGAATCTTATATAACTCGCATCCGGTCGTTCATTTTTCTTTTCTGTAAATATCCATCGATCTGACAGTTGGTCCTGAACCTCTTATCGACGATCACGTAAGACGTTCCCGTATGGTCCATGGGAGTGATCCTAAAAATAAAAAAGGCCAATTAGACAGTCGTCAGCTACTTTGACTTACCAAGAGAAGCAATGTGCAACGCGGTGTTTCCTTTTTTCGTAGCAGCATCTACGATGGCACCGCGACTCAGGAGTTCCCTGACTATTTCTAAATGACCATCCTTAGCAGCGAGGTGTAAAGCGTTTAAGCCGTTCTGAAAGAAAAAAATTGAACAGTGGTTAGAAGATGGAATTTACTTGCAAGGACGATTATTGATATGTTCTTTTGGACGACGTCACGTTTACGGTAGAATTCCAATCTGAAGTCAGGGCCGTGCAGGAAGCATAAGGATGAGGATCAAAAGGGCCCAAGGGCGAGAATCTCGTAGAGATGGACTTAACTGCCGCCGCTTATGGGACGTATAAGGATACTGGGATCTACAGGGTGGGACAATAACCTTGGATGTTCGTTAGGGTAGTAATGGGGGGAATTTAAAAGTGCCAGAGGCGTCACCGAAGTGCATCGGGGTTCATCCTGAGGCCACCTCGAGAAAATCCCCCTTGGCTTCGAGCTGCAGGGACCTCATGGTTTGTGCTCTTGGACATCAAGCGAGACAGCTCTTTTGTCTGCCAAAACGAAATTTTATCGCTCGATTAACCATTGTCAAACGAAATCAAAGGAATGCCGAAGAAAATTATTTTTTTTCCTTACCGAATTTTTCTTTCATTACATTACCAAGGGGGTCTTTCAAGTCCTTAGCCCAGGGCAGCCCTTTAAGATACCAATTAAAGCAAATTATTCTTAATACTCACAGCGTTAGAAGCGTTTATGTCGACTCCGGATTCTAAATATTCCAAAACCTTTTCCAGCTGGCCCGCCCTAGCAGCCCTTAAAAATGCCGTGCTGGGATCACTCTGTAAAAAAGGGAAAATTTAATTAAAATTTTCAATTAATATTTCACACGATGTGATATTGATAGAAAAAATTAATTAGACAATTTTTCAAAAAAATGTCTTCGCTACACCCCATCCACGTGTTTCTCGCATCTTGCAAAAACAGTCTTACTACCGGTCTATTAATTACTACGCGAAGTGCCTTCTCCGTCCCGAGGCACACGGGCAACACGCGAGGCTAATCCAAGTGCATAGACCACGATGCATATTCATGGTAACGATACCCGCCTTCGGACAGACATTAATTGCCAGAGTGGTTCCCAAGTGCGGCAATAAGTAAGTAATAGCCAGACACACGCCGTGTATACGGTAGAACATGACTCAATGATAGATGCATATAGTTCAAGGAAAAGACTATGAACGTAAAAAGTCCTTACGACAGTCTCACTAATAAAGTTAATATAACAACGAGCGTTAAGATAATTAATAAACGACACAATTTTAATTCGACACGTAAATTCCAAGTATGGAAATTCGAAACGAGTTATAACAGTTGTTATACTGACTGGCGAGTTTGTGGTTCGCGTGGGACGCCGTGCAGTCTGAGCGCGTGACGTCACGGGGTGAAAATACTCGCTGTTTTCTACCCTCGGTATACATATATACTTACCGCAGTGCCCAACGTTACAAAAGGGAATGCCAGCAACGAGAGTTGGGATTGTAAGGGATCAATAAACCCCGTGGTGATAAATGTTTGAAAGACAGAAAAAGAAAATCCAAGCCATTGTCTGAACGTTTGTATCGGTGATACGAGGGTCGTGATCAATGAAGCTAAATACGATAGGCACTATAAATAGCCATCGTCATCCTCCAGGATACATACGATGCCAGCATCTCGTGAGTTTATCAGTCAGGGGCGCGTAATTGCTTCTCCCTGACTTTATTTATATTTATACGCGCGAAGGAAGCCGGACGGCTGTATTCGAGAGTGTCGCCATCTTTACTACGTTAGTCAATACTAGATCGCACGGTTGTTTCGCGTTCTATCCATTTTCATAATATACAATCCAGATTGATTGCACGTATCTAATGAACGTAGCTGCGTATAGTATCGAGTTGCGTAACGATCTTATTTAGTCAACAAAATGGCGCGCGTAAGAGACACGTGAATTTCTTAGCGAACGATTCCCCAAAGGCAATGGCCATTGCGCATCGACCACTCTACCTCGACGTCGCTATGCGTCTGGCGGTTATTTCCGAGCTTAAAAATAAAAGTAGCACCTACCGCTGGTAAGCATTTCTCAAATGACATGGCTATTGCTAAATGTATACACAGCCATGACATTACGCGAGGTACAAGACTAGTCAGGAAGTAAGTACTAATGACGTCAGATTTCAAAACTGCGCAACTTTTTTATTTCCAAACAAACTCCTCCTGTTATTCGTTGATGTTAAAGCTGGCGCGACTGAAAACACAGGACGAAAGTTATTTCGAACCGGTTATATATAGTCCAGTAGATACACAGCTCTATTTCAAATTACTACTGCATACCGCGGATGCGTACGTAGACAACCTATACTGCATTCGCGCTAACAGGCCATATGCATTCTCAACGGTCTTCGTTAAATCGGTCTAATGCAAATGTTTAGAATAACTTCAAGAATGAATAGAAACATTGTCAGGCGTTCTGTTTGTGGGAAATTAGAAAATAAAAAAATACATTCAGCGACTCCAACGACTGTTTAGCTTAAGCCTGATCCCCACGTGTCCCGTCCGAATGCATTTTACAATAATAAAAAAGATCCATCCCCCATTGTTACGAGCCGATTCCCAGGTCTTATCTCCGTACGCGAAGACGGCGAAAAAGTTTCGTGACGAAATTCAAAATTACAAAAAAGTTCCAAGGTGAGAATAAAAAATATATAAAAAATGTAAATCAAATATTCCAAGATTAACTCTTTGGAAAATCAAACCGGCTTCCACAGGGATCCTCAACTCGGTCATTGCTATTATCGTCAACGTATTCGCGTAGTGCTGCCCTACGATATATATATACATATATCACGTTAAGTTGGCAGCCCTTCTTTATTCACGCTGGATAAACCCGACGATCCGATAACTCTGTTATTTATTACCATAAAGCGACGCTTCCCGGTGATTATTCGTTCCTCCAGGATGTACAGGATCCTCTAACACACGATCGCGTACCGCGACGTATGTTACGTTACGTATCTATGCTGAATTCGAGTTTTCATTTTTTGTTCACTCCTCTTCCGCGCGATAAATAAAGCCGAGTACACAGAAGAATGAGAACCCACTGAAAACTAAGTTTTTCACATCCGGATATTACAAAACGTATAGTATATCGTTTAGATGGCCAGTGCGAAGGCACCATAAAGTTTTTCTCTGTAATAACCAGCCGCGCATACCAACACCAAGTTTACATGAGTCCATTATGAACGAACCTTTAAATATTCTATTGTTGGATACCATGTACTATATATATAGTCAGCAGCACAGAAATGATACCCTGGCTGACTAAATAAAGCTAAAAAAAATGCGTGTATATAATTTTCATAATTTTCACGTAATAATACTTTTTCAAATTTTTCCAAATTACACGTAAATCCTTAAAAATGAAATTTTGAATAATAAAACTTATTAAAATCGTTCCTCTCGGTAATCACGTTATAAGTGACATCCGATTTCATCGCCGTGTAATATTTATCAAATTGACTGTAGGCTGCTTGAAATTTTCACGGTGGTCTTACGGGCCTACGGTACATATGTATAATCCATAGATGTAAATGCCGACACGTGTACACCATATGAGAGTGAAGTACGTACAAGGACTACGTAAGAACGTGTATACAGATATAACGGAACAGCGGCAGATACAAATGATTGACGTATCAGAATCCAAGAATCAGAACGACAGTCCGAACAAGGCGTTATTTAATTACGAAAATAATGAAGTACCACTTAAGGGAAGAGAAAAATAAAAAAAAAATAATACAAGTCCATTTTGGGAAAATCATCGGAGTGATCGACTTGGATGAAATTTTTTTTTGCATTTTACACGACAAAAAATTATCGAAAAATTTACAAACTTCCACATACAAATTTTGAGACACGATTAATCGGATCCTTCAATTTGAGTCGCTTATAATTCATAAACTGGACCAATCCACGGCCTCGTTTCCCGGGATGGGTGAGGGGTTATGAATTTTTCAAAATTGTATAAGACTCGAAGAATAAATTTTCGATCCTAAAGTGCAGGGTGCCCAGGATGCTAATCACGTCCCTGGATGATTCTTATACGTGACTATCGTGTAACTCGAGTTCAAGTGCATAAGATACCGAAGAGACCTTCTCACGAGGCATTGTTACGTGAACGAGACGTATCCGTGAGAAGACTCGATGACGTCATGAGAAAATGGCGGATGAGGGGAAAAAGTTTAAAAAAATTTTCATCGGTCATTGGAAAAATGTGTTTCAGGGTCCGGACGGTAAACAACGTGAACGTAGTAGGCAAGGGAGTCATAGATCGGCATCAGCATCGGGAATAGAGTGTACGGTCTACGTAACAGGGGAATATTTAATCAAGGAGCATTCAGTATATATATATATATATATATATATATATATATATATATATATAGAATTATGAAAACATTGTTTGTCACTGATGTCATCAATTGTATCATTATAGGTATAAGGAGGCAGTGGATATTCAGAGGTACAGGTTATATTTACATATTCTGTATATAAGTATATACGGATACATATATACTTTATAGATGTATATAGATATACATACTCATTGCTATTAGTGATTCTCTATGTAAATTTACATGATCAGTCGTTTGAACGTACAGCCAGGTCTATTTCGGTCGTCTGACAGCTATTAAGGATGTTGAGGAAGGTCGACCTGACAGCTGTCTCCCAGGTACCTGCAGAGACTCGACGAGTCGAAGGATTTCGTGAGAGTGACAGGAGACGGAAGATACGAGGGAAGAATGAGTGCGAGAAAAGGGGATGAAAAAAAAAAGAAGATTTTCCTGGCACCGGCTTCCCGAGCTACCGGAGTACCCTCGAGTCCAGCATCTTCTGGTGACAACGTCCGTCTGGAGGGTGGGGACCGGATACCGAAGACGCCTGCGCGGACACCTTAGGATTTGTCGCTGTGGGACGACCTAGCTTTAAATTATTCATAGGACTCTTTGGAATTTTCTTTTGCGCTTCACTGTAACAGGGACGACCCAGCACGACCCGGTGAACGTTTTCGGCTTCATCTCTTTTCCAGGACACAGACAGACGGCAAACACCTTTTCACCAGGGGAGTCTTCTTCGAGGTTTCCGTGGCATTTTGTAGGCCTTTGGGACGCACTCGATGGGTTCGCCATGTACCGGGTGAGTCTTGGTGTATTTGACTGTGACCGGACGGATACCGAACTTTTTTGATGGGGCATGTTCGAATTTTTTTTTGGATTTTTGTAAATGTGGAAAAAAATTAATGATGGCGGACACGGGATTGTACTGAGTTTGGGATGCTTTTTTTTTATTTTTTACCTGGTACAGGAAACACGGCTGGACGGTTCCTGGCGTGCAGGGGTACCAGCCGGACGACTGAAAATTGGTCTCCTCGGAGAAAAGCATGGCTAACGAGAAGTTTTCGGGGGAAAGGAGGAAATTTATGATCGTAATCAAAATTTTTTTAAAAAATCAATAAACACTGGAGATAATCATAATCGAGTGACTGGTCCGATAAGATAACACGAGACTTACCATATGGCGTTTATTTAATTTAATAAAAGTGCCGATACGAGAGCCAGACGTTATCAAAGATTGTTCAAAGAAATTATTCGAATTCTCGAAAATTTTTTTCACTACGTTCAATGCCTTTCGACGTATTTCCCAATACGACGTAATTGTCAACTTCCAGTATTTTGACAATTCCAAGAGTCCACATCGCGGTCAAGGCTAATTGACATAATTTTGACAATTGACGTTCATTGTTCCTGCATGTTGTACCCATCATGCGACAACCCACTCTCCTCAATCTCAAATACCCATGTTCTCCGACTGACATACCATCCGTCATGAGAGTCATCAGCATGCAGTGGTAACTATGCCTATTTCCTACATGAATCACAGCCTTGGGAAGAGTTCGTAATGGTCGACAAGTCTGAGTACCCTTAACAACATCAAGTCTAATAAGAAAAACGTCATGATTAAAAAAAAAAAAGAATTTCGAATATGGCAGCCAACAAAAATTCAAAGACCCTATATATATATGTATATAGCCAATAATAGCTCCGCAGTGCAGATTAATTATTATGTATTGGTCGGGCCCCTACGAGTAACAGTGTTACGAAAATAATGCGGAATTGACAATTTCGGAAAAAGAAATGGTATCAGGACGATTTGTATGGACCGACGGGATATGAAATTCAAAAGGTTCTATTATGAACGTGGACGCCATAAAGCGGCGTGGAGTTAACGAATGCACTGACCCCGTCATTAGCCTAGTAATCACAGCACGATAAGTCCGCAATGCGTTCCGCGAATATGACTTCGCCATTTTCCACGCTCGAAACTTCGTGCAAAAGGATTGTTTGGAATTATTCATAGAACAAAAAAAAAGGATTGCTTCATCGCGATATGCATAGACCATTTATTGATCCCATGGATATAGTCTGACTCAATTTTCAAGTCTGTCCTTATACGTTATACAGGTTATGGTTTAGTATACGGATACCGATAATCTACCTTACCGATCGGAATTTCAAATTTTTTTCTAAAAATTTTCTCTGCTATTTTCATACCCCGAATACAGTTCTAAGGTTGATATGGGAATCCGATTGGACTCGTAAAACCATTTTTGGAGTTAAAAAAAATGCTAATACACATAATCGATGATAACCTCTTGTCTTGAGTCTTGTGCAATTTTTCTATTCCTTTTTTTACACTACGCTGAATTCAATCGTAGCTGGTTTACTCGTTGCTCCCGGCAACTATTCTTAATTGCTACGTTCACTCGTCGGTCCCATCCGCGTACCCGTAACGCAACCAGCGACTTTACTAGCGTCGACAGCAATGCCGAATAGCAATGTCCGCGACAAGATTCTACGCTGGCTTACAGCGCGTTGCGAGCGAAGCTACACATGTTAGACCATTTGAATAAGCTAGAGCGACAAGGGCGCCCCGCGCGGCAAAAGCCGGCAGCGCTTCAGCGCTCCGAACGAGTATCGCGCTGCGTAGCTATTCTAGGAAATTGCAATTCATGTAACGAGCGACCAATTTACGGGAGCGTTTTTACAAAACCAACTAAATTTTCGTATGACTCGGTTCCTTTAAAAATCAATTCCAATTCATAATTCGTTAACTTAAAAAGTCTCTAATTAATACACAGACCCACGTACGATTTGACATCGAATCATAACGACAAGTGCATCCTTAATACATCGCGTGTGCATCCAACGTGCAGTAACAATATCCACCAGCCATGTAACATACATACGTCACTGTACAATTGTCGGCACGACAGTTCACTCCTCCCGGTAGTAGTTCCACGTTGGTTGCTTAGCGACAGCAATTAGCTGAATAATTTATTTAATAGCATAACAGTGCAGTGGTACAGACGGATGGCGTGTAAGAATGTATTCAGGATGCACCGGACCAATCTTCTGCCTGGATGCAATTAAACCGGTCCTGACGTCTGACGAGATAAAAAAATAAAAATAATCCAATATAATCCCATACTCGTTATCAGGCATATACAATATCCTACGATACAAGATACAACTAACGTTCATTATGATTTCCCATACGCCTGTTGCACGTGTAGGCTGCTATGCATTTATCATATACATTGTACAAGCCACGTGTGAATACGACTAGACGATAAATACCATTGTATCAAGAATGCGGGATGATCTGTCTATTGACAAGAAATATCCCAGTAGTAGAAATTTAATTAAATAAATAATACGTCTCCCTGCAACTGGGTAGACGTCCCAGCGAAATCCCAAGACTCAACAAAGTGTCGAAGAAACGAGGATATACGAGGAAAGACGTAGAACGACTTTGTAAATATTTCGTCTGCCGGCGTGGTAACAATGCCTGACCGGATACGAGTATAGTAATCGCATATACGTATATACGAAGTGTAACGCGATGAAAGAACAGCTAAATGTTTCGTAGGGAAGCCCTGAAGATACAAAAAGTCTATTTTCACGGGAGAAATTAATGGCGGGCTTTTTGAAATGTTTTTTTTTTTCTAAATACATACATAAAATCGAGGTTAGGTTGTTACGTCGTGAGTTTTCGCAACTCGTTACGCTGATGGTACCAGGCGTTGGAAGATTCATTGAAATTGATCAGTGGCCGATTGAAATTACTAATCTTAGACAGATTGTGCGTAAGAGATGATTACGACCATGTTTACAAGGTGTGGGAAGGACTGTTGTTGTGCGAACGAAGGTCCGTGAGGTCAGGATCGAGAAGCGTCGGCGGATTGCGAGGTAGAGGATGGCAATTATAAACCTGTATTATATTACAGTCACTAGTATAAATAGCACTAGGAGGACGCGGAACAAGGCTCACGATATAGCGTCGGACGACGCCTACGCGCCATGGCCGGGATTTGACCTGTCAAATCGACTGCGGGACGGAGCGAAGTTAACTGGTTGTAATACAGGACGTTCGAGAATGGTGCGATAATGAGCTTACCCTTGGTAATTGAAGAAATCGGCAGAGCCATAGGGTTGGTAGAGCTGCCAGACCCCAGTGGGAATTTACCTGCGTAGACGGTTAAAGGACAGGAGGTTGGTACACGTTGTGGTGAGGGTTCGTTGACTGCTGGTGGAAGCGTAGCTAACTCGGAAGAAGAAAGGTAAGGTCGGACGCGAAGCGTGACCGAGCAGCCGCAGCTATGAGTTTCCATGTATTTATGGGGCGTGAGACGACAAAGAGGCCCAGGCGACAAGGGATTATCGAGGAGACAGCGACGGACGGCGGCGGCCATGACGGCCGGTGACCTAGAAGACTGCCAGTGTCGTGCGCGAGACTAAACAAAATAAATGTGGGCAAAAGGGACTCTGACAATTGGTTTGCGAGTATAATAAGAATTATTACGAGGGAATGGCGTACGTAGGGTTGGTAACGCGTCTCGACAGTTTCCCTTTTAGCACCTTCATTGAATCAAGTGCAATCGAATGAGTGGAGAGTGAATTCACTGCGCATGCGCAGTCGCAACCGACACCGTTTAAACTTGACCCAAAGAAGAAACTCGTCCCTGTACAATATATACTCGTGAAATCCTGGCAAATAAAGGTAAAATCAGCACGATATAAATATAATACATTCGAATAAATATCTAACCTATTATTTCCATACGAAAAATCCCATAATCCCCTAGGCATAACCCGAGACACAGACAGTTTTAAGTCTCTCCCGTATGAGCTTGACTAGCTCTCATTCGAATTCCTTTCACACGCTGTATAACAGTATAACTTACGATTACGTTATTGTTATCGTAGCCGTGCACAGCCAGTTACGCTCGATCGGACTATAGAAATTAATAACAATATGCCAGTAACGTTCGACCGTCTCTCGAGAACGCTGACTATACATAACCTCACTTATGTCCCTAGAAAATCTTTGGCTTACATACACGAAGACACGATACAGCAACGAGACTAATAATATACGAAATTGTAGTTGAACGAACGATACTATAGAAACGATGTGGTTGCGGTGACAGCGAGGAAGCGAGCCAACCAGTAGACGAGGTTCCTATTCTTAATTACATAAAGGTACCTTGCCCCAAGTTCCAACAGTTCTACGAGTACAGGAATACAAGCGTCAAAGGATCGTCGACCTGTTACGAGCAAGTGCCAACCGATTGCACAATCGACAATCTCGTAATGTAATATTTATTTACAATTATTGCGACAACTGTAAGCCTATCGAGATAACGACGCTCGATCCTTTCCCAATGAGTATCGATCCATTGAAAATAGTCGAATGGAGAGGATCGGGGTCATTTTTATCAGAATCCTTAACCCGGTGAGTCCGAGGGTCAAAGGTCAGTGCACTATGATAAAATCTAATTACATACAGACTTCCAAACAGAGGTCCGACGAGGATGACAGAAATTAAAGCGGCGACCGGTACCGCATATACGTCTTTTCTAGGTTAGGATTATCATCAGTCCATAGTAACGTCTCCCGGGAGGCATTTGGAATCGCCATAAATCTTCGAGTCACCAAGCGAACTTGCATCATTTCGAGAACGCAGATCCCAGGACGTGGACGTTGTCCTAGACGCGAATGTATAGAAGATCTACACGCTAGAGGCCCCCGTCGTCGTTCCAGGTAGCCTGCATTTAAACTCTACCAAGCCTTGGACGTTTACATAATAGGAGAGAAGGTAAACATCGTCATGGAATCGTGTCGTCCGTCCATCGAGAGAGTGTTTACCGAGCAGTAGCAGATTAATTGGAGGTGCGTGCCAAAAATCCAGGGATCGATCGATCGATTATCGATCCCGAGGTCATCGTCATTATCCCACCTATATATACGCACCATCACGAAGAATCCAATTAGACGATTCCCGTAGGAGTTCGCTGAGTAAACAATGAGATTATTGATTAGAGCAAATTGGAGCTTTTAATAGGTTAATTAATTTCATCCAACATTCGTAATTAACATGAGCACTGTAGCTAACGCGTAGATAGGAATAATTTTATTAATTGTCATTTTTTCCTATAAAGATCCTCAGTACGTTTCTGCGAGACAAATTAGCCAGTACGTAGCACTGCTTTGTCACTGGGCTGATCCTTACTTGCACGGGATATAACGCAAGGGGCTTGACCTTGGCATCGCGAGATCTTTTAAGCTCCGACAATTGAATTAGACGAGTTTAAACATTACCAACAAAATAATACGTAACCATGAAATTTCTGTGTAAGCTCAAAGTACCTTTCGTACGAGCAGTTTTCACTTTCCACCAGCGTTCGAGGAATAGTGCTATTTTTGGATGGTCCAGTGTATCGATTGAAAACAAAATTAATTTCACTCGTAATGAGATACGAGATGATAAAAAATCGATATATATATATATATCGATTCGTATAAGGAAATTCATCAGCGGGACAGGTCGTGGCAAAAGTAATCGCTTCGACGTAGTTGGGATAGACACGGCGGGTAATAGGGTCTAGGTTAATCTATTTTAGTTTTGAGCCTGAGTCCCGATGCCGTCGATAAGCCAGACGTGCTTCGTGTACTCGCCCACGTGATTTACCGATTCACCCATACGGTACACGATCCCCGTCGCATCCGTTCACCTTCGTACGGCCCACGTGTAGTCGGTAAAACGATATTAAAAAAAAGGCAATAAAAGTGGAATCGTCCCATGCGATTAGGTGGAAAGAAAAAAAGCGTGAATAGAAGGACGTGATATTTTAGTCTCTAAATAATCGCAATGACATTTGCATTTTTACCCTCGAGAGAGACGGTAGGAATAAGAGAAATTTTAATAAAAAAAAAAATTTACATAAAAGAAAATAATATTTTTTTATCACTATGCCTTTATTTAATTTATTCACGCGTAAGTGGAACGTCAGACAGAGTAGTAGTTAGTCATTAGTCAGAGCTACATATACTCCTGACGAGTGCCTCCCCCTCGAGGAGACGAAGACTTGAAAAACGTAAATAGCCACCGATACCCGCGCAATAACGAATAAAAATAATAATACAATTCCTATAAGATTCTAAATTGTCAGTAGTGGCTACGTGGCTGCGTATAGTAACCGTGCCGGGCATTATCTCGATGAGTTATTGCGTTACGTTTAAGTTCGGCCTGAAAGCAGGCGAAGGCTAGTGAAAGGCGTAGTTCACGGCCGGTCCGTCGCGTTAGGGAGTTAAGGCTACCCGAGGACTTGGGATTGAAGTAGTAAACAAAAGATTCGTTAGGGTGTCAGACAGAAATCGGCTGCTGCCACGGAGCTAAAAAAAAAGAAGAGGTAACCGCCACGATGACTTTCGTGGTATTTGAAATATTTCCTTTATATATATCTATATAGAACGTCTGGGCCTTCGTATTTCGTAGAATCGACAGAAGCCAATGAAGCGACGGTTCCTACCGGTATTTACTGAAGGCCGATCTCCACGTTCCGCGTCTCTGCGTAAAGGAAAATATGTTTTCGTTAGGTGAGATTGACTACAAGATGGCGGCTCTCGTACCGGTACAGTACGTGCCACGCAGACACGTTGGTCTTCCCCCCGTAGCTGTTCTACGTTAATGATCCTTACGTAACTACCGTATTATGGATAGAGAATGACATCATGTCCCGTCGTGACGGCATAACGCATAAATGACCAAGTGTTTGTCATTGAATTTATCAGGTGCCTCATTCACTGACTCGACTACCCGGCTCTCGCGCTGTAACGGACTGTAAGGCGACCAACCAATGACAGTTTGTGTATATATATTTTTTTACGAAGAACTCAAAATCCCCCACGTCAATATTTACTCGCGGACCGGTTTCACTTGGAAAAAAAAGAGTATAAAGAAAAAAAGGAGTGAGAGTGAACGGACGACTCGTAGAAACCGAAATAAGACCTAATGATTTTGAGCATTCCAAACAGGTTAAAACCTGTCGGCGTCCGATCTAGGTCACGTGAAATTCGCCTATTTGGAAACCAAGCAAAGTCGTTTCCATTTGAAACATATTTTTACGCGCGTTACGTAATCGCCTATGCACCCAGCGTGAATATGGGTTAAGGACGTGGACGATAGTCGTTAAGAAAGAAAAAAAGGCTACACCAACGCTTTCGTCCTTCCCATGTTGCCGCGTCGGATTCATGTAGGTCGTCTTGCTGGCGAACGAAAGCTCGTCGCATTGTCGTTTGACACGTCTATTTCATTAGTTCTCAATTGAACGTCACCACCCCGGCCGCGGGGGGTCCGAAGTTAGTCAAAACAAAAACTGTAGAGACGGCAAAGGACGTATAACGAGATAGACTCCGCAGTGAAAATTTGTCCGAAGAATTATTGTGGCGCGATCTTAAGAAAACGAAAATCTGAAAAATCCGAAGGAAGTCGATCCAAAAAGTTCGTAGACGTAGAAACGAGCTCGAGCAATGATAATAAAAAAGAGACTCCTAAGGGAAGAGCTATAGCCACTCGATTCTCGTAACTAGTAATTCGCTCGACGAGCATAACCTCTGACCTATTACGCAGCTGTGAACAACTGGGCCGATTTGCTTGTTCGCCCTAGTCCGTAGTGTTACTCGATGGCTTTCCTCTGCGACGTAACGAGGTTCGCCGTGACATGAGGTTAGGTTAGGTTTGTCGTACTCGAAGCATACGGTCAGAAATTCGTCCAATTAACGAGGAGAAATGATTTCCCATAACTTGAAGACGAATGGATTGAATTTCCTTAGAAAAAAAAAGGTCACGATTCTAAGTGCGCATTACAGGAATCGTCCGTGAATCGAGCGATCCAATTTCCCAGGAATCCATGCGACGAAACTCGCCCGAGGTACGTCGATGGAGAATTTCAAGACTGTGAACGGGGCTTAAGGACGTATAAGCAACCAGGTCATAGAAGGACTCGACGCTCCGTCGGACGGGGATTATTGCTCGTCGATGTTCCGCCGTTCTTCGTGGACGCTTCGAGCGTGGGACGATTGTACGTAATAGGTAAAAAAAAACAAAATGAATTGGGGGGATTATTTTTTCGCATTAACGAAGAAGAACAATAATTTAAAAAACTCTCGACGATATTTATTCGGAAAATTTATTCGAACGGCAGTCTCGGTATCGTTGCGCGTCTTTGAACCAGCTCGGTCAGTCATCGATATACAGGGTGAGTTATCCTAGACTCCCAATTTGGTAGGACTTCTCTGTATGTAGGTGCGCCCATTCTACGATCAGATTACTCGCACCTACGGAAAACTAGAAAACTGTCGTGCGGTTCTGTACCCTAAAATTTTTATAACACGATATCAAGAAAATTTTTATAACACGATATCAAGAACACCTTTCGCACTGTAGGTGAGGATAATCTGATTGGAGAATAGCGCACCTAATACGTACGGAGGTTCCTCCCAGATTGGGAGTCCATGATAGCTCACCCTGTACATATATAAATACGGTCAATGAGTACGATATATCGAAAGCGGTAAATTTAAATGGGAAAAAAAAAAATAATATAATTCTCAATAAATCCGTTCCGGGCTATAACAAAGTTTTTCAGTATACCATCATATAGCCTCGTGTTTTCTATCCTAAGAAAAGCAGCCTTTGTCACTGAATCCCCACGGCAAACTTCCCCATAGAAAAGCAACATCGCTCCGGGGTATAAAAAGCCTTGACCCAGTAACCCGCATCCCGGTTTCTCGACGCCACGAAATACGTTCCTCGGAGTCCTCCGGTACGCGCGACTTCCTGTCCAGAGTCAGCAGACAAAAATCAATGCCAGTCGAAGTCCAAGGAAATAAGGAATAATACGAAATATTGAATACGATAAATTTTCCATTACGTTCCATTGAAAAAAAAAAAAAAAAAATATCAACGTGTTACGCAAAACGCTAAAAAGAGCCTGAGTCAAAATTTGTTTTAATCGAATATTATTTTCTAAGAACTTCGTACCGTGCAATTGCCGTTAACGGGGAAAATAAAAAAAGACATTGTTAAGGACTTCGGAGCAGAGCGAGGATACTGTATTGCGGGAAGCGTATACAGGTATACAGTGTGCTAAGGATACAGGCATGGTGTTGTATGTGGGACAAGCAAGATGGAAGGCCGAGCTTCGGGTCGATATGAACGCGGCAGCGCTATTGCCGCAAACTGCCCGTCCGTTTCGCCCCTGTTCCATCCCCGTTCCCTGGTCCCATTCCCATCGGCGTTCCTCCCCGATTCCGTCGTTCCCGTAAACCCCCTTTCGTCACCCTGCCGAGAACCAGCGTCGCCCGCGCGTCACTTCCCTCCTGTTAGACACCTTTTATCCGAGACTCCCGTTGCGAGAAAAATTTAAAAAAGTGAAAGAAACGAAAATTTACAAAAATTACAGACACAACTGTCAAAAGTTTCATAGTCTTATCTGTACTTGCCGATAGGGCAGCTGGTATCGTTGAAGCAAAAATTATGATAATTTTCTAATAAAACCCTTTATACAATATTAACAGTCCCATGTGATCTTGCGTAAAGCTAATAAACTAACGTGTACGTCGCACTGTAGCTTCTGTATAAATTCTTTGTAGATACGAGCTTGTAGATCGATCGCGTGCAATTATTTTTGCAAAATGAAGGGAAAAAATATTTATTGAAATTTTATATTCAGCGAGTGCGGTATTGCATGTAGTAAAAGGAGACGAGCCGGCATAGTTTTTGCAATGTAGAAACTAGTCTGCAGTGGATATAACCTATCCTGGATATAAACCGCGGACTGTACTTGTGTTCGGAACGTTACGTGCAGAAAGAATAGATACCTACAATATATATATACAGTATAACAGGTATACCAGCATATGAATTGATTAAAAATTGCGTTCCATTGAAAAAAATTGTAGAGAGTAAACAAGGTAGAAAATTCGAATCAGACCGAAGAAAATAATACAGAAAGTCTTAGTGTCACCATATAGATAGAATCGTAAGAAACCTGCAGATCCGACTATACGTTTCATAACGGGTCTCCCGCAGCTCCGCATTACCGCCGGCTGGGGTCCCTCGCAGTAGTTTCGAGTAGCTGAAACGAGCAGTGCACAATGACAGCGACCTGCAGCGAGATAGAAACGTGCCCTAGGATGTTCAATGACGGCCCGGCTAAGCCAGCAGAGCTATGGACGTTAGGATATAATAGCGAAGCTTTCCTTATTCTGCGGTCGTACCGGTTACAGGATGAACATAGCCGCGCGCGGCCCAATGAGCTTTCCACGATGTCTACTAGTTCGATGAGCAGCCGCTTGGCGGCGCACGCAGGAGGATCAAATGAGTGCGCAAGAACGAGAGAACCCTTGTGCATCCGCAACGAACGTTTTCACAGAGGCATTGCTTTGGAAATAAAAAACTGCTGCACTTCTCGTTTCATTAAGCTTTCCTTCAGTCCTGACTCGCCGCTTGCATTATTTCTTCTCTCGACGTTCTCATTCTCGTATTTCTAAAAAAAAAAAAACCAGTGAGCCAGCGCATTTTACTTTTTTCCCCCCCCTAGATTAGATAATGCAATTTAAGATCCTTCGCTTGGCAGATGCGTCGAGTTACCTCGCTCTGAACAAATCCCAGAGAAAGCGTATTACAAGACTAACTTGCTCCTGATTATTGAATAATTATACAAGGAACAATGGTGCAGTGTTTCGCAAGCGATTAGAAGCCTACGAAAATAGACAGACAGTCGTTTGGGCTTCGTTGAAAAAGAGTCGGTTCGACGATTCGAATAAAAAAAGGCATGCCAACATCGAAGTATGTAAATAGGCGGGAAACAAGGAAAAATTCAAATTGAACGCTCATTCAATACTTATTCCTGGCTCGCTTAACCAAGCGAGGACTTAGCCAACTGGTCGTACCTTAGACAAACGTTATCGATCCCGTCTACGTTATTTAGGTTGGCGCCCTGGAGCGCGCGAGTTCTCGGTATCCTTACAGTATATACGGGAAAGCTATCAATCAACCGATGTCAATCGGCAGGATTTGCATTCTCGGTCTGACGCGAGAACACAGAAAAGGGGGAATTGTAATTTTTGAGCTTGTCGGGCTCACTGATTATACCCTGATCCCAGGAAGTATACGAAGCATCGGCAGTGGTAAGATTTTAAAAACGACTAGTCGAACGGCCACGTGCTATTGTCGTATCGACACTCAATCGATACGTAACCCCCTTTACCGCAAGGAGAAAAACTCCGATCAAATAGCAGTTATCCGATTGATACCGTGATCTTCAAGTCCGATCTGGTGAAGCTGATTCAGGCATTGTTTTTACAAGATCAGATACAGAACCGATCGCCACGGTCAGGGTCGTCCCACGCAGATGAAAAACAAGATGGCCGATCGGTGAAAACGTAAAAGCAATATTATACTAAATGGTTAAGCGAGCCCGCGCAACGATCAATCCGACTCGTCGCGATCCATAAAGGAGACCTCACAACAAAGTGCGTAAGCTTGCACAATGCCAAGGCATAAAAGAGCAAAGTGCCCGAGGCCATGGTTACTATAGTGGCTTGGCTACTACCGGCAAGCCCGAGAGAGTTGCGTAAGCGGCAAAGGAGAGAGACGGGAGATGAGAGTTGTTGCCGGCAGATTCGTGATCTCATCGCTGCTAAAGGATTCAGCTTACGCATCAGACGTGGATTGCGACACGGTACCGATGTGGGTACACGCATAATGGCCCGAGCAAAAAATGGCAATGAGTACAAAAAGTGGGGAAAAAAAAAGATTTACATAACGATTAAAATGGAGAATTTTGAAAATAAATTTTTTTTTGCAAATTTTTCATATCAAAAAAATATTCGTCAATCGCTCATGAAAATCTTTCAGGAAAAAAAAAAAATATTTCAATTTCACTAAAGGCAGATTCTCATGGGACCTACCAACGATGCAGTGAAACTGTCGCTTTCGTGAACACGCTACCTGCTACGCCGCGATAAATCCAGAGCCAAAGCGTCAGGCCGGGCGTCGCGAGTTTCTATGTAGGTCATACGGGCGAGCATTGCCATTTAACGTCGCCCTATGGAAACTCGAGATATTCGGTTTGCCGTAGGTACATTTTTACAGTGCGACGCGCCGTTAGACGTTGCGACTAACGTGAGCGGTGCGTCGCGACGTGCCGCGTCCTTTTTTATTACCAGAAAAGCTCCGGGGACTTCGGATGCACCAACGATCAAAGAAAAGTAACGGAGAGAGACGCGCTTTCACGAGAAACCGGAAGTAGCTTGAAATACATTCGAATTGAATTTTTAACGGAAATAGTTGTGTAAGACTCTTCTACTCTGCGACTCGATGTTCTTTTTTGCGTTGGCAGGTTTAAAATTGAGAAAAACACATACAAAAAGATAGTTCTTAATTATTCGAATGCTCAAACGTTACGCACCGAGTATTTCGACCCGTCCGGACTTGTTCGTTCGGCGCCTAACGACAGTTACAAAAGAGTTACATTTTTCTTCGACACTTGCTTTCTTCCCTATACTATACATATATAGTGACAATCTACAGTACAGTCCGTGCAAAAAGCCAAATATACGATCTGCCGCTGACTTCAGTTTACTAAAAATATCCAAAGCCTCCTCAAGCACTGTACGTAAATATATCATATATTACTATATACATATACAAATTCCCATATAACACACAAAGGGTCATAGAAAAGCTTTGGTGAATGAGAAATATACTAAAATACGCATTCTGGGCGATTACTCGTGGCTGGCGTGTTTATATTTCTAAATTCGTCATATTACGTAGCTGCCTCGACCCGCGCCATGAAACTTCCACCAAATTCCGAGAATACATAAATACGTGAAGATGGAGAAAGAGCGTGAGAGTCGGGGTGGGGGGTGGGGATATCGCGAAAGAGACGAAAGTCGCGTGAAAATATTCTTGAAAAATTAATTTCACAGCAATGGCTGTCCTTGAGCACTGCCAATCAATGTCCCAAAAATCTCTATCTCTGTTTACCATACATTTACACACTTTTCACACTTATTTTATAGGCTGTTAGGATCATTTGCAGAAAATAACACGTTAAAACTTTGGCTATACAAATTTCAGCAATAACAAACTCCCATTAGGTAACCTCTGGCTGCTAATGGTCCGTTACAAGATTCGCCACTTTCATTATATAATATATATAACAATGCAATATATATATATATATATATATATATATATACATCATGAGTCTGAGACACCTGAGCCGAATCGAGATCGTAATATAAACTCGGCTCGTGTTCCAGATATATATGGTGACGTGGCTGATGAACTTTAAATCTAACGGGTGTACGAAGAATGAGTATATAGATTTATAGCTAAAAAAATAATCGACACTGTGTATATAAAAAAAGTGTATTTTAATAGCCACGTGAGACTAATTAAAAAATTTAATAAATTTTTTTAATACAGACACCCGACTCTATCGGTGTTTCGATTAGCTTACTGGGTCACCCGTTATTGTTAGGGACAATTATATTATAATCATACACCTAAGCCGGCGTCCAAGTTCTAAAAACATACTATCTGAAATAATGGCACGATAAGGGTGCGATAATTCATTTCTCTCAACAGTTAATTACGTGCTGTCCCGTGTGCTTATGCATTTAGTTGAAGTTGGAATTGTGCGATATTGTTGCTTTTTTAATATTCTAATTACACTCCGAGGTAAATATTGTGGGTGCGTCGCGAAAAGGTTAGGTTAGGTCGAGTGCTGTAACTGCAGAGTAACTTTTCCAGGAACAAAAATATTCGTGACTGAAAGTGAGTTTCGGTAGGGCTGATAACAGACGGCCCTGAGAAAAAGAAGGCCAGTCACGATATTCAAAGGTTGCCTAACCTCATTTTTTCCTCAGGATATTCTAATTTCGAAAATCCCACAAGGATCTCGTATACGGAATTTATATCCGGATTCGGCAATATCAAATCATAAAGTCAGAAAGGATAAACAGGTCTCGACGAGAAGAAGCGAATTTTCAAGTGGCAAATCGTGTAATTAACCCAGTATGCACGATACGGAACAAATGATTCGAAGTTGAAATTTCTAAAAATCACTTTTCTCTTTTTATACGAATGCACCCTTCGCTGTGTTTCAATAAAACTGTTCATTGTGATTTTACCAAAAAAAAAAAAAAAAAAAAAAAAATTCAGTCGACGAAAATATATTTTTGTACAATCCTAAGAGCAGAACTATTCATGTCTAGTATGTAGTATGAAATCTATAGAATCCGATGATCTTTGAAAAAAACTGTGAGAACCATTACTAAAATCTATCAGAAATTTACCCGTTTCCTTGGAATCGGTCAAATAAGAATCTGCTTGAGTTTCGTCGCTCGTCGCATACATTTCTTCGGGAAATCCCTCGTGCCTCTTTACCTCGGTACGAAAAATAAATCCGTACAACCCGATTCATTGTTATACGACGAAAGAAGGATTTAAAAAACACCCCAGTACGAATCGCCGCTTTTATTTGCCGTGACTGAAGAAAAAAAAAAGGATTGACATCCGTCACACGTAAATATCTGCCAGACGATGAAAAAAGAAAAACATTTCCGTAAATATTTATAAAAATCGCAACGCTTCTCTCTGACGACCGGACGGACCGGAGCTTTAAGCCGGACTATCAATATAGTTGCGGACACCTCGAAGAATATTCGAAACATCAACGGAAGCCAATTTATTACGTCGCCCGTTCGGTATGCGGGAAGACGATCTACCTTCACGTATATATATATATACGTATAGAGGGATCGATTTACTTAACTTTCAAAGATATAGAATTTCGAGTATTTTGAGGGTTAAAACAGAACTTTAAATTGGCTTGATGTCTGCCGTAGGGGATCCTTACCCCATGAACGTAATATTTCGGTATCGTTTACCCCCCATGGGGTGACCTTCTAGATTGCGCAGGGTAGACTACCCCAAACGAAACAGGCTGGATAAGTTAAGGGGTATTAAGGGTAAGGGATATAAGGGGTAACCCTGTCTCTTTCTCACGGTCTGTATAGCGTTATAGAGGTGGAATAAAATGGCAGACAGAGAGAGAGAGAGAGTGTGTATATATATATACACGTAAAGCGAGAAACAATGAAGAGCAGCCGCAAACGGTAGTCCGCCATTAAGCAGTGACAGGAGGCGACGAGAAATGCTTTCCAAAAGCTGCCAACGAGTTTACGGCTCACCCAGTATAAATAGTTAACACATGAGAAGGGCCACGCAGAACTGCACAGACCACAGAGGATGGACTTCGCGTCGTGAAAAATGTGAAAAACCCGGTATAAGTGTAAACGGAGTGGTTGGAATAAAGAACGGTGAAGGAAAATAAAAAATGTCACTAGGAGAAACGTCTAGGAACTTCTTTCGTTTCTCCAGAACGGCCGAAAAAGGTTGAAGGAACGATCGAATCAAAACGAAGATCTGTCGAGGCTACGAGAATAACGCTAAAGGACTGGTTTTAAAAGAGCGCTTGAAAAATAAAAAGGAACAAGGCGCAATCCCATTAGAACGACACACCCCTTTGACTTTTGGCAGATCCTTAAGAAAGCCGTTTCTAATCCCATTTACTTTAGCAGACCTTTTCGATGCTCTGTTCTTACTTGTCTCCTATACCCATTGGCTCTGTTCTTCCATGCAGGGTAGAGTCAACCCACCCTTGGACCCCTTAGCCCAAACCCACCCGACAACCTCCAGAACAGACTACAGCGAATATAATCGAAGAATGAAAAGTAGCAATGGACGGATCTTCTATGACTCCTGAATCCTAAAGGGTGTCCAACCGATGATTCAGCCCTAGAAAAGGGGGAAGCATAAAATGCATGTAGCAGAAACTGAGAAAACAAGGATCCTGGCGTTAGGCCAAATGGGTTGAGGATTTTTGCCAAGGAGAAAACGATAAAGCGACACGTTGGGCCTCTTCAAATGTCAAGGGTGAACGTGAAATATTTCTAGAAACAATAAACAGTCGGGTCAGTCATTGGTTGGAATAAGAGTCATATGAAGAAAATGGTAAAAATCCAAGTTGGATTTTTAATATCATTGTCTAACCTAAAGAGGTTAGGTTTGCGCAAATTAAACTACTCAATCCCACAGCTGAAGAAGCAAACTCGATTAATTTACCACGAAGAGCTAATCTATCCCCGCGAGCTATATACGTATGTATATTGATTACAACCAAGTATTGCCAATGTACGTCCAGGGATTCGTACATTAACAAACGATTAGATATAAGAGGGGACTAAATAAATGTACATTGATAGATGTGAATCATTCCCATAAGCGTAATAAAAAGGCAGTGGATCAGGCACTTGCGAGGCCAGTCCAACATATGTACGTGTTTGTTCAGTGTGTAGAAGCAGCATTGGATTTCTACGTTATAACGCACAGGTCATGCCTAAATATACGCCAGTCGGATCCCCCGTTCGGTTATTCGACAATGCCTGACGTTAGTTGCTTAATTGACCACCCGAGTACGTTTATCCAGAACAGAGAGATACATGACTGAGGCTAACCTTAAATTGAATGATTTTACCTGACACGTCATTCTGAAATTAGTCTACTGAAAAGCTATTCCGAATTCAGTCTATCGACTTTCTCGTTTCACTTTGATAGAACAGCTGCCAGTGCGCAGACTTCTATGACAGCTGCCTCTTCTACCCCTAGGAGTCCTGTAGGATTGTATAGCAGGAGAAACGTGTCCAGAGTCCGTTCATACGCGTTCCTGATACAGCTACATAGTTATATCTCATTTGCACGTCTACATGGGTCATAGAGGTATTGCTGATGACGCAATAGTTTTAACAAGCACGAATCCAACTGTAGAACCGATACACGCAGTCTCGCGTTACGCGTAAAAAGAGACGTTTAAACGCATTATGCCATCCTTCCGAAAGCCGGCCAAACGTAAACAGGGCTGCCACTCTAATTTTAGATGCCGGCATTGCGAGAATATCCAGGTGCGCTTTGACTTCGTATATTCAATGTAAAAGTATATTTGGAAATTTATAAAATCATACTATGCAGTCGTTCCTCAAGGGATTTACATCCTCCGTGACCCATTTTGATTTTAGTATTCAAATAACTAATCGATTCTCAGCTGGTTTCGAAAACCCTATTATGCTCCTAGCAGCCTTGCTTTCTGCTGTGATATATGTAGAGTTTTATTGGTTACTGTACCAGTCAAATCATAAACATGATAAAAACTTTTGTTCATTGACTTCACTCTTATCGTCCTTACTTGAATTAAATTTTAATTGGACCTGTCAACGAACGAAAATTCTCTTGGGATATTCCTACCTGTTTTCCAGTCCGAGGTAGTGTCTCCATGTTTGTTCCGGTAACGACGGGTGCCTTTTCCGGTGCGCCGTTTTGTTGGTTAACGCTGACGTTGACGTTGACGTTAATGTTGTTCGCATTGTCGGTGGCGCTTCCATCGGTTATACCACCACCGTCACCGCCACCCCCAGTTCCGCCCTTACCTTCCTCACCCGTCATCACAACCTACTTTCCCAGCCCCAATCCTTTCTACGATTATCCACGACTTTTCCTCTCTAATCTTCTTCTTCTTCCTTCAGTCTTCAACTTTCTTCTCTGCCCCTTCAGTAACTTTAAATCCTGACACTTGCTCACTGTTTTTCTTCTTCTTCTTTCCAATCCCTTATCTGCCGTGTAGTAATCAGTCGGGTTAATATGAGCTTCTTGTAATCTCTAACGGGGAATCTAATTTCTTTAGTTATATTGAATTTTGTTAGATGACCTTATCTATATCTACTTGGATAGTGTGATGGAATTAAATTATGGAATTTATCTATTTAATCCACTAACAGGATAGTTATTACGGTACTGTGAGATTTATACATTCTGAGTTCAATAGGTGGATCATATTTCATTTGATTGAGAAGCAGCTTTGTCGAGGATGAATAAGTTTTAATAATCTTGAGAAAAACAAGATATATTATGTCATGTAGTGAATTTATAAATGTTGTACTTTTTTTCGCGAAGGATTTCACGAGCATGTAGATTCATAAATAGATACGAATTAATTACATTGTGACACGAATTGAATTAACGGATATTATTTCTCAACTCGTTACAAATGATATGATGTTTTTCCAGTTAAATAATCACCGAACTCTATTGCTTACAGTTACAGTCAGCGAAGCGGCCGCATCCGCGAAATATTTTAATTTGAAAAAAAGGATGCATTATGGATAATAAAATTTGCAGAAACGCAGCAATGCGCAAGGGTAGTGAAAATTAATGAAATCAAAGTTTCTAGTATTTCATGAGGCCAAATTGAAATCTATTTTCAGTATAAAAAAAGAACTGTCATTGACTAACGGCCGCCTAAAGAATGGTGTATAGTGCTGAAGCTGGCAAAAAATATCCCGAGAGAATTGCGAGAATCGTAAAGACATAAATCAACTGTTTCGCGACGCGAATTAACCGGCTAAAAATGATCAAACTATACGGTCGAAGGAACAAGGGGAGAGAAATTGGGGACGCCCAATTTATCGAACCACTCCGAGCATCGTACGATTTAACGATTTATAAAGCCGCTGGCTTATATCTACACGGCAGAGAAGGAATTCCCGATCATTGCCTTACGTGTTTGGTCTTGCCAAAATCACTAATTTCTCACCACTGTCAAATCACAAGGCAAAGCCTCATCTCACTCTGATATCTTCAAATAATTAACTTTATTACCGAGAGGCAGCCCGGCTCCTATGACTGCTTTACTTTCGAATGGAGAGCTCGAACGTAACGCGACCGCCCTCCTGGAGACTCTGTACCGTTTTGAAGAGGGAGCCCACGCTCGACCTGACACCTAGCGGTCAACCCAATCCTTACGTATTGCTCCCACCCTAGAAACAGGAGGAATTTTAAAACCACCACCAACTGTCTAAATATACACCATTTCCTTGGATTTAACATTATTCAAATTTATATTATAAATTCGTGAATTAAATGAGTTTGTTTTTTCATTGTAGAGAACGCTAGTTGATCTTACGAGAGGGATAAAGCAATAAGGTTTAATGAACAAATTTAAATTTCTACAAGAGCATTTACTTACATATGCATTGTACATTTGTGCACGTCGTATTTATTTTTATTTCAGAAGTAAATACAGCCATTTTAATTTTAAAAAAAAATTCTCGGTTATATATTTTGCTTTCGAATTCTTGAAAGGAAATAATTACTTTCAAAAAAATATACTGAAAGATATTTCAACTGATTTATTACACGTTAGACTTATTGAACAATACCGTGTCGATTAATTTGGCGTGAAAATTTGGACGGTATCATATAAGTGACATCTATTCAAATTTTCTTTATGATGAATTTTCAATTATATGAGCGTCATTAAAAAAAAAAGAAATAAAGACAAAATCATGTAAAATTTAAGATTTTAATTCCTCTAAGAATAAACCATAAAAATAGCATAATTCTTAATCCTTATTTCGTTTACCATTAATTATTTTAATACTAAAATACTTTTGTGTTGTTCAAGAAAAAAGAATACTAAAAAAATTGTATTTTGAAATGGTACCTATAACGAAAAAAGTAAGAATTCGAATTTACATGTCTTATAAACCTTATATTCGAAATATCAATTGTATTATTGTTAGAGCGATAATAAATAGTTTGTAATTACTTATTACAGCTAAAACTTGATATAAAAATAATTTTATACCTGCAATTTCCGTGCAATAACATTATTATCGGAGTCATATTAACAGTTATCAAAACTAAGAATACGTCGTTTCGTGGATGCAACTTTCCTCCAGTTTTACATTTGTCAGGTCCTACGTTACTTAGCTACTTAAGCGCAATAATTGTCATTATAATGAACGCATTTTTGACAGAAAAACAAGGTCTTATAAGCTAGTAGAAGAGACCTATCAAAAGTATAACAGGATACCTAACATTAGGTGTAAAAAAGAAATATCTAAGCGTATCGTTATAGTCTTTTATTCTAGGACTTTAAAAATTTTCTAAATAATGCTCAGTAAGAAACGATTCTCTGTAATTATGCTGCACGTGAAACAAGTGCTCTGCATATCATTCAACATGAAGATATAAATCGTATCGTATCAGTTTCAGAGATATGGACAGATTTCTTGGAACAAGAAATTATCTGCCTCGGAACAATAGAAACTGTGTAACTTTGAGGATCGTGAATTTTCAAGTTTCAATAATCCACTAGCTCTCAAGTGTGATTTCTTCTTTAATGATGTTTCTAGTTTCATATACATTTGGATGCATATTGGCAATGTGCTGTTGTACGCTAGACTTTGTAAGAAAGTTCATTCCACAGATTTCACAGGATTTCTCAAAATTATGCTTCTGCGTGTGATGATTGATTAAATGCTCATTAGTAGAAAACATCTGTTTACACAATATACATTGCAACAAGCCATCCAAATTCCGGTGACGCCTGAAATGTTTCTTGAAGGAAGACGCCTTTAAAATCTTTTTGCAAATAACACATTTTATTTTACTTATATGCGTAAGCATTATGTGATGTGTGAAAGATTCTTTGTTTGAATAAGCCTTCTTACACACATGACAAGGGAATCCCAATCCATAATGATACGATTCATGCTTATTCTTCAATCCATGAGTACACATTTTGTAACAGATATTACATTTACTCTTCCAATGTAATTCTGTCATGTGCTTTTTTCTCTCATCTTTGGTAGAAAATCGCAGCGAACAATTATAGCACTGCAAAGGTTTGACAATGTCTGGGTGAAAATTCTTAACATGACGATCGAAGGCGATGCCTTTATTGAAGTTTTTGTTGCACTTTAAGCAAGGGAATGGTGCCTTGGAACCATCTAAAGGTTTTCCCTTAGTAACGTCACATCGATGCTCAGCAAAATCAAATAGAGTGTCAAATATTTTTGCACAATAACCACACGTCACAACCTCTGGATGATTTCTGTGAATGTGATCTTCATACTCTTGCATGTTTATGACATTTTCTTCACAATTACATAACAGCTTTGGGCCATGCTCGGACCAGTGTTTCAATATTTTAGATTTACTAGAAAAGAATTTTTCGCACAAGATGCACCTATGATCATTCACAATTTGTGAGGTTATATCTTCACTGCTCGGAGTATCCTTGCTGAGTAGCTGAAGAGCTTCAGGATCTGCTATCTCTTTTTCAGTGGTTTGTTGTTTATCGCCCAGCACATCTGTTGGAATATTATTGTTGTCTTCTTCTGGGAATTCCATATCCAACAGAAAATTTGGAAAGCTATTCAGACCATTTTGTTCCTCAATACCAATTAGTTCTTTCTTAATAGTCAACGAATCTTCTATCTCAGCAATGTCTGAACTCGTTAGGAATATTCCAGATGGTGGTTCATTTGTCTTAATGTGACTGGAAACATTGCACATCTCCTCATCACCAATATCTCTATGAACTATTTCATATGAATCATTTCTCTTTTTTATTGTTAGACTTAAACCCTGGATTGTAGCTCTGCTTATAGGAGATGTAACAGACCGATTTGCATCAGACCTCCTATGGTTGAAGTCACAAGATATGTAATGCTCATCCAATGCTGCCATATTTGAAAATGATTTTCCGCATATACATTTAATAAAACATTTTTCACTATGATCAGGTTCCATTTGTATCGTTTGTTTGACCTTTGACTTCTTCGAGTTCTTGGTATTTCTTCCCTTCTTTGTATTTGCTTGTTTCAGAGATTCATCGACTCCATTCAACTCAATTCTACTGTGAGTCATGGACTCTAAGGATTTGGCTCTTTTATGTTTCTTTGACTTTTGCTCTGATTTGTGGCCTGATTTCTGATGATGGTCACCAATATTTTCCAATGTCTCACCACGTCTTACATGTGCCTCATTGTGAGTATTCAAACGATATTTGCCATGAACTATCCTTTGACATATATTACAGCAATAAATTGTATTTGAATCAGGTTTTCTCTCAGATGTTTTCTTCTTCTTTGAATTACTCTCTGTTGAAGATTTCCTCTTCGATCGGGTATCATTGTTGTCATTCGGAGTTGTGTTATTAACTTTTGGAGATGCTGGACGAGGTTTATTTGGTTTTGATCTCTTGGCACTTGGTGGGTTCTCTTCTTTTGTGGTCTCATGAATTTGGAATGTATGACGTCTCTTTCTTTGGGATCGTACCTTCTCTTGCAATTCTGATTCAATGTCTGATTTATATGTTTGATCTTTGTCCTCGTCAGTAGATCCCATGAGGTCTTTAAAATATGACTGTGCAATAGACTCTTGAACTAAAAGAGATGGATCTGTGACCTTGTGGTATGCCACGATGTGTTTTTTAATGTTTTTGCTCGGCCTGCTACATAATGTGCATATAACATCTGCCGGTGGTGGTAGCATTGTCATGCCGTTATGGCGTAAAACTGTTTTATTATGTTCAGTTGTAGGGGAATTATTAGGGGTACTATTATTAATGCTATCTGTTACGGTACTTGTAACCTCATGGTTCGATGAAGTGTCAGAATTATGGATTCGTTCACTGATCTTGTAATTCGTTGCAGGAGTAGCTCCTTCAGGTTCGGTTTCATTTTGTATTTCAAGATGACTTTTTATATCATCTTTTTCCATTTTGATTTGTTTAAATAATGGTTCCAGTGTTGATTTGCCAGATGGCGGACTACTCATAAGCCACCTTCTCATCAAAGTTTGCTCAGGACTAGAAATCATGAAATTTTTCAATAGATTTCTTGCAGGCTTATTAGATACTGGCCATGTTCCTTGATCTGCATTTGGACTTTTTCCAGGACTTTTCGAGGGACTACTTTTAAAAGACTTTTCAGGACTCTTCGAAGTTCTCTTAGTGCTCTTTGCTGTAAACTTAATATCTTTATGTTTCAACAGAGTCAGTGCATTTAACAACCGTAGGTTCTTTTCATTTTCTTTCACATTGGCAAGTACAATCTCTTTGTCATCAGTTCTGTTCTTGCAACTTGCTTGAAATCTAGGTACTTCCATTACAATTTTTTTTTTAGTCTTATTTCGATTAAAACGTATTTCTGTGTCACTAGCTGTCGAAGTTGTTCCAGTAATATCCGACATAGCCTTATCACTTTGTAAGAAAATGTCATGATTTTCAATATTCTCCGACTTCTTTGATAGAGCTGACATTGAAGTACTTTTTGTTTTATCCAAAACCTTTGTATTTTGTGAATCTTCTGAATGTTCCAAATTTTTATTCACATTTTTACTATGCTTGCGCTGAGTTTTCACTGCCAAAGAGATCCCATGAACTCTCACAGAATGAACATTTTTATTTCTATTGGTTGAGAATCCTTTCCCACATATTTCACATAGAATAAGCGACTTAGACTGTTTTATAGATAAATTAAAATATGGAAGTTGACCATTACCATTACATAACAGAGGTTGATACTTAATGTACGGTGATACAGATTTATCGGAAGAATATTCATCTTTACATTCTGCATTATCCTTCTTATCTATTTCAGTATTATTTAAATGCTTAATCAGCTTCAACGTCCTGAATATCTTATCACATCGTTCCAACAAAATAATTGGCTCCTTTATTTTGTGTTTCATGTTATATTGTAGAGAATTGTCCATTGTTAAACCCTGAAAACAAGAGCACACCGCTTATGATTTATGACTATGTGAAGCATACAAAACTTAATGCTCAATAAACAGAGTTATACACAAATGAAATACTTTAATAAAATAACCTAATCCCATATACCCTATTTGAAAATTTAGCAAATTCCTGTAAGACTAAAATAATTATTCTCTTTCTAATATTGATACACCACACTTAAACACCACAATTAAAATACCAATAAAAATTAACCACAATCAATATAAACTTCGAAAAAAAAAGTATAAAATAAGTAATGGAAATGTGAGTTACATACGTTGGATGCTAAAAAACGCGGTAAAAGACGCTACAAAAATTTCGATATAAGGAAACTCAAGTGTCAAAACCTCATAATCAAATTAACATCCATCCGAGGCTTTTCCCTATTCCAAAAGTTTTTCCTACTGTCATCAAATAATAAAACTGTAAAAAACAAAACTATTCAAATAACGATAATATCTATTACAAATATATCTAAATATCCCCGTCTTACCCGATTCATTGGTTTCACAGACAATAAGAATGCAATTTCATTTATAAAATGATCAGCTGTCAGGGTCTCTTTAATTTATTCTCCTAGGTCACAAACGACGATAATCCTCTCCCCACTTTGTCGAACTCCACACAAGACACTTTAAAATCCGCCGGGATTTACAGGGACAGTAATATACTCCCCATAGTTTCAGAGTAACATTAATTCTGCATGAGGTCTACGACCGACATTTTATTTTCACTTACGATCTATGTATTCTGATTGGTCAACATTTGGCATTTCTGTTCGGTCTGCATCTTGTAGCCGTTTAGCCTAGGTGGGGGTTGGACGAGTCTACTTTAGCAAACTCCAATAAACCCAGTCAACAAGAAGACCATTGTAACAGTCATAAATCTAAGCAGAACATTGAAATGCCACAAACCCTGGGGTACAGAAATCATGGCCGAATTACCTGTACTACAAATTTATTGTCAGGACTAGGTATACAGTCATTTCAGGACGTTTTCAGATTACAAACTTGAGTCTGGTAGATGACGACACTTTCTAGATCATATTCTTACCTAGATACATATGAAAATTTCTGGAGCTCTTATTACAGCTGTAGAATGTACAAGTAACATTATACTTTAAACTAACTTTGACACACTAATAATATATGCTTTTGTTTATTTAAACGAACAAGGTAATCAGTTTCCATGACTGCAACTGGTATAAATTGCAACGAATCCTTTTGGAGTAGAGATAAAAGCATGTGACTTGGGACATCTCTACTTACGTTTGAATGAGTAACAGATGAATTATCCAAACTTTATTAGCATGCCGTTTATCATTATAAAAATGATGATACTAAAAACATTGTAGAAAGAATTGTAGTATGTCTCATTATGACAATACTTACCAATTGGTTAATGCAAGAGAACAGATTGACTAATATATAAAATTGTGCCTATTATATAATATTACGGAGTTAATGCTGATAAATTAAATTAGTCATAATCAACCCACAAAATAAGTTCTTTGGAAAGTCATCTTGATCTTTTAAATATGAGTTTCAAGTCAAGGTCCACCCTGACCTTACTTTATTGTCTGGTTCCAAATGTTCTTGACGTATTAATCAAATCTACCAATAGAGTCCTACAACTCAGCTATATTATATCTATAGTATAAAATCTAAACAGTAAAATGGAGAACTTGTCAAGCTGAGTAATCCCTGGTACTGAAGGTCAGCATCATTTTGCAGCACAATAGCGAGTTGTAATTCCCAATATTATAATAACGAGATGCATGCACTTCCGTTGCTCTGTTATAAAAGAGTTCACGATATCAGACGTAATTCATTTCATTTGGATGAACAATGGAGTTTAAAACATTCAGTTTGTGCTGGGTATTGTTGGTCGCCAGGGCAGCTGGATTGCCCAATGACGGTTTGTATCTTTATTGTATTATAATATTTTGTATGTAAATTATAAAAATGTCTGATTAACGGAAAAGAACCTCTGTTTATCGCAGTATGGTTTTGTAAGCAATTTTTTGGTGATGAACGAGAACGAGGATCATCCCCATTTAATCTGTTCTAGAAAGTTTTAGAGTGAGAATTGATCGACATCACAATGCTCAATTCGGTGAAGGAATTCGTGATTGGTTCAAGAACATGAAAGATCGGGTCCTTGGACAGCCTGATCCAGGCCTGCAGCCAGATCAGATTCGTGAGATGCAGGAAGTGCAGACTGGTTGGTTTCAAGATCGCCTGATGAGTCCTGGACGTTTTGTTGTGGATCTTGGTGAGTCTTCACTTCCAATAGTATGTTTTCAATATATTTCTTCTATCTTCTTACTTTCTTGCGCTGTTAATTCATGAGTGATTCTTCTTCTTATTCAGCTAATGTAAAATTTGATCCGGCACGTGATTGGGGATTTCGTATTGGTAACTGGTACTTTATCAGGAAGAGTGATTCCTCCAATGACTTCAGTTACAGTGGTACTTGGGATAAAACCAATTTGCAAACTACTGAAGGTGGTGATTGGATAGAACTAGATACTGGAAATCGTGGAAACTTTGACTATTCTATCACAACTGAAACAACGCAACCTGAATTACCTAAAGTCGAACCTACTTTAGAAACAACATCAATTCTTAGTCTTGTAACTTCTGTTAAAGAGGTGGAATTATCTGAAGAAAATGAAACTGGTAGCAACATTAATCCACCAGAAGCGGAGGTTGTGATTCCAAAAAACTAAGTAGACCTATGCAAATGTTGGGTAAACAAATAGTCGGGCAGTTGGAAGTAAAAAACTTTTAAATTGTATTTCTGCCTGTACTTTAGAACTGTATAGCTAAGTATGTAATGCCAAATAAATATAATCGGACGGAGCTAATACAATTTTTTAACTGGAAAGTTTTATTTTTTCTTAGAAAGTAAAGATTGGAGTTTCTTGAAGTAATCACAATCAAATAATGAAACTGAAAATTTTGATCACAAAGGATGGGCATTTATTGCGCAAAACTTATTATAAATATCACTTGCTAGGTGGTAACACATTATAATAATTTTTACGCCGATGTACAAATTGTGGTCTTCACGTTGTGTGCTGGTTTTTCTTACTGTAAGAGAAAAACGTGTTCGCCCAAATCAGTATGACAATCTTTGTCTTCACTTAATTAATAAAATCAATGAAAAGTTCAGAAGATTGTTGTGTTACAAAATGTCCAGACACCAATATAACATTTAAATGATTTGATCAACATGCAAAAGCTAATTAAATTTAAAGAAATGACTATGAAATCTATAGATCGTTTGTAAAGGATCCACAATAGCTTTGCAGAGAAAAATTAATTTTTGCTAATGTGAGAGTTAGCAATGTTATAAATAGTAGTTCCTTTACAAAGTTTATTGTAAATGAAAATCCATCACCATGTAAAATGTTGCTAATATGATTACCTTAAACCACAGTACAATGCTAATATAAGCGATGATAAATTTGAGAAACAATTCTTAAGAATGAAAATTTCAAAATGTAAAAGTAAGTCAGAATTAAAGCATAGTCTAGTAGCAGATGAAAATCTTACAGTAGAGGAGATAATAATTTACAAAAAAAAAAGCTAAAGAATATGGAAGAAAGCTACTGTCGGAACATAAAGTCTTATGAATCTCTTAGTTTTTAAACTAAGAAAATATTCAGATCAACTAAAGCAGTCCATTTTTCTTTTTTTTTTTTCTTTTAATAATTCGACGTTCATAAACTGAATGATCTTAATAAGCAGAAGAATTTTAGTACTGAAGATATAACAGAATCTATTGATAACAGTGTTGTGAAGACATGCTGACCACGTATAAACATCACAAATATGAGACCATCCCGTCTTGATGCTCGCAGAGCAAATGATGAGTATTTGACTACTTCTTTGCCTAGAATTTGAATAGAAAAACGTATACCACCAGAGCATGCACAGATAAATTAAAATTATGAAACATTCATTGTTCACCAATATACCCTTAGTAAATATCACTAATGAACATTACAGAACAATGCTAAGACTCGCATGAATGTAAATTAAAATATTAAATAAATTTTTGAAGAGCAGTAAAGCTTTTCAAGTATTGGAAAAGAGAAAAGATTAATTGGTCTTAAAAATAAATAGTATTTCTGTAAAATAATGGAAATAATTATAGTCATGCATAACAGAAATAGCCTCCTGATGCCAAATGAGTTTTTTTGACTTACACCCATGTTTAAATGATTATAAATGCATAATATCCATTACCAGATGAATAAAAAGATATTTTATTTTAAATCATGCAACTAATAGATTACCCATACCAAATAAAAATTTCTATCTCACATAAGTAAATGAATATATTTAAATAATTATACATGATATTGATGAACACTCCAAATTATTTTTATCAATAAATGATTAAACTACAGAGCATGTTACATATGCAACATTACTTTTGTATTAGAAAGACTATGTTGTGTTGTATCAATATCACGAGCAGATGTAACCGATATTAAAAAAAAAAAAAAAAATTACTATAACATACCTTTTTAGATGCTGCTCCAACCTTGCTCTTCTTGGTACCTCTGACCTTCTTCATTCTGTTCTTGCGTTCCTTACGCTGTTTCCTGGTCTGTTTCTGTTTTTCATAAAGTCCATGCCTACCCAGCCTGTATTTGGGTTCGAATTTCTTGGCAAAGTCTAGAGTGTCGTAGATCAATGCAAAACCGGTAGATTTACCGCCACCAAAATTAGTTTGGAAACCAAATACAAAAACAACATCTGGTGTCACTTTGTACATTTTGGCGAGCTTTTCCCGGATCTCGGTTTTCCGAACTGAGGGCTGGCCAGAATGTAACACATCTACGACCTGGAATAGATAAAAAAAAATCATTTAAATACACAGTTTACAAACAATCATATCAAAAAAGTTGTATCTGTACTTCTGATGTAATCATCCTAAGTATATATAATTAAAGTCCATAAAATATAATTAAAAATATAATTTCCTATAGTTATTATTTAAAACGGAAGAATGTCAAGGAACTGAAATGCAAGTAGACAAGTAATCATTATCTCGCAAAGTATACCTGTCAAAGAACATAGGTATTTACACAAGAATAACATATTTTTTTCAAAATAATACAGAAAAAAACATAATTACCATTTGTTTTCGGCATAATAGCCGATTAGTCATAAACTTTCTAGTTCTGATCGTAGCGGTTCCTTCGGTCTGTAACAAACGTTCAAAACACATCACTTATAGGTTACAATCAACACTTGCTGCATTGTTGTCAACAGAAATTGCGGTTTTAACGCGGATTGAACCGAATGAATAAAATACACCATTTTCGATTATTTTTTCACCGAAACATCAAATGAAATATAAAAGAATCATCATATAACTCGGTGTTTACCCATGCCCAGTATGTCGGATAGTTCTGCGATAAACACTAATTTTATATAAATTTACAAGACACTGACTGACATATTAGTATCATCATCTAAGAAAAACAATCTTCTTTAATGTAACTTCAATAACCACATCATTTTTTCAGCGATTCGTATTTATTTCCTGGATTCGAAATACATACCATCTTGCCCGATTATCGTGCCACTTGGAAAAGGCTTTAACGGAAGCATGTAGCGCCGTCCGCGGGAAAAATTTGCAGAAGCCGGAAGTCCTAAGAGTACCAACCTTTAGAGTCACATTGAAAAAATTAACTAGAACATCTTCCATCTTCAATCTCAATTTTTATATCATTTTTTGGCTTTTTCAATTATTTCTCTATTGTTCTATCTCCCAAAATGGCCACGTAACGCATTAATACCTTTTATACGCTTAGTATAATTTAAAACTGACTATTAAAGTATTTTTCGAAATATTATTTCCTAGATATGCCAAAAAAGCCACTGTATAATATCCCAGTGTGATATAAAGAAATTTTGATAAGAAATTTAGGCTTTACTGGAATAGACAACTGAAGACAAGAAATATAAACCAAAATTCTAGTGCAGATCATTAATGTCAGAAAGTCGCTGACAATGTTGCCACATTCCCCATTTTCTAGTCCTCAGAGGACGAGTGACGATGATGGCGGAGAAACGCGTGAGATGTGTAGCTTAGAAATAGTGTGGTGCTCGGTGGGGGTGTAAGTGGGGAATACTAGGCGACCTCTGCCGGAGCTGCGGCCGTGCTTCGAACTACGCGTTGCATTGCTGTTGAAAATGGCGTCGCGCTCGGAGCTGCCAGAATATTCGTCCCCAGCGAAACGTCGGAAGGTCGACTGCGACGAGTACGGAACATCTTCTGGCGCGGAACTCGATTTCGTGGATCGCGAGGCGTCCCGCGAGTCCCCAGACGAAGATCTCGAAGGTATTTTCGCGAAAATATGGCCAATTAATTGTTGAAATTTTCATTTTACAAGATGGCGGCGAAAACGGCGGCCGCCCACTCATATACGTGTACCGTTTCTTCTCGACGTTTTGTGGGGGGCGATGCCGCCATGACAGTCGGTTGGGTGCGTCGCAATTTCACCTAAATTTTTTTTCCAATTTGTTCATCCTTGGAATGATATCTCTGTACCGGACAGAAATAATCCATGAAATTTATGACTTTCGCGATTATTTGCAATGGCCAGGTGGTCTAACGGGAGAATTCTAGCTCGTCGACATCTCTAGCGGGAATATGAGGGTCAGTGACAGCGGAACTGAGCGAGTGGCTTGGTGGCGTTCACAGATGGCACAAGTTTCACAAATAAAAGAAAATGTGAACTTGACGTTTTGTGGCGCGCGCCAATTCCTTTGACAGTAGCTGTCAATCTTAAATATTATAGGAATTACAACGAATCGTTGAACTTTTTTTTTTACTTCTTTCAAAATGTTTCCTTGTTTCGAGAAAATACATTGAGTTGGGTTAAATCGACAAGTTTTATTGAATTCTTGTAACTCTCATGTGGTAACATTATTCCTCTGATAACGACCTTAATCCTTGTTCCCACACTTTCTTTTTTTAATTATTAATTTGAGGAATGTTTGGCGTACTTTCATTGATTACCGATATTACCTGCGACTTATGTATCTTTAATTTATTATTACTTCAAAGTTTATTACATAACTGCACTTATTTTTCTTGATACTTTTTTTTATTATTATTCTCAATACGATACATATTTTTGAATACAGAAACTCTTGGTGGTGATAGTGGTTTCAATGAGTTGAGTGATGGTTCAAAATCTGTCCCTAATACACCGGATGTAACAAACCTGACATCAACACCGACGCGTACAGATTCAACAAGCGACGATACTGGTTGCTCGTAAGTACTTGTAGTGTCATGAATCATTCACAAATTATGTTATGAAAAGGAATTATAACCATATCCATTCATCATGTTATTCCAGACTTGACACTGCAGATGAGAAGGACGAAGTTTCATCAACAGTTTCTAATCTGTCTGAACTATCGGGATTGTCTGATTTGTCAGGAGAGACTGAAGGTCATCAGTGGAGAGCTTCAGCCTGGGTCCATAAGCAAATGTTAACTGGAGCAAATCCAAGGGATCTTCTTAATCATCTACTGATGGACTCTCAACCAATTCCTGAAGTTGATGACATCACACTATGGAAGGTTTGTAAAAAGTTATGATATTATAGCATAATCGTTATTCCCAATTTATTACCTTCACAATAAGTGTTAGCTTAATAATGGAAATCTATCAATGACACTGGAGATTATTTTTATCTAAACTATCCATTGATAAACACTTTTTTTCCTAATAATGTATTGAGTTTGTAGGGAGTTTCCTAATCAAGCAACAAGGTTTTCAGATTTTAACGTTGCATCCGTCGAAAGTTTACATTCTCTCCTATTTATCGTTAAAAAAAATTATATGAATATCATAACATTATTTTATACAAATAGCCACATTGATTGCGCATCCTCGACTATATAGCCATCTAAGAGAGGAACAACAAAAATTCCAACCTGATTTACTCCAGCCTGTGTTACACAGCGCGACTAAGTACCGATTGCAATTTATGTCGCAGATTATCGTGAATGTGATGACAGATCAGCCGAGGCGACAGAAACTCAGGCACGTAAATACCCTGACGGACGTCGTTCGACTAATAAAGAATAGCAAGAAAATCATAGTGTTAACCGGGGCTGGCGTTAGCGTCAGCTGTGGAATACCAGACTTCCGTAGCAGAGATGGCATTTACTCCAGACTAGCACAAGACTTTCCAGACTTGCCTGATCCCCAGGTAATTAACATACCAAGTCTCTACTATTACTTAAATACATCTGTGCCGAAGGCTAACAAAATTTTTTATTGGCTATGCTATAGGCAATGTTCGACATCAACTACTTCGGACAAGACCCAAGACCATTCTACAAATTCGCACGTGAGATCTACCCTGGACAGTTCAAGCCCAGTCCCTGTCACAGGTTCATCAAAATGCTGGACAAGCACAAGAAGCTCCTGAGGAACTACTCGCAGAACATCGATACCCTGGAGCAAGTAGCTGGAATCGAGAACGTTATAGAGTGCCACGGTAAGTGAAAATCTTTCAGAAGGGACTCAATAGTAAAAGCGGAATAAACTCTGTGAAGGTTGTTTCAAATTTTGAACGTGGCTGTTATTTCTGTTATCTAGGATCCTTTGCCACAGCATCCTGTACCAAGTGTAAATACCAAGTGAGAGCGGACGACATCAGGGAGGATATATTCGCGCAGAAGATCCCCATGTGTCCAAAATGCAGAGCCAACGCCTTACCCTCCATTGCCGTTGGGAATCCGAACGAGAGTTACAGAGGTAAGTTGAAAAGAACCGCGAGCGCAATCGACATTCGGCTGACTATTATATTTATTTGCAGTATTACATAATGTGGCTTGTCAGTTTCTATGGTACGGAAAGTTTGCTATCTAGTGATAGTTTCCGCCGTTAGCCTTTCCTATTGCGTGTCGCGAGTCGATGGCCGTGAGAAAACGTTCTCTGCTCTTCTCGGAATGCGTCCTCGCTATCTGACAATGCCATTTATACCGATCCACACATAAGTCGAAACCGTCAATCTTAACTGCGAGTTAAACTTCGCTTGTTAATGAGCAAATATAAAGGTAAACTTACAAAAATGCTTCAAATAATCGTTAAATGCCGTTTTGTGTCCTACTTACCAATAACGCAAGAATTGTTACAGTTTAGTTTTGAATAATCACACATGTACAGTCAAACTTTAGAAAAAAAAAAAAAGCAAGCGAAAGAGAGGGAGAGAGAGAGAGAGAAAGAGAAACCAAGAGAGAGAGAGAGAGAGAAAGAGACCCGCAAATAAACAAAGACCCATGAGTAATACTTAAAAAGAAAGAATGAGAAAGGAATACGCGTACCCTGTTAGCCTCGAAATTCGCGTGTTCACCGTGTTACGTGGAATCCTGAGTAAACAAAGAAAATGCACATTGGCCCAATGAATTTTTCAGATCTAGTGTCGCAAGGTATTATGAAGCCGGATATAGTCTTCTTCGGTGAGGGTCTGCCGGACGCCTTCCACGACGCCATGGCCAAAGACAAGGACGACTGTGATCTCTTAATTGTTATCGGCTCGTCGCTTAAAGTTCGGCCAGTAGCGCTTATACCTTCCTCCATTCCGTCGCACGTTCCACAGATTCTCATAAACCGAGAGTCGCTGCCGCACCTGAAGTTCGACGTCGAGCTCTTGGGTGACGGCGACGTCATCATCAATCAGCTCTGTCACTTGTAAGTATAACGATAATAAATATTCCTTGTTTATCTACTATCCAGAAATTCTGGAAGCTACCGATTATATCGGTCACGAGGAAGGAGAAAAGAAATTGCTCACTTGCTCTTTTGGATGGGGCAGAATGGGAAACAGCTTCAACGAGATCTGTTGGGCCGACGACATCCTCAAGGAAGCTTCTCAACTCCTGCCATCTCGCTTCACTGCTGACGACTCCTGGGAACAGAGTCAGGATACCATGACGAATCACGAGTTCTCTCAGGACAGTGTCGAGGTCAATCTGAAGTCCCACCACCTGTCTACCGAGAGTCAGGATAGCCTGATGATCAACGCAAATACCACGCCAAAGCGTATGGAGAGCACGGATATTTGCATCTCGCCGTTTCATGCCGGACACATGGAGAGCACCGTGGAAGGAAGCTTTGCATTGCTTGGTGAAAGTCCCAAGAGGAGGCTTGGGGATTCCAGCGCGGAGAGCAGTCCAAAGAGGATGCACTTCGGGAGTAGTCCTGGCACAGAACTCGTGGACACACCCACGAGTCAGGGCTTGGAGAATAGCGAAGTCAAGGGAGACTCGATTTCACGGAACAACCGTGTTATATCTGTGGAATCGACATCTGAGAACAATGGACAGATTCTGAACCTGGAGGAGTGTCACGTGGTACCTAGGATGATGAACCTTCATTCAAGGGACTCTGGTATTGAGATAATACAGGAGTCTGAGACATCATCTCCCGGTATCACTACCTTCAGGAAGAACGTGAACTCGGCAATGCATGATGGAATCCTCGTGGGAGATTGCGATAAGTCAGGATTGAAGCCACGACACGTGTCCATCGATTCCGCCCTGGACTCCGGCATCGGGGACAGTTGCAATAGCATTGACAGCACCGATGGAAAGACCAACGCTGACAACAATGATGTATCAAAGATTCATGACCTGGAAAGGCGCTGCTGGCAACCTAAATTAAAAGAGAGTCTTGCCAAGAGACTACCTGGTACGTCTTCTTCTGGAATTGAATCCCAAACAGGTTCGTTCCGAGTATCGAATTAACGTATTTATGTCTTTCTTTGTCCTATAGAAAATTCCTACTACCAAATGACACCCGGAAGGTACATCTTCCCAGGAGCTGAGATCTACTCCGATCTGGACGACTACGACAGATGTTCGCTCTCTGCCAATTCCGACAGTTCGGACAGCGACAGCGACACCTCGTCCGAGGAAGAAGAAGAGACATGTGAGTAATCGATTATTTCATTAACTGCGTAAAGGATATAATTTAAAAAAAAAACAAGTAAAATAGAAATTCTAACGGACTCGTTCGTATCAGGCGCCGACGAAGAATTTTCCGAAGAAGTGGACGCGGATGCCGAAGCGGATGGTGAGGAAGTGGACTGGGCAAGTAATCCCTCCAATGAAATACAACGTTAAGTCCTAACGTCTCCACGGAGTTAATAGTCAATTCGTGTCGCTGTTACTTTGACGGATTTTCATTGGGACTGAATGAGGCCGCGAAGTTAACAGTGGACAGAATAAGTCCCACCGGTGCATCGGTCACAGGAACCGCCAATTTACGCATATACTTGCGTATCGAGGAATCCTGATAAGAAGCTGCAGGTCGGGCCTCGACTTCGTTAAGTCGGGTTGACGAGAGGTGCGTTCGAAGAACGGCCGCGAAGAGCATGTTCGGCAATTAGCCAAAAATCAGGATTACGTTATCAAATTGAATTTATCACTGGAAACCTGAATATTGGTGTTCTCAGTTTAAAGTAATCGATAAAGATGCGCGATCGTCTTAAATTATTACTGAGTTCGAGATTGTTATTACTTTGTCGTAAAAATACATGGCAGAGGGTGATCCGTCTTTCGCCGTTATCATCAAGAGGCGTTTAGTAAATTAGATATTTTTTTTTTTTTTTATAAAGTTAAATGTCGAACGAATGAACCTTTCTTTTTATATAAATCTAATATCGCGTTTCATACGATCAGTACCGTGTAAAAAAGTCAATAGAGTATCCATTCGCCGACACAAGGTATGATTCTTCAAAATCAAATTACTCCAAACAGAAAAAAAAGTCATAAAAAGTTACGAATAACATTTTATGACTTTTTTTTTGTTCACGAAAACCTTCAACGTACGCGTATCGAATCGCGAGCCTGATATCGATTAATTAACGTTAGGATGATCTGAATGATCTATCGTCACGATTTTAATGGATATCTATGCGAATTGCGTAAGATGCGATACGCTGTACAGTACTGAATTAAATTAAAACCTCAATAATTGACGGTGTGCCCATAATAAGAATTAAAGTTTGTCAAAATCCCAAAGAAAAAAAAAATCAATTGATCGAGAATATCATCGGAGCCTGTGTAGTCTTAGACCTAGAACAAAAAAGGATATAGGGGGAACAGGGGTAAAGTACCAATTCTCTGTTAATGACTGGTCGTGCCCTAATTTACCCTTTTCCTTTTTTTTTTCATCTTATTTATCCGTGACTGTCTGTATATATGAATAAGGTATCATTTTTTTTTTTTTTTTTTTTTTTTTTTTTTTTTTTTTTTTTTTTTTTTTTTTTTTTTTTTTTTTTTTTTTTTTTTTTTTTTTTTTTTTTTTTTTTTTTTTTTTTTTTTTTTTTTTTTTTTTTTTTTTTTTTTTTTTTTTTTTTTTTTTTTTTTTTTTTTTTTTTTTTTTTTTTTTTTTTTTTTTTAATATCTTCCTCCTCCGTTTCTCTTCTTTTTAAAGTATAATTATTCGTTATCGTCTAATCACATATTAGAATCTAAGGGACTCGCATCACCAATTACTTTAGCGGCGCGAATTATATAAAACTGGCTCACAGGCGACTCGTGTATTCCGTAAGGACAAGATACAATACCTATTTTACTATTTGAGAATCAAGTATCCTCGACTAAAGCTCTTCGACAGGCACTCGTTTGCACGAGCGTCTAATTGATACACGTTATAAGTACACATGGTATGAATATATTCTAAGCCGCGCGATCTGGAAGATAGTAAAGCCAGCGAGAAAAGGAAAAGGAAAAAAAGAAAACGAGAGAGAAAGAGAATATGAGAACGAGAGCAAAAATTACCTTGGGCAAAAATTTTTCTGTTGCTTCGCGACCCCAGCGAAAACTGCACGGTTTGTTTCCTTCTTTGCATAACTCATCGCGAAAGAGACTCTCTACTCCTTTTTCTTTTTTCTTTTCCGTTTATAAGGAAAAATTGATAATCAATTTTGTACAAATGGATTATTTGCGGTGGTACGGAACGACTTTTTTTTGTCTTCTGCATCATCTAAGAAAATGTAGTAGCATTACCAGGCCATTTCAATTGCTACTTGGTATACATACATATATATATATTTTAAGCTTTAGCAATAACTTTTCTACAGAGACGCGATTAGTCGTAACAAAAAAAAAATGGTTTGGCAATGATTTAGAATTCGTTAGGTTGGACTTTCAGTTTCATTGGAGCACGGGCGAATGTACAAAGCAATGTTGGATAAGCTTCGCATTGCGTGTTATTTTTATATACGAAAGAGTGTGTGTATGAGAGAGGCGACGAGGACGATGAAAGAAGAAAAAATAAATATGCGTAGCGATTAGGAACAATTAATATGAATTATAATTAGAGGAGCGCAACGATAGTCGACGAATCGGCTCTTTTTAACTTGCGAATAACATATTGTATCATGTATATTATATATATCCGATATATTTGCTCGTTGCGATACGCAAGAATCAGTCTCATGGTGTCCGCGCATGTAACTGCGATACCAGGATTTGATTCTATGTCGAGCTGTTAAACGATTCCGTTGAAAATTGTTGCGGTAGGATTATTGATAAGGAACAAAGAGGTTGCGTGCAAGTGTGTATGTATATACACTATATTGTAGATTAACCATGGAGAAATGCGAAAGACGAACTCGCGGCGACTGTGGACGTAAGACCAATCCGGCTGTCCGCAAATATTAGATTTATCGATAGAGGCGAGATTATTAGATTTACGTAATAAGATTTATATGCGCTTAGGTGTGCGTTTATTATATGTAGATTGCACAAGAATTCTTTATTTGCACCGATACGTGAATTTATTGTACTGTTCGATTCAATGGAAAGACGTTCGGCGTACGTTGATTGGTAAATTTTCTCTGATTGTAATGTGGAAAAGAAAAATGCGTGGAATTCTTGGGCATGGATGAATATGAAAAGTTTTGCGGCTGATTATTGTGTCGTTTTGACATTTTGGTTCCTCACGGTGTACGATAAGGATAATTGATTTTATACTACTAGACGAGAAGGTCATAATTTTTGCTTTGTACATACGGCTTTTATTTATCTTCGTTATGCGAAAGAACTTATGTGGAAGAGATATGGATGCGAGGTGTTATATTTTTTATTATTCGCTCTTTTTTTTTTGTTTTTCTTGGTTCTTCATCTCTGTCTTTATCTTTATTCTTCGTAGGAGCTGTACTCCTTACTCTTATTTATTTGAAACGCGCAAGCAACGTTATTTGGCGGTGAGAATGTCGCTGGCAGTTTCGCAGGTCCGTTTGAAATTGGCGCCCTTGCGTGGGAGCGAGAGGGTATCCTGTAAAATTTGAAATGCAGGGTGAGAGAATGATGGAGATAAGATGGATAAGGATAAAGGAGAGAAAGAGAAAGCGTTAATGTGAGTAATTAGGATCTCTTGTAAAATTTGACAATCGTACCAACCTTTTGTTCTCTTTTTATTTGTTCATCTTTCTTGCGTTTTTTCCCCCTTTTTTTTTTTGTATAGGTGTATAACGTGTAAATATTTATTATTTTTAATATCCAGCGAATAGCGTGTAGCATCGTGCGCGCCGACCGGAGCTCGAGATTGCGCGGGTCTCGTTATTCTTATTCCTATCGTTAATTATTCCTTAGTTAATTAAAAAAAAATTTTTTAAAAGGGACGTCCAGTAATCGCGAGCATTCCAGTCGACACGGTACGATCAGTGTGGCGAAGTTCTGAAGTTCACTTTTTTTTTTATAATTTGTTATTTAATGTAATGAATGTTATAAAAATGTTCTCTTTATTATAAACGTTGTAAGAATTTTTCTGTTTCTTTTGGTATTACTAACGTATAAGCTTACCTCGTAAATTAAACATTTTTCTATGATACATACCGCTAGCATTTTATTTATTCCGTCACCTCAGTTTTATTTTTCGCGCATGCGCGATCCCGTTGAGCTTTTGCCGCGCAACGTCCGTTGCGCAGGCTCTTTCGTTATTACGGATATTTCAAATTGTACTTTCCCGCCGCGAGTCCTTCCTCGCTTACAATCCCTCTGCAACATAACGAAAACACTCGTAACCAAATTTTGTCGACTCTTGTAGATCGGAAGGTACAATAAGATATATTTAATAGTTTCAAATAGAAGAATAATGTAGTGCTACGTATATTAAACATAACCTAGTCTAGAGAACCGATTGCATCCAGGAGCATTAATCCTGTCAGGCTTGTACAGAATTTAACAGTCAATTCGGTTACCAAGGATCTTTCTTGCTGTAATCAGATGATTCTAGTGTATCGGCAATTGGGACCGATGCTATTTTTCTACCCTCCACGTCCACGGAGCTCGGTCTCTGGTGCGTTAAGCGATATCCTAGCGTAACAAAATAACCACTCTGTGAAACTTACCGTATTATCTATTAAAAGTTGTTAATTATGTATAAATCCTTGCTCGATGCGTATCCGTATAATGTCTAACACGTGTCGTCCATTTTGAAAACCACTTAGCGATTGTGTTCATTTACGACTATTGCTCTGATCTTTGGCTATCGTTACGAAATTATTTTTTTTTTTTCTCGTCGCTGATAAGCACTAAGTTTATGCAAAATATCGAACATAATTGTTACGATGGTTTTCGCACGTAAGTTCAGAGATTATTTAGGTGATTCTTGATGCACGTATTACTAGATGATTCTTGTAGGACATGCGTATGGATATATTAATCTTATATTATAATGAATGATAATACATTCTGAAAAATTATATATTACATTATAGTAAGTAATTTTCAAGAGCTGCATGCTGTGTGGGATGATTCTTTTTTTTATATTAATTAATGACTATTCGAATCGTCTTTTGTTACTGACGAGTTTTCTAACACACAGTAATGCTTTTCTGGAAGTCTCATTGGCTAAGAACGACACTTGCAGTTTTATCTGTTATCTGTGTTATTGAAGAAATAATGACTGTCCCCTAATTCTGTTTTGTTCTTTACTCTTTATAGTATATTAACATTGATAGGGTCTTTGGAATTCTTGGATCTTAAGGTTTTTTTTTCACCAATGTTGTTTCTTCGATTATTGAATTGTCTACATTTATTGATGGTAGATGTCGCTGGTGAATTATTGTAGATATTTTAAGGATGCATTCGATACTGAATACTTATTAGTGATTTTAATTAAATAATCGGGACTGTCTTTAGGTGGTGTTATTATTATTATATATATATATGAAGATCATTGAAATGCTATCAGTTGCTTAAAGGGATATGGAAAAGATGGTAAAAAAGATAATTTGAAAGCCTCGTACATACTTCGATTGCACATAAACAGTAATACATCTGTATATTTTCAGAAGCAATAAAAAATGGTTGTAATTATAAAGTCTCGATGTTATTTCTTACTTCATCCTTCTAGTCGCTCTTTGACTTCCTGTGTTTATGGCTACTGAATTTGGATTACTTGCCTATTTCTATGCCGGTAATTGTTGTTTTTTTACATATACTTTCAGTTGATAAAAAGAGAGATTGACAAGGATATTTGGGCAGTAGGATACAAAGAACATAGTACGTACTTCAAGAACGAAAGTGAAAGGTAAGTCCTAGGAAGAATTACGAATTACCTTAAGCGATATTTCATTAAAAAATACCGAAGGTCATGTTAGGTCTAAATAGTTTATGCAGAATGAATATCATACATAATATATTCGTAAAATGAACCAGAGTTTCAAGAGAAAGTGTAAAGTTGACATATTCAAAATAGTTCAAAACAAATTAGGCTGTTTGACCATTTTCTTGTAAAATTAAACAAAAGACTTCCGAAAATTCACTTTAATAGAATGACAGCTGTCACGTGAAATCGATGAATTCAATTTGGACAACCCTGTGTATCCAGAAGTGTACGTGGCAAAGCTGCGTCATGACCTCCTGTAGAATTAAAGGCCTAACGAGTAATCGTCATTCAGAAAAACAAATAACAATAATCTGTCGTGTGAGATAATTGATAAATCGAGTACAAAATAATCCACGCTCGAAAGTATAATTGAGGAAAAATCAATGAATCAATGTCCAAATGATAAACTATAAGATAAAAACAAAAATAAGTCCTGACTCCATAACGGTAGTTTGAAACACCCGCCATATTGAATTCCTCACTACTCTAGTCGTAAAGCTGTTTAACGTCATCTTTTGCGTATCTAAGCAATCGTTATTAATCTCGATTATAACCTATATCGTGCTTAAAAAATTATCTAAAGTATTGATTCAACTTCTCGGTGATAATTCAATGTCATAAATAATTCTTTAAATTCGAAGCAGACGACGTGCTCACTGTCAATGGATCCGCGTACGAGGAGTAGGCGTGCCATAAAAAGTGTTCATGTGCTGTCTCTCGATTCAGTCGGTTTTAAGTCGTCAGCCAAGTGATACGGTTCAGTTTATCTCAAGTTTACAATTTACGTGGCATCACTACTAACAGGAACATGTGTGGTAAGTAGCCAAACAAACATTAAGCTGCGTGTGATAGAAATTTCCCCAGAATATTGTCGATCGTACATCGTGTGGATTTGTGCACGCGAATGTACATCATGCTGTGCCAAATCCTTAAAAACCTATGAAAAATTTCAGTGACAGTACAGTTGACAGTTACTAAACTTCCCTTGCTTAGTTATGCAGGATATAATCCATGACATTTTTGAGACGTTAATTATTTTTTGAAGGGTTAAACATTTCATTAACGACGTAGCATCGCTTCAGCTTTGATTCTCAAACTCATTTGACAAGTGGAAACACACGAGTCTCATGAGCAGTATTACTTAATAGTCCTCGTGTCCAGGAAGTCAACGCTTTTTATAAACATCACAGTCTCTACATATCTGACATTTTCTCCGAGTCTGGAATGCAGCTTAGAAAATTGTTGACCAATTATGGATAAATTATTGATAACTGGTGTATGTAACCTGATTTTTTCCTTGCATAGTCACTTTCGATTCATTGAAAACGAATTCCAAGGTCCCATTTTCGATCTTAAGGACGGTACGGAAGTAAATCGGAAGTGGAAAGATTATGAAAAAGTATTACCCGGCGAAATAATACTTCTCGCGTATAAACAGACGGATAACTGCGTGTCGAGGATTTTAATAGTTCTTAATACCTTAAACTGATAAGATTGGATCGTAACGTCAGTGAGTAATATCGTTTGAGTAATTTATTAATATAAGGAATTGTCGAGTATTATTAATTGTACGCAATTCTCCGAAAGACCATAAGGAATTTGGACAGTGTGTTAAAGTCGTAAATATTCCTGCAGCTGTCTAAAAAGTGCCACAATCAATTCTCTGTTATCAGTCCACGTGCATTGAAAAGGATAAGAAACAAAGTGACATAAATGCCTAGCATTCTGTCTATACTATGTATCAAGTATAGTATATGCTTTTCCTATTCGATAGAATTCAAAAAACAGCGGTCCAAGATAAGCATAACCGGAAATATTGATAAGACTCAGGATTCGTAAAAGAATATGGAAGTATGTTTGATTACGTACTGGTGAGGAAGAATAATAGCAATTTGAAAAACAGCATTATAAAATAGAGATAGATCAGCAACTGACAAAAATAATAATTGAACAGTAGAAACCTTTAATTTTTGAACCGCCCCGACAGTCGTTACTCGTGAAGCGGATACGTTATACAATTGGCCTTTCAAAACAGCGCCCCGCAATTTGAAATTATGAAAGTTATTACGTAAGCTGCATATAGGTACTTCGACATAGTCGTTTCAACCTGTACCCAATAGCGTTGCTATATAGATATTAGAAATCATATTCTTTTTAAAATTACATAACCAAAAAAAAGAAGAGGGAATGATACAAGTGAAAATAGTTTTCTAAAATTCTGCTGTCTCTTCGATTAATTCGCTTTTATATATTTGCACCCAAGTGTCACGCGTCTACGAGACCTTTTTCCTGACATATTTCAAACTCGAATTCTTTAACGTCTCTCAATGCAGATATCGTAGCAACGCGCAGTAAATCTTTTGAGGTTACGACACCTACTCCAAGACATAGGCCTTTCAATCGGAAAAGGTGTGCCTCCGGGCAACGACCTACGCTAACTCCTGGTTGTCGTGGAAGGTTCTCCGGGTTCGGGGTAAGGTTCGCTTGCGAAATACTGGCATTTTTATCGGTCCCAGATCGGCCGCCGCCATCCAAGTGAAAGTTTCCTCCGGTATACGCAAAGCGAGAGCCAACCTGACATTTAGCGTCTGTCTACGGAATGCGTATCGATAACTACGTACAGTACTTAATCTACGTATAAACAATTCGTTCTAATCTTAATGTATATTTTTTTATAGCAATAATACAAATCAACGATGAAATTTGTTTATGCAAGCATACAATTTGATTGCAGATAAAAAAAGGTGGCTCTTGGTCGATTGGTATTTGAATTGCGCGCGCGTACAGTTATTAATACGATTTTGAGTTACCTTCGACAAATTTGTTACTTTCACTAAATGTAAATGTCAGTTACGTTATGAATGTGTATTTACGTTAATTTTAGTCTAGAAAGTAATAATTATTTACGATATCTATAAATTCGTCACCGGGTAAAAATCTTTGCATTAAGTGATAGAATTCTTACGGAATTCTTTTTTTATACTGGCAGCGGTATCCATGTTCGATACTGTACTGTTTATTAGAGAGATTAGTATAGGAAATGGATTCTTTCGCAATTCTAAGCGAAGGCCAAACACCCGACGGATCCGCTTCTGGAAAGCTGCAAATTTGTTTATCGAGCCTGAAATTACCAACGTGGAATCCACTCGGCCCTCTGCAGCTTTCACTGACATCGAACTGCTTGACTTTCTGGGTCTTTATGTCGGTGAACTAGAACATTTCTTGACTCTGATACGACCGTCTACGCACGTGCAAATGCAGTATTGCCTGCAGGTCGTTCAACCTTCGATGCGCTTGAGAACGTTATGACCTTCTGACCCTGACCCTGTTTTTTTTTATTCTCACACAGAATATCAAGTCGTTCCTCACTTTCTGAAGTGGATCTGATCGATTAAATCTTCCTGGTACTACAGGTAGTTTCATTTTATTCAGTGTCAAAATCATAACCACAGCACTGTGCTTGGGCTTCGCCAACAATCAGGACAAGATGGGAAAAATGTGATAATAGCCATAAGCCAAAAATTTTTTCACACGCAAGGATAATTTATTATTATTATTAAAAAATATCTTACGGCGCATTTGAACCTTCGAGAAGAAAAATCTGTATGAGAAATATATCAGTTTTGAGTGCACCAAGGCATTAAAAACAAGTACCTACACTTATGATGGAATGGTAATAGACAGAAAGTGCAATTCTTAAAAATAATTAGATAATCTATACAAAGCTGTGCAATTGATAAAACGCACTTAACGATACTGAGAATTGAGTACTTATTTATTACGAGATGTAATTGATTTGCGAAGAGACGGGTAGAGGCTTATCAAAAAATTCTAATACGTCGACGATTAAGAGTTGACGGATACGTTGATAACGTAGCGGTGACGTGCACAAAGATTTCTATTTCGTACCGTTATCAATTTCTTAGTCTTCTTATCTGTTTGATGACTATTATCAAACCTTGACTGTCTGAATAATTGTATTAATGACGTCACGAGTGTCGTGGCGCGTTTGAATTTTTCAAGATCACGACAATTGGCTCTCACTTAATTAATACAATGTTATAGTCATCGATTTATTTTTATCATTCAATTTCTCTTTTCTATATTGTTCAAGCTACGCATTTACAGGATCTTATCATTGTATCGTTACATTTTTTTTTTTTCTTATATTTTTTAAGCTATACACGTTCGTCACCTACGTCATCGATTGTCCTTTTCTCTAGTCTGTAAAGTCCGTCTATGATAACGATTGTTATCACTGATATTCCGTAAGGTTCTCGATTATCTCGATCGAACGTATAGTCCTTTTATTATACGGATTGTGACGGTTTTGTACAGTTTGAAGTTATCGATCTTACCGATCGCGTCGTTTATTGATATTTCCGTTAAGGATTTCAAACATTTATCGTCTTCTTTCATCTTTTCTTCGTACTAGCAAATGGGCGGTAGGTCTTACTTTGATATGAAACATTTATTTCCTCGATGCTGTGCAATGTCTCTGACTGTGATATTTAATTAAGATGAATCGACTGTCAGGTAAAGCAAATGTGTAACGTAATATGGAATTCAATGACAGTAGTCAATGTATTCACGTATTGGTTACTAATAATAATACAGGCTAATAATGCGGAGCCATTCCCTTTCACTTTAAACTTTTTAATACCGCGTATTAACCTACGCGATTACGTATAAATGATTGATCGAAATTCCGATATTTTTAGGGGATTTTTTTATTATTCGCGTATCACGAGTGTGAGTTTTGATAATGCGATTATAATCTGATAAAAAGATACAGGCTTAGAAATTTTTCGGAACTTTTTCCGAGAACTTCGTCGACTTGATAAACATTTTGATGGCTTTCGATTTTGGATTATTTATTATCATTGACCAAAGCATTATTTTTAAGAGGTAATCTCAAGTACATCTAATCAACACGCATTATCTGTTATTACATTGAACATTTTGTACTTACGTATGAATGACGTATTTCATATGGACGGCACGAAATTTAAATGTGACAGTCGGCGCTTATTTCATAACAATGTGAATGCAAAGAATTTATTAGGAGTGTCAGTGGATAATTGGTGTAAAGTAAATAATTATGCCAATGAATGTTAACTGTAATTTGTAAGAATTGTCGGCGGGGATGGCAACGCTTCTAACGGGACTGTGCAAGGTCGATATTATATGGAAATTTAAGTCTATCTTTTTTTATAGTAATAGACTGGTCGGGAATCAGTTGGCATCATTGAAAATTCACGATTAGGCGAGTCAAGGATAACTGGATAACGGTAGTAATGAATTTTTTAATTCGGTTTAAATGACAAGAACGGCTTTTGAAGTTTGATTTGGCCTTTCTTGTGTGAAATTCCTTGTTATTAGCTTCATTGATTCCTGTTATTAATGACTTGGTTATATTGACGTCAAGAAATGTTCTTTCTTTTGTTTTGGTGTGATCACAGTTGAATTCTTTTTGAGTTTTGTAGCTATATACATATGCATATAGGTTAACAGCATTCAGGACAGTCGACCTTCGCTCTGGAGCGAGTGGAGGAATCGGGTGAGAAGTCGACCGAAACTGAAAGCCTTTCAAATGTCATCAAGGTTCTTGGCTTTGCATACCTGCTTTACCACTATCTTTGTGACTGTGGGCCAGGTCTTTACTGTTTTGTTATTACCATGAATTGAGGGAGAGGGCTGTAAATTGGAAAATTCATAATTTCACATCCTCATCTGTAACTGTCATGAGAAATTTTTTATGGTTACATAGAGCACGATGGAAGTTTGTGGATATTAGAAATATATTGTTATCTAACTGTTATTATGTTTTTCAGGAATCTTTGCATACCTCAACTATCTCACTCCGAAGACCAGGAAGGAAATTCTTGAGCTACTTGTTGGTGGGCTCAAGAGACTGGAGTATCGTGGTTATGACTCAGCTGGTAAGCACAATATTTATTTAAAAAATTCTTTAGAAGATCTATATATTTCGTTATTCTTGTCTAACGAGAGAATTAACTATTTAGGGCAAAGTTTTATTTTGTAATATAACTTTTCTGAAGATAGCGCAGCACTAAAATATGTTATGTATCTTCTGCTTCTCTCTCTTGTGATGTGGTATGTCTATACTGCAGGAATTTAACAGTCGTTCCTTTCACTGAGAACTGCATTTCAACGAGTTCCTTAGTCTTCTCCATGTCTTAGGTCGTTTTGTTTGGTTGGCTACCTTCACGAATACTTAATTTGCATTCCTTTACTCTTCTATATTTAGAATTGAGCATATGGCCAAAAATGCCCTTTGTTTCACTGGATACCTATGCACATATGCAACTTTTATATACATTTCAGGTGTTGCCCTGGACTCTCCTGATGGCAAGGATATCTCCATCATTAAGAAGCAGGGAAAGGTCAAAGCTCTAGAGGATGAAATCTTTCATCGTAAGTTTAACAGTTTGGACTTTCTGTAGTTTTAAATAAGAATCACATTGCTAATTTATTTATTTCTATTGTTAGGTACCAATCTTGACTTTGAGGGCTCCACTAATAGCCATGTTGGCATTGCTCATACTCGTTGGGCCACTCATGGTGTTCCATCCGAGGTTAATTCTCATCCTCAGAGATCAGACAATGAACAAACTTTTGTCGTTGTTCACAATGGTACTGTGACTGATAGATTTTGATGATTTATCTGTAATATTGATTTTGGGTTCTCATGGACGGACTTTTTCAGGAATCGTCACGAATTACAAGGAAGTCAAGACTCTTCTCCAGCATAGAGGATATGTATTTGAAAGTGAAACTGATACGGAAATTATTGCCAAGCTGATTCATCATCTCTGGGTTCAACATCCGACTTACTCTTTCCGCGAGTTAGTTGAACAGGTCGTCCAGCAATTGGTCAGTGTTACTTTTATTCGTAATAGATAGTTAAGTTGAAACATCCCATAAAGTAAGGATATATAATGTTTTAGGAGGGAGCATTTGCCTTGTGTTTCAAAAGCAAATATTTTCCCGGCGAATGTGTTGCTACCAGAAGAGGATCCCCATTGCTGGTTGGTATCAAGACCAAGACCAGATTGGCTACCGATCATGTACCGATTCTCTATGGAAAAGGTGAGTAAGTTTAGGTAAAAGAAATTTGAACGGAATCAGATAATATATTAAAATCGTATCTGACATTATTGATGGACAAAGTGACAGTTATTATATAAACCGGATATTCATTCGACAATATGCATTTTCGTACATGCGCACAAAACCGGAAAAGCTTCCTAATGGACGGATCGTAAACAATGGTGATGGATACCATTAAAATAACAACCGTAATTAACAATCGATAAATAAGTCAATAATACCGATTCTAAATAAATATAAGCGTAATTGCTTGTCCACTTGGAAAGCTTCAAGACAGTAAGTTAATAAATAGGAATTGGCGCATCTGTAAAAAGAAAAATAGTACAATAACACTATTCCCTAAATTCCTTATCGTCTGCAATGTGTTATCACTCAAGCATATTAATTATCCAGCAAAGACTAACAAGTGAATATTTAATTTCTAATGATTAATTAACCCGTATTGCATGCTCCTGTAATAACTATATCTGCACAGCATGAGCAGCTCTCTCGATATGTCTGCCACAATTTTCATTCTCTGTTTTACTTAATGACAAAACACATTATTTAGTATCCATGTCACCTTAGGAATATTCAGCATTTCATCACACATTAGAGATAGTCATTATTCATGCTCCAATAGATGAGTAGTAGTGATTATTTCAGGAGAAATAATGACAGTCAGTATCATCTATCTAGGTTAATGCTTTGTGCCTATCAGATTTTCATACATAGCAAAATCAATGAGTAACTTTTAACATATACAAATTCTCGTATGCATTTTTCACACATGATTATCATATGTTATAGCTCTCATGATTTAATAATTGCGTAGCATTTGCTACAGGCAGTTTATTGCATGTTTTGGCTACTGATTCTGAAAAAATTGTTGTAAAAAAATTCCTTGAGTGATTTTTGCATTATGATTTTAAGCCCTCTTGTGATTTACGTAGCTTTTCTTACATATAGATATGATTAATGCATTTAGTGAAAACCTTGTTTTTTGTCTTTCTATGAATTTTCCAGTTCTTTTTTTTTTTTAATTGATATGGATACTACACGACTGTTTCTTTTGCATGAACGACCTACGATTTGCTCCCAACTTTCTACCTGAACAGATGACCTCCCACGCTCACCCAAAGGTATATACACTATTAATAACTTACCTTGATTTGGTATCGGATCCACTTTATAGGGTAAAATTTATTATCAGACAGTTTATTATTATTTATTCTCAGATAGTAAAACTGATAAAATCGTTTTTTCTCATTCTGTAGTAATCTTGATCATGGTACGTAGCACATGTAATAGATGATTGTTGAGATCACAAAAGTGGGTCCGATGCCTGAATATTAAAACTATCCAAATATCAAGCTCGTTACTTGTTTCCTTTTTAAATGAGGATTTGTGTGGTGTTCGTTAAATGCTGTCTTAAACATTGACACCCTATATTACATGTGATCCATGTGTGTTCCTCGAAAATATGGTTGCCACAAATGCTATGTTATTCTATTCACGTTTAACACAATAATGCTAATCGATGCGCTTATATTTGTCCTAGTGTGAATCTATTCGAAAAATTGTTTATTCCCTTGATTCTTACACTTTACAGCATTACCTTTATCTTTTGTTTGCCGTGAAGCTTCGAGAAGTCGCAGATTTATGTTTCTATTATGCTTTCTGTTTGCAAATCCGTTCTAAAAATTTATTTTCTATGATTGCATAGTTTTCCTCTGATATGAAGAATGATCTAGAACATATATAAAATGATTTTATGCAATTAAAGAAAGACGTGAAGATTAATTATTTATTATATGATACTGGGTTAACATATCACGTAATCCTTTTGTTGTATCCAATGAATATTCTTGAGTAAATGACAAAATGCAATGTTGATATACAATTTATAATTTTGAAAAGTTGCATATACATACATAATTTTATAAAGAATAATGCTCCAGCCTATACTTAGATTAGTTGTTTGAGTTTTTCGCATGTTTTGTTCTTTCACTTTTGTTCTTAATGCGTATTGTTTTGTTACGTAATGTCTCAGCATGGTTTGTTTATTAATTGTTTGTTTTTTGTATTTCCCTACCCTCCAAACTCTGCAGACAGTGATGCAGCGTCTCAAGGTATTACTTTACGTTCAGATTACGTTTATTTGCATGTCCTCGTATACACTTTGTTAGCTTTGGTTTATTTAAAATTCCTATTGCACGAAAATCACATTGCGCGAATGCATTTATGCATTTCTTCATAAATCACTTAATAATTTTCATGCTTACACTTTTGTATGTAATTTCTCTATAGTTATCAAAGGTACTAACTTTAAAAAAAATATGACATCTAAAAACATAAATTACGTAATCAATCCTTAGGAACCCTAATGAACGAGAAAGTAAATCGTTGATCCTGATGATCCTAAATAATTATATATGATGTCTTATAAAATTGAAAATATTCTGAAGGGAAACATTTCTTTTTTCTTAACATATAGGGTGTGTTAACATTTAGTGCGGTTAACGAATAAATTTAAGAATAATCAAAGAAGATTAATTAAAAACAATAAACTAACCTCATTCACATTATTAATTCAAATTCATAATTAGTAAAATATTTAAATCTCTTTCTTTTTTCTTTACAGTAACAGATGGTAAAGTTTCATGGTGTGGGGCTTTGGTTTTGGGTCTCGTGGTGACGTAATGCAAAATAATTTCAAATATACACATAACTTCACACTTGGCAATTAAGTATATATTTTTAATAAAATTTTCTTAAATTCTTCTTTGTAATGAAGTTGAAATTTTGCATTTCGTCCCAGCATTCATTGCCTCATTTTCAAAAATGTTTGGCATCTATTTTAAGTTAAAAACATTTTTCAATACAAAAACAATTAAGAATATTGATAACAGATCACAGACCTCATGGACGTACTACTGACTTGCCCGTGATACCGCGAAGTGACAGTACTTCAGAATTTCAACCCCTGGAGGATAAGGAAGTCGAGTACTTCTTTGCGTCAGATGCCAGTGCCGTCATTGAGCACACGAATCGCGTCATCTTCCTCGAGGTGAATACTTTATGAAATTAAGTTGATATTGTATTATTAAAAAAAAAAGAAAAACAAATTGCCTGGAGGAAACTGTATCCTAATTTTGTTTATGTAAATATTCAGGACGATGACGTGGCGGCCGTTAAGGAAGGTGCCCTTAGCATTCATCGTCTTCGTCGTTGCATGGATGATCCTCATGCTCGTGAGATCACCACCCTGAAGATGGAGATTCAGCAGATCATGAAAGGCAACTACGAGTACTTTATGCAAAAGGAAATCTTCGAACAGCCAGAGTCTGTTGTCAATACCATGAGAGGACGTTTGAATTTCCAGGATAATTCTGTTACCCTTGGTGGAATTAAAGTGCGTTTTCACAATTTCCTCTTATATTTTTATACAATTGGTTCTTTCTAATTTCCCTAACTTAATGCATATTTTTGTAGGATTACATTCCTGAGATTAAGAGGTGTAGGCGTCTCATGTTGATTGGTTGCGGAACCAGTTATCATTCTGCCATTGCTACCAGACAACTTTTGGAGGAGCTCACCGAGCTGCCTGTCATGGTCGAACTGGCTTCTGACTTTCTGGATAGAAATACTCCAGTCTTCAGGGATGATGTTTGTTTCTTTATTTCTCAGTCTGGTAAGAGTTTTGTCCATTGCACTCCTGATATCAGCTAAGACTCCATTGTCTTATGTGGCTTTTGTAATTTTGACATAGGTGAAACTGCTGATACCCTGATGGCTCTTCGTTACTGCAAAAGTCGTGGAGCACTTATTGTTGGTATCACAAACACTGTGGGAAGTAGTATCTGCCGCGAGTCACATTGTGGCGTTCACATTAATGCTGGACCTGAAATTGGTGTTGCCAGTACAAAGGCTTATACTTCACAATTCATCTCCTTGGTGATGTTTGCTCTTGTGATGAGCGAGGACAGAATTTCCCTTGGTACAAGACGCCAGGAGGTACTTTGATGCAATATGAATCTCTATTAATTTACGTCTCTTTAATAATTAATGCTAATTAATAATATGGCCATTGGTAGATCATAGAAGGCTTGAAGAACCTGGACAATCAGATTCGCGAGGTATTGAAGCTGGATGACAAAGTCAAGGAACTGGCCAAGTCACTCTTCCAACATAAGTCACTCCTGATTATGGGTAGAGGATACAACTTTGCCACCTGTATGGAAGGCGCCCTGGTAAGGTTATTCTCGTCAGGATGCCTGAATTTTATTTCTTTAATGATTTCTAATAAACTCTTTTTCATGTAGAAAGTCAAAGAGTTGACTTACATGCACAGCGAAGGTATCATGGCAGGTGAACTAAAGCATGGACCTCTGGCTCTTGTCGATGACTCCATGCCAGTGATCATGATTGTCATGAGAGATCCAGTATATGTTGTGAGTAATAAAGAAATTTCACAGGACCATCTTCTATGGGTGAAGATAATATTTACGTCTTATTTCTGTTTTCCTTTCAGAAATGTATGAATGCTCTTCAGCAAGTGACGGCTCGTGAGGGCAGACCAATTGTCATTTGCGAGGAGAGAGACCAGGACACAATATCCTTTGCCGACCGTGTTCTCGAGGTGCCCAAGACTGTCGACTGTCTTCAGGGTGTTCTCACTGTAATTCCCATGCAGCTACTGTCATTCCACATCGCAGTATTACGTGGCTGCAATGTTGACTGTCCTCGTAATTTGGCCAAATCGGTCACAGTCGAGTAGAACGACGTCATTCTCAATATCGTGGACTCTCATTACCGGGAGCGATAAGTGTCGTGGGAATGGCTGGGTGCCTGTCGCTCGCATGCAAATTCACCTTGTGCCATAGTTTTCTGACAATTGAAACTGAGGCTAATCGCACTTGGCCTATTAACCAGATCCCACGGGCTTGAGAGATACGGATTGGAGTATGACTTTAACGCGGTTGGAGGATCGCTCATTGGAAATTGATTAATTTTTAAGCTCCATTCGCCGTCGCGTATAACATCACGCTTTCTTCCATGTTGAAAAGATTAAAGATTCTTCTGACGCAGATTTTTTAAACTCTTGAATAAGACGCTGAGACGGTTTACTGCTGTAACGATATTCAGGCTGTTGGCGGATGCAGTCGTCCTTTAATAATTTGCGAGCTACTGGTTGCTCTTTTAATGTGTTCGCAAACGGGCGACAATAGAATCGTAGAGATCTATTTATCGTTGACTTGTGAGAATCGTGGATTTATCGTTATATTTTATTTTTATTTTGTTCCTAATGCAAATGCATGAAATTACTTTTTTATGTGAGCAACACGTGCATTTATTATGCACAGAAACATTACACAATACCTGACACGGATAGAGACAAGTAGTTACATGTGAACACTTGAGATATACACAAAAATTATAAGCGTACCCCTTAGCATTTAGTACTATTATACTTATGCATACTGAATTTTGTGATTGTACTTAGTAATGGGATTAGTCTTTATCCTCAAGCTGCATATTCAAAATTTTGTTTGTCGAAGACAATGAAATTCAAAGTATTGTATTCTTTTGAATCTGAGTATATCTTTATTTATATCATTTTCTTGTATACTTTCTTTTTTCTTTTTGCGAAAAAAAAAGCGGACGAGCGACCTCTACGTCGTATTCTAAATTTTTAGATTAGTATAAAGACTCATATAAATGAAAAAAAAGTACATATATATTGCAAACATTTACAATAGCTTGACAGACTGGTATTTTGTCAAGACTATTATCTAAGAAGAAACATTAATTCGTTTTGTAATACGCAGTGAACTTTTGTAAATGATATAGTATATCGTAGACATTTATGTTCATGTGGGTTATGTGGCGGGGTACACATCCCTTCTAGGATCTCTAAGTTTTTGATCTTTTTATTTTATTTTTTTAATGAGAACTAAATTCTTACAAATGAGAATCAACGAATGGCAATAATGTCTTAGAAAAAACAAACTGCGAGTCTCTTAATCTGTCATTTTTTTATGTGACTTAGAAGGACTGCGAAGACCCCCTTGCTAGTTTTTTCATGATAACTATTATGTATGATAGATTTGTTAAGTGTACGGTTGACTATTGGACTACAATATTTTTGTTATATTATATAATATACATATGCACAATGAAATAAAGATGTCTATTTTTCTCCATGCGCCTTTCACAACTTTCCTTGATGCTCCCGTGTACGTTGGGTTGCTACTTTCAATCTAATTGATGAGCAAATCTACTCTCCTACAAGAGTAGTAGTGAGTGCAAGCTTCTGGTCAGACAGATACGTTATCGTTATCTGTAATCGACTACAGCCAATTCGTTGCTGATTAGATAATTTCAAATGAGGGTGGACTTTGCGATCAGCCACGGATACGGAAATGAAATCCTTTCAAGTACCATAGAGGATTCTACTAGCGTTTACCGTGAAGTTTTGATTTCACACGAAGAATATATCAGAGCAATCTATTATCATTGAAATAGATAACAAGTTGAAATACGTGGATGTTAGTAGTGAACATCCTCTTTACGTCAGACACAGAAAGGAGTCCAATATAATTAAAGAGAAACGTGAAAAGCCAAGAGCATCTTAAGGATAAGCATTAAATTAAATTTTTACAAGCAACGGATACTTCTCCCACAAAGAATTATGCTTTGGGGATGATTAGGCAATTCGAAGGATGCCGCCCCGTGTGCGCGCAGGGTTGTTTGTCAAGTAGTAGAGGCGCGTTATCGGTCAGGCGCGTACGGTTCCAAAATTTCGGAAGCATCCACCGAGTTTCCCGTGGAGCGTCGCTGCGAAGGAGTACACGGTAAAACGTCGTCCCGTGATGCCAGTGAAAAATCGTGCCGAGTTTATAGTAAAAAGTACGATATCCCTTGGTATCGTTGATTAATTAACGTCTAAATTTAAACGGGAAAGGATCGTCTTTGGATTATTCATTGGAGGTTGACTGGTAACGTCGCACTACGCGAGTCAGTCGAGGGTCTGCCGGCGAGCGGAGCGGTCGCGCCGTGAAAATCAGTCGGTGCCGCAAATATTCGCTGGCACAGCCGAGATTTGCCGAAGCTGTGCCACGGGACTTCGGCCCTGCGGACAGGCGCCCCGTCTACTAACAGTTTTATCGATCGAATTTGACCTGCCAAGTTCCCTAGCGTAGTCGCTCGGTTTTCACTAGTGAAGTAAATATTGTAGTTTGTCGGTATGGCTGCCCAAGCAGCTTGCACGCGGTTCAGTGATAACTACGACCTCAAGGAGGAACTTGGAAAGTAAGTACATAGCATTGAATATTATCGTCTCTCATATCCATGACTTTTAGCCTCGTCGATTTATACCTTACCAGATCCTGATTCCGGTTGTGTCGCTACTCACTGTACATATATACACACACATATACATATATAACGAACGTGTCGGCACTTGGGGACTAGCAGACGATACTGTGCTGTCGGCCATGGCCGCCACTTCCGTGGTCGCTGCCACTGCAACTTCATCGTCTCGATATCATAACAGCCTTCTCTCCTATTCCCCAGGAGGATTTTCAACGTCCTCGTTGCATTTCGTCTATATTTAACGCGCTTAGTCTTTAGGTGCGTGGCTCGTGGCCCGGACGCTATATATAATTATCAGGCTACCCGTACCAGAACTCTTCCTTCCTTGCCGGAGTTGCGGCGAGCCCTCTTTCGACGAAGCCTCCGCATCGCTACGATCTGTCACCAAATCAATAACCTAGCTACTTGCTTTACTCACTGACTTACTGACTTACTGACTTACTGTGTCTCTAAGTCATTCATTGTCTCCTTTCCTAATTCTTACATCAATTTTAGCACCGAGCATTCACTCTGTATGGATTGTTTGTTCTGTAATCAAGTCGAATTTCATATTGTTTGTAACTGTCATTCGTGTGCTCCTTTGTCTCTTCTGGGACAAATCTATTTTTAGGATTTCATTTAGGGTAACATTTCTGCGGCCGGCAGGTGGTTGTCGAATATATCTTGTCAATCGAGCCATTTTTTTAAAGTGATTTAACGGTTTGTCCTTTTTTTATCTGTCATTGGTTTTTTTTGTAGCTTATCTCTTCAATTTCAATCAAGTGAACCACACCCTTGCATTATATTTGTATCCTAGTACCCTTATTTGTCTGTCTTCTCTTTGTTGCTTAGGTTTTGTTGTCACTTACGGGAGATTATGACAAAGCGTTTTCAATTCCTACCCGGCACGTAGTTAATTAATTTTTCCACATATTTTTCAGTCATAAATTACATTAGAAGACTAGGACCACACCCTGAAATTTTACAGAAGTTAATTAAATAAGAAAGATACACGATTTCGAGGTTATGCTCACGGAAACTTCTGTTTGACAGCACGCGTCGTTCTTTTATTCTTTTTCATTCGCTCGCTCGGTCTTCCTCGCTCTTTCCATTTCTCCTTAACCTACTGACGATCAGTCAGTGCCCAGTGAACCGTCCCGGCGTTAACCAGATACTCCGAGAGCTCCGACTACATGCATACAACAGACCTTAAAAATCTTCCCCCAAAGTACGACCACACCCAATCTGCAAAATTAATAAGAAAAAACAAAGAAAAACAATCTCGCGAGGTTGAATCAGTAAAAAAAAATAAAGCATCGTCATTCATGCACTTTTTATCGGTCCAGTTATCAGTCATCAAGGTCTACTTCCCGATCGTTAATATAACCTAAAAGTAGTCGAGCTCACAGCTCGTTATCAATATCCTGCAATTTGATAAGCCATTCTATTATCATATAGAGACAACGTCAGGATGCTTAAATACAGCAGGGTGTTCGTGGTTCGTTCGAAATTCTATCTCAAGCCAGCATGCAAGTATATGGCTGGACATGACAAAGTTGCTAGAAGCGAAGGCGATGCCCATAAAGGTTAAAGGAGGAAGACTGCGCGTGGCGGGTAGCGTAATCAAAACATTCCATACCGTCGATGAATAATTCAGCGGTACTGTATCAAAGGAACCCATACGTGTATTTCTATTGAGCAACAAAGGTCCAAGGTGTCCACCTAGAGTAACGCCCGATCAACTCTTCATCAATCTTCTTCGAAGAAAGCTAATTGTCCGGCTCGCCATTAGCTCCCCGTAATCCACGTAGTCCGTCCGTTTCACATAGGTACGCACAGGGTTATGGAATTCGAGTTGAGCGATCAGGAAGAAGCGGCCAAGTCACGATTTTAAATTAAGATACGTAAAGGACGAAAACAAAGGGAACCTTTACACGGAGTGAAAAAAGTACGTAGACAAGAGCTAAGCACCGATGCGACTACGACCGCGAATCCAGGGCTCAGAGACCACGACCGTCCTTTCCTACAGGCCTGATTATTATTTTCACTTTTTTGAATCTCCCGCCATACACCACTCGCATCGCTTCGCTGTAAAATCCTATATTAACCAGTCGTTACTCGTTATACTCTCATGTCTTTTCGGTTGGTTATCTGAACCATCCCCACCTCCTTCATTGTTTTGTCTACGTATATTATATATCCGTGTACTCAGGTATATTGATATATCCCTATTGGATCTGTGGAACACGGTTTGTTGACGCTAATCTAGACCTGCCCATATGCTGTTCGAATCGAAACGGGCGGAGCGACTTATTTTCACTGCTGGCTATGTACACGTGTACAGACAGTCTGATTTTTACGTTTAATTGCGCAGTGGGCTAGTGCGCAGATCAAACAGGTACGCTCTTCTTTTCATTTGTGCAACTGAATTTTGACGTGTATCGGATATTTAGTATATTTAAACGAGACAAATATTATGCTCGTAGCGTAACGCGAGAGTGTAAGAGATTGTCATTCTTTTTTGGGGTTATCCGTACGCTATGTTCGAGATATCTGTTATGCTGTGTTAACGCGATGGATTTGTTGTGACTAGAGGAAAATTGACACTGCATGATGGAACTATAACTGTTTGTAACCGTCGGATTCCTTTCGGCCACCTCTCTTGGCTGAGCCCTTTGAACTTTTCAAGAGGCGGGACAAACCAGGCTGACATCGATATCCAATCGATCTTTTTGATCTGCGGTTTGAGCCTCGAAGGGATAATCGGACGTGATCGATAACCACCTTTAAATCGCAATTCGCGTCGGCTTATAGCCAAAGTCGATTCGGATGTTGGCTTTGGCACAGGACGCGTCCCTGCCTGACATTAAGACCTGGTAAACATTGGCTCCCACGAAAAAGCTGGTATTACTGTGTACCATTGCATATGTGTATATACACACTATCTAGAGTCACGCCGTGAGAAATTCAAACCGACCGATATACACAGACCCGTCCTACGCGCATATTTGGAATGCTACTATTATTGACGTTAGGCGGTAATATTATTATGACTGCCGCAGTTGGCTTCTTTTTCTTTTATTTTTTTTCCTTTCTTTATCGAATCTACCGCCAACGGCTGCGGTCACGGTCTTTCGAGTTTATATTTCGTAAACGTCACGTTATGCGGGTCACGCGGCACGCGCTTCTTTTGTAAAACCAGAAGAAAAAAAACAGACGCGCGTCTGACATGCCTACGTAACGAATCCCGAGTACGTGAGTTTTTGAGCGTCCTTATTTAATTGCTCGTTTGCTTGGACACTGTTCCTTTCTGTATTTGATAAATCGGTAATTTTTCATTGGACCCGTGTATCCATTTATTATTTTTTCATTCTATTTTAGGGAATGTATTTTTCGTATGCTTTTATTTTTTGCTTATGGCGTCACGGACGACGTTGATTTATTTATCGATGACCGTCGATATTCTTCTTTCTTTTTTCTTTTTTTTTTCTTTTTTTTTCACAATGACATAAATATCCCGACTAACGAGGCCCTAGGATAATTAGTGGTAAACAGTCGAACTGTTGGGACACGATTTCGAGCACAGAGCGGAGGTCTACGGTTTCTACGCGTGCTGGAACAGCGGGCGTTAATTTCATATCCCAGTATCGTTAATTATCAGTCGATAATTAAAATCGTCGCTCTATTGATTTTTGGTAAGCCTCGCGCTTTACCTTGTTGCCATTCGACGGGCAGTCTGGGTCTTATCAAATCTGCTCGAGGACTGTTGACAAACGTCACTTTCTGATTTCACAATTGACAAGGGCTCTGCTTAAGTTCAATCAAGGTTACGTGGATATCGTATAGGGATAATTAAAAAAAAAGATGGCCGCCATCTGTCAAGTGACTGACAGATCGCGACCATCAATAACGCACGATTCTAACGATGAAACAGATTCTTTGACCGCGACAAGCCGCCTTTTCATGGTTCTCAGTAAAACGAGGAAAATCTCATGAGAACAGTGTAAAGTTCAAGGGTCACGAAAATTTGTGTATTTAATTTAAAATAACGACGTATAGGTATTGTGACTCGATAAAAGTCCCTAGGATTTTTTGTATGGACTCTTTTTTAAATGTCACCAGACTTCCATCCGTCTTATCATCCATAGTGCGTTAGTTGTTTTCTCTTATGCAATATATTGCGCCTGCCGAGCGAAACGGACTTTTCCAGCCGCCCATGCTCGATCCCGACGCGTGCTCGAAATCCAAAAATAAATTCCCAGCCGACGGCGTGGCTCTAGCAATGGGAACGGGAAATGCCGAGGTCACGGGAATAAATGTTTTGTTCCATTCCACGTAGTTAGTTTTCCTACTTCTATCTCGAGGGAGTCGCGATAACACATTGTAATTCGATATTCGATCGACACAGTCGAACTGTAAGAAAGAAGCGTGAAATTGGTTTGAAAGTAATTTTTCTTTTTGATAATTCACACGTGAATTGGGCGTTATGTAAATTATTATTGATTCGACGGAGCACTGCGTATCCGTCTTTATCCACGTTGCGATATGTGTACTTACTATATATATACTTTATATACGGTCTCAATGCTAGTAAACCGCGGTATATAATTTATCGAACGACAATCGATTTTCCATTGCGGGCAGAGTAAGAATTTTCAAAATTTCCCGCCAACCACCAGACTCTCCTTTGAACGATCGCCGATGACCTTTTTATTGGACTCGCGTTATCCCCGCGTAGTCTCCTGGACTTGTTATTGTTGTAGAACGTACACGCGAAGGAAGGTTTACGATCGTTGTAAATTATCTAATGGCAATTACTCGAAGTGGCCGTTACTTGAAGGATAAATGAAAATCGGATTCGCGCCATTTTCTTTTACCATGGAACCGTGCTGACTTGTCATAATCAGTTACTCGCATTGGCGACCCACTTCTGCTTAAGCTGCACTGCAGCTTATGTTACCTTGTCGGTTCTGATTTTCCTTGACAATTTTTCATATACTTTGTATATCTGTATATATGATAAATAATGTGTTTATATATATGTAGAGAGAGGAGAGAGAGTGAGAGAGAGAGAGAGAGAGAGAGAGAGAGAGAGAGAGAGAGAGAGAGAGAGGGAGAGGGAGAGGCGCAGCCAATACAAGTAATCGAACTCCCTTCTCCTGGGAACGACGATAAGACCTCTAACGCAATAACGCGATAAAAGTGCCTGCGACAATTTTTCATAGGATGTATATATGTATATAGTCTCATGGAGTAATATATTATAGTAGGTAGATATCTGTAACAAGACACTATAGATATACTTGAGTTTAGTATATACGTATATCGTGTATAGTATATTTGTTAAAGGGTTGTTAGGTGGTGCTTCTTGGGTGGAAATGTATCACCTAAAGTGCAGGTATCAATGTCGCCAGGTATCTTTGAACAGCGCTTATGCACCGTTATATTTATATATAAATGGCAGAACTGGTTAAAAATGACAGTATGAAAATTGTCCACGATACCACGTTCCGCTTTGTTAAATATTTTTGCGATGCATCCGATATATACTAAAGGGCGTACATTGTATATGTACGAGGTCCACTCTCGGTTGATACTGAACATCGATCCGGCCGCTAACGGGAGCGCCTGGCTGTTAAAGTTTAACAAAAATTATACGTTTCATCCGATTCGCGTGGCCCTCGGGTAAATATTTTACGGCGTCAATGCCTGGTTTATTGGATGCCGTGGAAAAGTCGTGTGGACAGCCATTTTTCTTTTTGACGATAACTAAGCAAGTACGGCGAGATTGAAATTATAACAGAAAGGAATTTCGTCAAGTAATCCGAAGCGCTTTGTTCGCAGTTATGTATATGGTGAAACGAGGTAATTAATTTTGAACAATAAAAAAAGAATTAATCGTCTTATCGAAATGTTTTTATTGGCTGTTGAACGCATAACGGGGCGTGTACTTACGTATCTGGCTGGGAGTGAAGGCGGACGAGGGTGGGGGGTGGTTCAAACCGTCCTGTCTCACAGCGCGTCGAGCGTTTCGAATTCCTTTAAGTGAACGACGCCGTAAAGCGGCAGTCGTTGGCGAAGTGTCTGTCGATTGGACAATCGTAAAGCTTCGTACCGTCGCTTTAACGCTCGTTAAAATGCAGTCGTAGAACTATCCCGTGACGGCAGTTCTCGAGCTCCTCGAACGTCTCTCCATTTTCCAGAACGTCCATTAGAGTAACGTTCCAATCGCTGAGACTTCTGGGTAAGGGCTGGGAGACGCGATGTTTTCACGTCGCCCTGTCAGTTTGCACGTAGCTGTACGTATACATATAAATTCGACAAGAATTTGGTTAAGTCTCGTAACAGAGAGACTCGGGGCCTTTGGCGACGGGTTCCTGTCGATTTTCCGCAATCCCAAGCAGGGCGTGTAAACAAACGGACGTTCATCGAATGTACACCGTGCGGCCTAACCTTCAAACGTCACGGTGTGTCTCGGTACGAAAACGCAAGGGAGCAGGACAGCTTGGATATCGGATACAAGTAACCAGACTCTGATACTGTTGAATATGTGGATAGGACCTAAGGTTTGTTTAACCGTTCATTTAATCGGTTCTGTCTCGACGACGCCAAAGTCTCCCTTGCCCTTCAATTAGCTCAGTGAACGCCACCAGCGGTATTTACAATGCACAATGACAGCCGGCTGCGAACATAACCTCGTCGGCCGTTACGATGCTCCGCGCACGGAGGCAAATGGCCCGATTTCACGTCCCGCAGCCATTCATACAGGGTAGGCCTTTATTTTTAGCGGAGGACTGACTGCTCCAATTTCATCCGGCGAGAATAGAGTGGCGCCTCCTCGGATAATGAGTGGCTCTGCGTATTATTATTATTTATCGCTCACCTCTCTCTCGCGCTTTATCACTTGCTATATCTATACATCTTTATACATAACGAGGAGCCGCTCGGCGACTGTACACTCTCCCTC